AGTAATTTGGAGCCATGTCACTCTAGGGTCTCGAAAATATTCTATCTTGTCCGTTTTCATATTTTTGAGCCTTATCAAAGCTCAAAGCATAACATTAAACAATTGAAAAACAATGAAGAACAATGAAAAATAATGAAAAATAGTGAAAACCAATGAAAAAATATGAAAAATACAACAAGAACAATGAAACATACGGAAAAAAATCCACGCAATGGAAGGCTTCCAAATATATAATTTGGAGCCATGTCACGCCAGGGTCTCGAAAATATTCTATCTTGTCCGTTTTCGTATTTTTGAGCCTTATCAAAGCTCAAAGAATAACATTAAACAATTGAACATTAAACAATTGAAAAGCATTGAAAAACAATGAAACATGATGAAAAAGAGAGAAAACAACAATGAAAAATGATGAACAAGAGAGAAAAAACAATGAAAACCGATTATATAAAAATATGGAAAAAAACAATGAAAAATGATGAAAAAGAGAGGAACAAACAATGAAATATGATGAAAAAGAAATGAAAAAACAATGAAAAATGATGAAAAATAGAGAAGCAACAATGAAAAATGATGAAAAAGAGATGGAAAACAATGAAAAATGATGAACAAGAGAGAAAAAAAACAAGAATAAATGATGAAAAAGAGTGAAAAAAACAATGAAACATGATGAAAAAGAGAGGAAAAAACAAGGAAGCATGATGAAAAATAGAGAAACAACAATGAACAATGATGAAAAAGAGAGAAAAAAACAATGAAAACTGATCAAAAATATGGAAAAAACAATGAAAATGATGAAAAATAGATACAAAACAATGAAAACTGATGAAACATAGAGGAAAAACAATGAAACATGATGAAAAAGAGAGAAAAAATACAATGAAAAATGATGAAACATAGAGAAGCACAAATGAAAAATTATGAAAAAGAGAGAAAAAACAATGAAACATGATGAAAAAGAAAGGGGAAAACAATGAACAATAATGAAAAATAGAGAAACAACAATGAAAAATAATGAAAAATAGAAAAAACAATGAAAAATTATGAAAAATAGAGAAAAAACAATGAAACATTATGAAAAATAGAGAAACGAGAATGAACAATGATGAAAAAAGAGAGAAAAAACAATGAGAAATTATGAAAAAGATAGAAACAAATGAAACATGATGAAACATAGAGAAAAAAAATGAAAAATGATGAAAAATACAGAGCCAACAATGAAAAATGATGGGAAAACATTGTTTTTTCTCTATTTTTCATAATTGTTCATTGGTGTTTCTTTATTTTTCATCATTTTTCATTGTTTTTTCCCTCCATTTTTCATCATGTTTCATTGTTGTTTCTCTATTTTTCATCATGTTTCATTGTTTTTTCTCTTCTTCATCATTTTTCATTGTTTTTTCTCTCTTTTTCATCATTATTCATTGTTGTTTCTCTTTTTTTCATCTTATGTTTTTTATTTTTCATCATGTTTCCTTGTTTTTGTTTCCCCTATTTTTCATCATTGTTCATTGTTTTTTCTCTATTTTTCATCATGGTTCATTGGTTTTTCTCTATTTTTCATAATTTTTCATTGTTTTTTTTCCATATGCTTCATCATTGTTCATTGTTTGTTTTCTATGTTTCATCATTTTTCATTGTTTTTCTCCCTCGTTTTCATCATTGTTCATTGTTTTTTTCCAATCTTTTCATCATTTTTCATTGTTGTTTTCTCTCTTTTCCATCATTTTTCATTGTTTTTGTTTCTATTTTTCGTTATTGTTCATTGTTTTTCATTTGTTTAATGTTATTCTTTGAGCTTTGATAAGGCTCAAAAATACGAAAACGGACAAGATAGAATATTTTCGAGACCCTGGCGTGACATGGCTCCAAATTATATACTTGGAAGCATTCCATTGCGTGGAAAGGCTTGTGTGTTGATTTCCAAGATATGTGTATATATATATTAGATAGATAGATGAGTATTAGATAGAGTGTTTTTTGATATTCTATCTTGTCCCGACTAAGAGTACAATATTCTATCTTTTAGGCGGTCGGTATAGGTGACATGCCAGTGGGTGTGTAGTTACCACTTGGATTTTGTTTTTGTGCAGCATTTTGTGCTCGTGTAGTCAGCGCGGATGGCTTCCATGAAGCGATCTAAGTCTCCCCTGCCTGATGGCGTTCCTTCCAATTGGTCCACTTGGCGTTTGTCGGACAAAGACAAGGCGCTTAGACATAGATCGCCAGTGTTAACTTGATTTTGAGCCTTAACCCCCTGCTCACTTTCCACATGCACATGTGTAGTGGCACTTTGGAGGCGCAGCTGGACGAAGATGTGAAGAAACATGAAGCTACCCTGGAAGGAACTTCCAAACAAAACCAGGCTGCCTTTTGGCCGGTTAGTGTGTATGATGCAAAATATTTTTTCTAGTTTGTCAGCTGTTATTTGTAACTTCCTTGACAGGAAGCTCTGAAGCAGTACAGGGCCAAAATGGAAAAGTTGATGAAGCAGACAAAGGCAAAGGAATCCCAAGAGAGGAAAAAGGCCAAGGTAGAAGAGTCTGCAAGTAGCGGTCCTGGTGCCCTTGCAGCAGCCCCGAAGCCTGCGGCAGTCAAAGCCGCACCGGCTGCCAAAGCGTTTCAGATGTCAACCAACATAGTGGATCAGACAAATCTGGATTACTACACAGCAGTGCAAGAGGACAGAAGATTGGTGCTCAAAACTTTGGGTTCCACATTTGTCACTTTGCCAGCCTTGCCCATAGCGGAACTCAACAATGAGGGCACAGGAGGAGTTCAGGCCAGGTTTTCAGATTCTGTAAGCGGCGCTTGCTTCGGTTTTTTTTTGTTTCATGGTGGGAAAAAACAGTGCGACACATTGACAGTGTTCTTGTCGGAGCTTACAGCGACTGATTTTTTCGATGAGCTGGGAGGTGTGTGTTCTTCCCCGTCAGGCACTGCTGCTTCAGTTGGAAGCGCCTCTGGAAGGCCTTTTGTAAACAAACTTGGCGCAGCGCCATATTCTAAAGCAGCTTCCACTTGTTCTTCTTCAGCGTGGTAATAATGTTTCCAGAACACTCTTGCATCGAAACGTTGTTGAATTTCTAAAATCACATGTTCGGAAGGCCCTTTCTCATCAGAATGTTTGTTCGAAAGCAGGAGGCTAGCGCTCTTGTGCCGGGTAGCTCCGTGCACTGTAACCCTACTGCCTTGAAATTTACTTGTGGGGTTGTACCGGCGGTTGCCAGTAATTTGAAACATCACTTTCCTGATCACCTTGAGAGCCTCCGAAACACTTTGCCTTGACATATTTGGCCTGCATCCCTGTTTCTTGGACGCTGTGGCCAAAACAAAGTTCTCTGAATCTGTGTCAAGGTGAAAACGATCTTTGTTCAACGGTTTCATGTGGAAAATAAGGGGTACAGCCACCTTGAAGGGTTCTAGTATTGGACGCAGCTCATGCTCCAAACCATCAGAACACAATTGTTGGATCCCAGCAATGGCATCCTTTGACAGTCTTGCTACCACTTTTTCTGCGCCCAGTTTGCCTGAGCCTCAAAGACTGTCATCCTGCGGCCGCCGCTGGAACAAGATGTGTCCTGCGTCGTGCTCTTCTCCACCTTGCACTCGTATGTCTGTCCCGCGCAGCAACAGTGTCTCGCTGATACGTCTGCTGGTCACCAATGTTAACCACAGGACACACGCGTATTTGGGACCTGCTAGAAACAATGCGATCTGATCTCTCGGTATGAACAAATGTTGCTTGCATGTCTTGGTTTGGTGCAGACCTTTATTCCATGGCTTTGAACGGGTGGAGCCACGTCCTGTAGCCTTGGATTTTGCACGTGGTGCACATTTCTTTTGCTCAGCGCTTGTCACTTTCTTGCGGGTATACAGCTAGGCCTTTTGCCTTTGGTTGGTGCAGAACTGGGATGAAAGCCATGTTTTTCTCTTTTCCGCGTGGCTTGTGCCATATTTGAGATGTAAATGGCTACCCAAAAGCCAACTTACCACAGCAAATGTCCAATTTACCGAAGGGGGGGTCGGTAAATTGGGATCAAAAATGTGTAAGAACTGAAGGAAAAACAGCATATTAATGATAAAATTGTTGTTCCACCCTATGGAAAATTGAAGAAACATGTCAAAACATGTAGTAATTTCACAGTTTTGCTTCCAAAACTACGCACAAGATGCAGAAACATCATAGGTTTGATTTCCAAACTATGAAAAACTGGTGGTAATATCACAGTTTTGGCTCGAAAACTATGCAAAACATGTGATCATATCACAGTTTTAGGTTTTAGACTGTGCAAAACGTGTGGTAATATCAATTTGTGGCTTCACAAGTATGCAAGAAATGGAGACATATCACAGTTTTGGCTTCAAACAGTGTGGAAAATGTAAAAAATGTAGATATACCACAGCTTTGGCTTTGAAACTCTGTAAAAAGCGTGGTAATACCACAGTTTTGGCTTCGAAATTGTGCAAAAGGTGTGGTATTTCCACAGTTTTGGCTTCAAAATTGTTAATTTAAAACTATGCAAAACGTGTGGTAATATCACAGTATTCCTTGTAAAAAAGCACAGACAGATAGTGTGCTTCATTTCTGTGTCACAGCAAAACATGGGATGCCAAGCCAATGATTTTACATAGCTTCAAAACTGTGATTGTGAGGGTGCAGCCACTCACAAAAAATCTTCTAAGAAGTTATACATGTCTGATCATGTGCACACATGGGGAAAGCACTCGTCCCTAAATTTATTGACCGCCCTGCCCCCCTCCCAAACATACAGTTTAAGACAACATAGCGGAAACAAAATGCATGTTTGTTCTTTGTTTTTTTGTTTTTTCCTCTTTCCCTTCGATTTTGCAGCCCCAAACCCACTCCTTCACTCCTAATTAACATCGGCAAGATTAAACTCCATTAAACTCCATTAAACTCCATTAAACTCCATTAAACTCCATAAACTCACCAATTTTCTGATGTTTTTTTTTGCCAGGCAGTTCCACCAAGCGCCCAGGATTTCCACCTCATCTGCGACCTGACCTTCGACGTCAGCGGGGTCAGCGTGGGCACCAGACCTCCCGGGCAGCCCGGCATCCTGTGCCCTGGTGCAGCAGACATGACTAAAAATGCTGCAGCGCATGCAACAAACGCTCACACACACATATCTATATACATAATATATATATATATACATATATGTGTACGGTATACATTGACATATATATATATATATATATATTATATACGGTATACATTGACATATATATATATATATGTATACGGTATACATTGGCATATATATATATATGTATGTATACGGTATACATTGACATATATATATATATATATGGGATTATAGATACGTAAAACTATAAATTGCTATATTTAATTATATTTACACATATATATATATTATATTATGTTATATATATATATTATATTAATGGGGCTTGATGTGCAAACCTTTTTTCACAGGTTCACAGCGCATTTAAATTCACAGCAGGTCACCGCATGTCACGGCTTTTCCGGGGTCACCCCAGGATCTGCAGAAATCACGGAGATTTAGCCAACCCCAATGGTGGCCACTGGTTAATAGGCCCCTAATATTTTTTAGTTGTGCGGTGATAGGGGGCTCGTTGAACACGCAAGAATGATGCACCATAACAATGGGTTACAGGCTGAAGTATGACGGTTTCGATATAATCAAAAACAGGTATCATGCTTTATCATGAATATTCATCAATCCTGTTGACACTTCCAAAATTCCGTCCGGTAACCAAACATGACAATGGAAAATCCACCGTTTATGGATGATGTTCCCACCAAAATCTCCATGTAGTTGGTGCATTACCCAGCTAGCCTGATGACACCGGAGTGTATCTTCGTTCATTGAACTCGACTCCAACTGTTCGGTCCGTGCCAAAAACTTTCCACCGGAGGCAACAGAGTTTGCGCTGGTTTCGGAGGTTCGTGAAGCAAATTCCACAATGCAATTCCCGGGCGCGCAAATAGTCCGGCTGCCGTGGTGACCAGCGGCCATGGGCCAGATTTTTAGGTGGCTAAAAAGGCCTGAGATAGTTGGAAATTGCGCCACAGTATATATGTTCGTACCTGTGATTAATATAGAATATAATCGTGTTGCGTTTGCATTCATGAATTCATTGATTAATTACATTGTTTTTTCTTGCAGGTGGTTCCTTTTTTTTTTGCATTCTTGCACTCCCTTCCCCAAATTGGAGTTTACTGTGGGTTTACCCCAACTCAACGGAACCGCAGGAATGATTTAGATGGGCTTTATCATCGGTCACCAGAAAATGGAATGTGACATGGCCCCACAAATGCGATGCTTCGGTAATGGAGATTTTCCATCCTGGAAAAACTTCTCTTTGGGGGCTTGTGGGGGATGCGTGGGAACGCATATATTATATATACATATATATGTACATATATATATATATACACATGTATAAGTATATATATATACCCTCGAGGCCCCAGGTTTCCGCAAGGGGTGGGGTGGGGTGGGGCATGTTAACGTCAAGTTCATGGTACGTTGATGGTTGGGGTGGGGTGGGGCATGTTAACGTCATGTTCATGTTACGTGGATAGGTGGGGTGGGGTGGGGCCTCGGGGTGCTATAGATGATTCCATTGAACATAGGAACTTACTGGCAGTGCACCATATCAATAAAAAACCAGGTTTGCACACTGTCTTGACAGCCTTGAAAAAAATCAGGGAACTGTCTATGTCAAGCTTGCAGCCCGCCAGCAAAGTTTGGGATCGAGCGCCGTGGAAACTTTGAAGAAGAACATGTTGCAGCATGTTGCAGCAGGGTGTTGACGTTGAAACAACAACGAGCAAAAAAAAAGGTGACTATCAACATGTCCCGTTTCATGCTAACATAAAAAACATTGCAAATACCAATTAAAAAAAACCAGCCCTTCATATTACACCACGAGCCGCAGTAAAAACAGTACTTTTCCGGTTCAAAAAATCAACGACTTTCATGAAATGTGTTATTTCGTGTGGGAAAACAAGAAAATCAGAAACTTTGAAAAAGAACATGTTGCAGCAGGCTGATGAAGTTGAAGCAACAACGAGCAAAAAAAGGCTGACTATCAGCATGTGCAGTTTCATGCTAACGTTAAAATTCACTGCAAATACCAATAAAAAAAGACACCTCTTCATATTACCCCACGTGCCGCAGTAAAAAATGACAATTCCGGATAAAAAAACAAAGAAATTCATGAAAAGTGTTTTTTCCTGTAGGAAAACATGAAAATCACAATTGACATGTACTGTGGATAACATGTCATAACATGCAACTTGCGCGGGCCTAAAAATTTAGCTCCGTAAAATTGTCATTAAAGAATGAAAAAAAAGAATGTGCAAAATCCACATTTCGCTGTGGCGAAACAGTGATTTTTGACATATGGATCAATGAGAACCAAGATACTCTGCGGAAACCTAGGGCCCCGAGCGTGTATATATATATATATCTCTCTCTCTCTCTCTGGCTTTGTCCCATGGCCGGGTTTCGGCACGCCTTGCGCCTCCTGGTGCCACTGAAAAGTTGTGGCACCTGCCGGTACGAGTCGCCTCATCCGGCAGAATTTGGTTCATTTGGGATCTACAACAGGAACCTGGATTTGCTGAGGGTGATTCTTGATTGAAGATTTATTGAAGATTTAGTTTACTTTTTGTTTGTTCCTTTGGCAAATCCAAGATAAACCATCCTGAATTTGTGGCTGATAGGTGTGTATACCCCTACCTGGGATTAAATGGCGGACACCAGTCCAGCGATTTTTTAAGGGTATGATTGGCCATGTGAAATGTTGATGGCAATACTATGACAGAGTCAGCTCCAATATTTGTGGTATCATCGTGTGGCTTGTTTGGTGTTCTCAAGCAAGCGGAGGGGGTTGCAAGGATAGACTTCTGCTCCTTCTTGACGATCTAATCGGGGTACAATTACGATCAAATCCGTGTTTCTCCCATGCATAAGTGTTATCCTCACTTGTGTTTGGTAGGCCTGTCAGTCTAGCAGGTGGTGACTTTGGTTGCCTTTGACATCATGGTGCGAGTTCTTGGGCTATGTATGGCTATGTACAGTAGGTACGTATAAATATACATATGTATATATATATATATATGTATATGTATAAAATATATACGAATTATATATATATATATACATGAGTTACCAACCAAATTGTTGTAATACTGACTTAGTTGTGCTTTGCTTTGGCCTTGCTGAGGGGTGTGCAAAACCTTCATTACCGATAGGGGAGGACCCTGGACCGATACCCCTGTTTTGCATGAGTCGCCTCAAAGCCTGAGAATGCAGAAATCCTCACTGCCCATAGGGGGACAACCCTAATTTGTGCATGGCATGAAAATCAACGCGCATTTTTGTCCGCTATTTGTATATGGTTTTATATGTGTATATACATTGTGAAATTATGTTTTATAGTTAAGTTAAGTTTTTTTGTGCAGACAATTGGCCGATAATCCCATCCTCATTGAACAATTTCCGGCTTTGAAGCTCCCCATGTGTTGAAGACATTCCAAACCAAGATTTCAAGAGGTGCATCCGTTACTATGGGGGACGAAGCTGCTGTGTTGACCAGCCAGCTACGCCCCACTGAGATGGTCATCCATTGAGGAATCGACTTGCACCGGCGATGCGAGGGTTTTCCAACGAGCCCTTCATGTGGTGGTTTTCATCATTGGAGCATCCATGGGCATCTATGGGAACTTATATTAATATATATTAATCCTATAGTATAGTCTTACTCATGTGCCCAAAAATGATTTGTATGATCTTTCAGATATTCTCGTGAAATCTCAGTGTGGCCCTCTTCGATTCCTTCTTTAATGTGTGTGTGCATTCCTTTGAATATGTTATTTTCAGCATAATATTCGGCATAACCCACTACATGTCATTGGCATTGATGATGCCCAATGGATTAGCCTGATGCACCCAGGTGTGCTGGCCTACTTTCCTATGACTTCCGAAGTGAGACAGTCATGTAGGAAAATGGGTATGAATCTCCGAAAATTGGGTAAATTGGGAACATGATCATCATACAGTGCATTGAGGGCTACACCCTATTCTCAGACCAACCCAAATAGCGATTGGGATGATCCCTGAAGATAGCACATGTCACATGGCTCACAATGTGCTGACAACCCCCTTAGCTTCAGGAATCAACCCAATGGCTGAACGGTTTCGTTCTTGATGGCGACAACCACATGTTGGCCACTGCGTGGGAGGTTAGATCCAACACGTACGGCTGTGCTACTCACTTGCTCTTGGGATCACAATGGCTCACTGTATGGGTGTGGTCCAGGGGTCAACATGGGTGACCGAGTTTCACCTGTGGAAGCCCCTACCCAAGCAGTGAATTATCAGGGTCAAATGGAGATATTTAAAACACGGGGAATATATTATAAATGGGTTTGTTTGGAATAGGAAACCCGCGACTCCAGCGGTTTGTTGTCCATGTTTCATTGGAATTGCCATTTTTGGATATACCATGTACACCCGATTCCAGGGCAAGCCCACATCGATTCTTTCAAACTGACATGCTTTTGAATTGATCAAAAGCGCGGCCACTAGGGCACTTCCAAAAGAAACCCTCAGGGCAAGTGAGTAACACAGGGTACCAATCCTGTTGCCGCTCTCATCCGAAAGGCGTGAAAAAACCTGGCTGCCAAATAACCTCCACTTGAACGTATCGGGGGATCAACAAAAAGCATGGAAAGTACCCTTGAATGCTTGAGATACAAAGGGCGGAGGTTAAAACACCTCAAGAACCTGCATTAGAATCATTAGACGATATTATTGTAGATGTTGGATTATTGATGAAATGCACAAACTCCATATGTGCGCCAAACAGTTATACTTGTTTGTCACATGTTTGGCCTCCTCCCGGGAACAGGGCGATCAGAAAAATTGATGTGCCATCACAGGAGAAGCAGAATGCCCTGAATGAGGCCTGCGAGCTGGTAGGACGGGGGCAGAAATGGCGAGTGAAGCAACAAAAACGATGGAACTTCACCAAGAGAACTGGGTAAAAAGGCCATATTCAGCCATCAAAATATTCAAAATGGGTAGTGAATCAGCAAAAGTGAAGATGTGAAGGGTGTTGGGGCCGAAATGGGTACACCCAGACTAGTCTCATAGGCTCCTAGGAACTCCTAGGTCTTGGATCTTCAGCCATACCACTCCAGAGCACTATGACCAGATGTGGTCATGTTGAGATGTTGAAGTCGATCCTGTTGCTCAACGATATTTACCAAGTCCATAAAGTAGGGCCGTGGCGGAGTCCGACGGAGGAACATGTGCGTGCTTCAAACGCTGTAGAAGCTGATTTTGAGAAGCAAAATCCATGTGAACCAATATAAATCCGCATCAATCATATAAATCCCATACAAATGGAGAAAAAAACATGGAACAAGAGAACTTAAAGATATTTGATAGATATTTGAAGAGTATACAACATCAGCCATGGATTCAGCCGTTGGGAAAAACCCTTGGATCTTGGTTTGAAAGCTGATGTTTTTCTCATCAAAATCAGAATATTTTGGGCTATTTCATGTCTGGACACACCAAGATATCATATTGTTTGATATGTGACGATATGTGTTTACATAAATATACGCATATATATATATAAAGCACACATGTACAAACAGATATGATATGCATATGTACATATTTTTCACCGTCCATACATCTACGTATATGTGTGTTTGCGTGCGTGCCACCTCATATCCCATTATACATGTATATTCCCATAAAGTTGTTGGAGTATTGCTACTGGTAGTTTAGGTCCATCGCCCTGCACAGGGCACCCGAGTCTTTCCCGGCACTGGTTTATGAGGTGGTTAGGCCCTGGGGTATACCAAAACATGTGGAAAACCAATAGTCTTAGGACACTGATCCACAAATATCGGATTCTCCATGTCTATCTGAAACAGAAGAAGATACGGAATTATACCCCAAATTCAAAATGATAATGAACTGCATGGGCATTTCAATTGAGAATCATCTGCAAATATTCAGGATTACCAACAAAACCATGTTTGTTTACCAGCAGGAGCAGAGAATACTCCAACATCAGCTTGCGCATGTATTTCTTCAAGGTTTATCTGGACCCCATGATTTGCAGCAGTTTTCACCTCTAAAATCCAGTGGTTATACTATGCCACCATGTTGTGCTCGGTCCAATCCCATTTTGCGGGTGATGACTTTCACAATAATTATCCAAATCAATATACAAAAAAATGGTCATGTTTTTGGAATTGCATATGGATGTGTGCATATATGATCATATATATATATATTTGTATCTATATATATATATACATACATACATACACAGCTCCAGTCCCTATGCAGTCTTGCATTGGCCTTCCCCAGGTTCGTTTGTTGGCCTCGGTTTGCCATGAGAATGTGGTGGCCTATAAGGAGGCGGGTCAAACGCAGGGTTTCTGGTTGTAACACTCTTATGGGACGAGTATTTCGTCTATTCCCGCCCAGAAGGTTCATGTTTTGTGAAGGTTGACCATGATTGCAAAGGAGGATGGCGTAGAGTGTCCAAGTGGCTATTTATGTCAGCTCACTGAAGGACCTACAGAAACTCTTCCAGACTCAGCAATTGGGGTCACACCTGGCTATACTTCTTGCGTTCCTCACTCTAGAGATATGCAGCTTATGCAAGAGATGTGCTGTCTTGCCTTTTGACATGCTGGAATTGTGTTTCATCGTTCCCGGAAGCTTTATTTATTCAAATGTTATGGCATTGAACCCACGTGTTTTTCTGCATATATCGTTCAGCAACCAACTGACCAGCACTGGACTGGAATCAGCGTTGGGACGCCAGTGGAATCCCAATCTATGGCAGATGATTTTGGAAGAGCGTCGCCTGTGTGAAAAAATGCTGGAAAGGCCCTTGCGCGTAGGTTTTGAACATGTTGGCACCAACCCCCACGTTTGCCCACATGCAAGTAACATGTGCAAACAATATCATATACCTGTCACCTGAGGATGAACGAAAACATTGGCTATACATAGGGATTATGGCTTTTGGTTTCAGGATTGAGGGTTTTAGGGTTAAGGCTTTTACGTTTTCCGGGTTTGTATAGGGTTTTTGGGTTTCGGGTTTCAGGGTTTTTGGATTTATTGTTTTGCATAGTCCCAAAAGGAAAGCGAGCCGAGTGATTTGAGCGACACCATATGACCATCCCTTTGCTGAAAAAAGGGGAGTCGCTGCACCCTGAAACTTTGGAAACAACGGCATAGGCAAAACCGTGATCCCTTCCCACTATTAAACCCCACCTATTTACACTTATTTAAGACCAAATACAGGGGCTGTTGAATAAATAAATATAATATATATATATGTATATATATAAATATAATATATATATATGTATATATATAATATATATATATATATATATCGGTGGGATTATATCCCCAAGGGATTCGTTCTTCGTCCCATGGCCAGTGCCAGGCCTTCTGGGATGATAAGACACGGTGTCTTTGCATAGTGCAGGAGTGTGCTGATGTCCCTTGGATGCGACGCGTGGCATGGAGGTGATAAGACCTGGTCTACTCTGGTAAGATTGGCATGCGACGGTTTTTTTCACGCGACAAAATGACAACGCGTCGGATTTGTAAGCGATCATTGGCATTATCAATAATATTCAATGATATAATATCAATCATCGACAGTCTGGACAATGTTCAACGACCAAGACCCATAACTGGGATAAATCATGGTCAAGGCGGGTTCCTTCCCAAGGAGAATCATCCCCTTGGGATCCGCCAAGATGGCAACACGCTCAACAAATGACTGAAGCACACTGAAGAAAAGGTGAATTCCATAGCCATAAGACCCGCAAATATCCAAACATCACAATCTAGATGGATCCAAATACTTCAGGTACAGCTAACCACCTCAAAATCATACTCAAACACTCCTCCAGAAGGTACTGGGATCCATAGGGGCAGATGTTTGAATCACCGGCTTATTGAAGCTTCTTCAATGGTGCCCCAACAATGACCAAATCCGTGGGTCCCACCTATGATCCATTTATCCATATTTTTGGCCCCACAACTATTGTGTACAATCACATGTATAATCTCTATTATTGGGGATGGTTGCTTTTCACCTGCGTTTGGTCACTACAAGACTATGTTGTATTATGATCGTCAACCTGTACTGCTCAAGAGTAGGATCACATGGCTAGTATCTACAATGTAGTCCAACAAGATCTAACTAGTCATAAATTAGGTGAGTCCTAACATGTCCGGGCGTGTCCCATCATGTCTCAAATCGTGTGTCTCAAACCCCTTTGGCTCATTTGTTTTTGCTCCATCGAAGCTCGCTGCTCCATCGGAGCAGCACCACATTGACAGGTGGCAATAATCGATTCATATTCAGCTCAAACTGAAGCTTGCGAAAGTCATCCATTCACAAGAAAAGAGAGTCCGAAATAGCAAAGTCCAATGCTCAAAAATTGGGCGACCTCTTCAGCGCAAAAAAGCGTCGGAAAGCCACTGCAGCCATGCCTCCAAAAGCAGCAGTAGACAAGGCCAAGCAAAAAGAAAGAGAAACTTGGCCAAGTGAAAACCTGGTGACCTGTTTTTGTTGGGGTCAATGAATATATACCCTCCGGTAAATTACATTTTTCATGGGAAAATGAACTATAAATGGGAAATGTTCAATGGCAAACTGTTAGTTTACCAGAGGGTACCAGCAATATAAAAAACTAGAGTGCTATATTATAGACCTGTCATTTGTGATGGTTCCTGATGGCCCAGGCTAGGTCGGCTAGGTGGCTGGCCATCCTAAGGCCAGTGTGGTTGTCACCTCACCCATTTAAGGATATTTAAGGATATTTAAGGTATACTTGGGGCTTGGAAGATATGTAAGGGCCTTGTTGATCAACAGAAATCGGAGATTAAGCAGAAAATTTGGCAACGCCGCCTCTTTGGATTTGTTCCTCTCGCATTTTGGGCTTTGGCTCGGCCTTTTTTTGGCCAGGAAAAGATTGCCGTTGACAAGACCTTCGGCTTGAAGAACAAAAACAAAAGCAAGGCATGCCCCCGGCATGCGCCGTTCACTTGGGCCCTTGAGCACCTACTTGTTCCAAACGAATTTCAGAAGCCCTTGGCAACTGTATTGACTGGCTGGTGTGAGAATCAGATAGAATCAGTCAAGTCAGTACTTCATTACATACTGGTTTTAGCCATGACTCACAGTCATAAGGTGGTTCGGTGTAACCGACGATGCTGGACGAAGCCAACCACCACCCTGCAGTCTGGGCTCTTTGTTTTCCCGGGATATTTGATCGGGTCGGATTCTCAAGACGTGACTTGTTCACGCAATACTGTATAGGTATACAGATATACGTATATATATATATATATTTTTATGGTGGTTCGAGTCTGTGGCTTGGAACCTGGGCCATGACCCAACACTGAAGGTATTTGAACATGTATCTGAAGCCTATCGTTTTTGTTAAGCTTACCCACGTTTGCCATAAACTTCTTCCAAGCCAGCCTTGATCGATCGCAAGGTGGTGCAGAAATACATCAAGTCGATCACCAACAATGCCTCGGGTGCACCCAAAGGCCGCCTCCGCAGTTCCTTTCTTGGGGCTAAGATGGGTAAGGTTAGAATAACACGCTACCGTCACTAGCCCACTATAGCCATATGTTTGATGGTTACCACCCATTGATACTTATAAAGAATGTGGGATCAATGTGAAATCAATTTTCAACTATGCACACACATTATAATAACAGTACATATAGTTACCAATAGTCCTAATTGCAATTACAATCAATTACAACTATACCAGACATAATAGATTACTAGTATCATTACAAATCTGTAATAATGAGATGATTCTCCGAAATCTGAACTTCTGTTGTGCGATGGATCAAAATTGCTTTTGGTCTCGGGCTGCCACCGTTGAATTGGCGTAGGCGGCAAGGAACAACAAGAAAGAGACGCCAAGGCCACGGGGCCACAAGACAACGAAGTTTTTGAAGGGAACTGAGATGGGTGAGAGAAAGAAAAGGTTGTCTAAGTTGTCTATATATATATATATAATTATTTTATAATTATATATGCAGATATTTGCACACACACACTGTCACACACATATGGGTCGTCAAAAGCGTGTCATTTTCAAGTGAGTTATAGTGTAATACAGCATTTATATATATATGCGTTTAATATTATATACATGATATATTGTGTGTGTTTCCCAGTCACCTTGCAGGAGTCTTTCTCTTACTTGGCCCCTTTGCTGCCGCTTCCAGCTGCAAGCGCCGCGTAGGAAGCGAAGCAGAAGGAGTTGCAAAAAGCTGCACTGATGAACTCCTTGTTCAACATGTCCACTGACAAGAAAGGCTTCCTTCTGTGGCTTCCAAGAATGATGGGAGAGTTTACAGGCAACCCCTATCTTTTGGGAAAAAATATTGTTCCCAGTGGATTCTCCAGTAACACAAACCATTGATAGATGGGCAGCTTTGTAGATTTCCAAGGTTTGTCCAAGGCATAGGACATGGAAAATCCCCGCACAGTGCTGGCCAGTGCCTGGTTGAGATTCTTTGCGCAGGCAGAGCATTTGACCCAGTAGCCAAGAAAAAGGCCAAGCAGGCAAATGCCACAAGGGGGAATGCTGAGGATGCTTGGGCACTTGCAGTTCAAGATGTTCAAGCACTGATTGAGGATATGCCAGTTGCCAGTTGCCAGTCCCAGTCCCATCATCAGAACATGTATCTGCAATCTTTGGGCGCCCGCAGTTATGGCCCTTTACCAGTTCTAAGTCAGTTATCACCTTATGGAATGATAACTGATAACCCCATTTATAACCATTTATAACCGTTTAAAACTGGTAAAGGGCCATAACTGCATGATGCAGTCTTAAAAAAAGGTCATTCTTTAGACGTAGCTCCAGATGGTGAAAGGGCCACTGGCCTACAGTCACTACACCGGTTCTGTTTCTGCATTCTGAAGCTATGATTTTGCTTGTGCATCTGTTTGGACTGACAATCTTTTTGTTTTTGAAGCCATGACAATCGGATGAAAATCCATGGTTTTAGAGGGTGCCACGTTTAAGGATAGGATGAAACGTTAGAGGGGCGCCCCCTGATTTTCATTGATTTTCTGTAGAAGACTTCTGGTGCCCCTGAATAATGTTATATGGTTCAGTACTGTTCAGTACCCAATTTCATACTTTTCCACTGAAATATGGTTGCCCTTTATTTCTCAGGAATTTCATCACCCTAAAAAGAAGGTACTGCACCATATGATGCAATATATTGTGGGGATATTTGATTACGTAGCCCTTACATAGGCCTTATATACGGTATATAGGATTATATAGCTACCTCCCATTTGGGTCCCTGAAACGGCCATTGATTCAACGAATGCAGTGAAGATACGAATCGGTTGAGGCGGAAGAAGAAGCGCTGGCGGCGGGGAAGAAGCTCAAAGATGAGGTGGGGAGTTTCGGCGAGGCTGAATCGCTTGGAGGTGGCACAATGGCACAATGCTTATGCCATGATGTAATCAAAATATACACCCTCTGGTAAACTAACATAACTATGGAAAATCACCATTTTTCATGGGTAAATCAGCTATAAATGGGAAATGTTCAATAGCTATGTTTGTTTACCAGAGGGTAATCAAATTATGATCATATCTTTATATATGCACATACACAGACAGTGCGATATCTACACAAATGATGGATGGTTGGACGCATGGATGGATAGAAAATGGGTTGAATTAAATAAGATATATATGTGTATATTTATCTATGATTATACACCCTAGATGTTTTTTTTGCCACCCATTGTTTTGACCAGATGGTACATGAGCGCATTCTACAATGGATAGCTGTGACAGGAAGAGGGGGACAACTTATTCACTGGGTGGTTGATCAAGGGCGGGGCAAATCCCCCTGCTAGCATGTTTCTCCATGGTTTTCCCATGTTTCCCCGAAAAAGAATCGATGAATCGGGCATTATAGAATTGCAACTATCGATGCTGCAAGAATCTCTTGCCACTTTCAGACAGCGTCTACTGGATTGACCTTGGATTCATGTAGAATGTAGAATATATATACCTGTATCCTCGAAAAAGCACAAATAAATGCTCATTTGAGAGATTTCTGCTTTCTGAGCCCTTTTTCGCCACATGAGCGTAATTGCACCACTTTTGGCATTTTTGCGCTTTGTTCATTTTGAAGCCAAAATTATGAGCGTATTTTCCCGGGAAATAAGCGTAAATACACGGGAAAAAAGCGTAAATACCCGTCCGTCAAGAAACAAATGCGCGTTTTCTAGGTCAAGTGAGCATAAAAAGTCAGAAAGAGCGTAAATCCAAGCGAAAACTGCTATGAGCAGAAAAAAGTGCTAAGTGAAGATCCAGGTATATATATACACTCCGGTAATTTAACGTAACCGTGCGTTTTCAAATTTTACAGTGCTAACGTGACTATCACTTGGGTCTCACAGAACAGCATGTTCCCCAGAGACCCTGGCCAAGGAAAACCAACTAACGTGGCTATCATTTTACAGCTCAAAGGTTACAACATGGAAGGAAGCCCACTAACGTGGCTATCATTTTACACCATTCAAGGTTTCCAACATGGAAGGAAGCCCACTAACGTGGCTATCATTTTACAGCACTCAGGGTTTTCAGCATGGAAGGAAGCCCACTAACGTGGCTATCATCCTGTTCTCCACCGCACGTATAACATAGATTTATCAAAAGGAGGACGCAACTAACGTGGCTATCATCGGGATATGGCCATTTTACACATACCTAACGTGGAAAAACCTATCGTTATACGCGGGAAATTTGCATCACGTTAGTTTACCAGAGTGTACACCCTCTGGTAATTTAACATAGCGATTGAAAATGGCCATAGCAAAAGTGGATTTACATGGATTTACCCATTAAAAGTGGTGATTTTCCATAGTTATGTAAACGTTTTTCAGAGGGTAGAGTTGCTGTTGCCCCATGATTTTGTGTCCGTGGCCATGGATCGAGGAGAAGAAGGACATCATCGAAGGAGTTGCCAACACCATCCGCCTGACGAACCCCAAAACTGGCATTCGAATGTCGGAAATTGGCGGTCATCCCATCATCCAGGCCCTGAAAACCAAACATGCTGCACCTCGGCGTGCCAGGGCGTGCCAGTACCCGGCCTGGTAAACTAAGAGTTTGCTATTGAAAATGGCCATAGAAATAGTGGATTTACCCATGAAAAATGGTGATTTTCCATAGCTATGGTAGTTTACCAGAGGGTATGTTCAGCATTCGTGCAGCATTTGGGTGAACATTAATTTTAGTGGATGACCACGGGGAAACAGGGATGATAGTGCAGCTTCTGGAGGTTATCACCATGGTCATACCATGTTGCAGCATCCACTAGTTCTTCGAATGGTTTCTGTTGACTTTGTGAATCTGCTGAATTTTCGTAAGCAACTATCGAGACAAAGCAATAACAGTGTGCTTCATTTTTGGCTGTGTAATTCAAGGCAAAGATGTAGAGGGTGGGCACACACCCCGATCAATTACTGACAGGATTGGCTGGAAACTCCAAACTTGAACGTGCCTTTTGCAAGGCTCGTCAAAGACTCCATTTCAAACATGTATGAAACATGTTCTGCTTGATGGAAGCATTGTTCTTGAAACGCTCCAGTTCTGAGATCCAAAAATTCCTGTTGGATCCTGTTGGCACATTGTGTCGGCTCATTGCCAGTTGTTTCTATCTCATGTTTTTCTCGGCCTGGATGTTCGTTGCACCTGATGGTATGGTTCATTTCTGTTTGGTGAAGTCTTCATGACTGCGGGGCATATAATTATCCCATCATGTGTGATTATACTGTTTGTAGACTTGCTTGAGGATCTTGAGGTGTCAGGGTTGTAGCCGCGACCATCCCTGGGGCATTGATTGGATCATTGGTGGCCCCGAGCTGAGGATGCCTTCAAGATCCTGCAGTTGCTCCTCTTCATCAAGGCCCATGACAAGGTCTTTTGGGTCGACGATCCTGACAGCACCAACCCCACCATTCGATGTGCCATGGCACGCCCTGGGGGTGGGGAAAAAACTGGGAGGCGCAGTGAGAGGTGAAACCCATCCATATCCATTCATAGGTTTGTGGGTTTCTTGTGAGTTATACCTCAATTCATGTTCATTTCCTACTACCACTTGGGTCAGTTGCATTTAGCAACATGTTATGTCCATTTTGTCGGGAGTTACCTTCTCATCTGGCAATGAATGCCATAGACATCCATTTGTCGCAGCGTCTTCGTTTCCACCGTTCTTGCCCCCTCAAATTCACATTGATGCTTAGCGAAGGGGAAAACATATGATAAGGAAAGCCAGAAACGCATATTTATTGACAAATGGTTGGAACATGTTGGAACGTCCCTTATGCATTCTAGAGTCTGACCATCAATCCTGGTTTCATTTCAACATTGCTATGGTCATTGAGTGCACATTGTCTCCATTTGTGGATATTTGTGGTCGCTGGTCGCTGGTCCCGAAAAGGGCCTTCAAGTTTGACCCGTTGCGTGTGCCAACTGGTTTCAAAAAAAAACATGGGTCATCCAATTTTGGGGTCAGTTGTTGAAATAGGTTTGATTTCCAAGTTTTCCGAGAATTGGTTTGGGGAGTTTCATGCGCGTCCGAAAAAAATCCAGCTCACCATGTCCCATCAAAACCAAGACATTGAAAGTTTTAAAACAAAAAATATGTATCTAGAATGAGTTTCTCGTTGATAATCTTTCGGTCAAACGATAATTCAATATCTAGAAACTCAAAGTCATCGGTTTCATCATTGAATTTGAGTGTGGTGGGAATTGTCGGAAACGGCAGTGGATTGTCCCTTAAATTCTCCTGATCAGAAGGACAGTAATTTGTTGGAGGATCCACATGTTCGAAAAGAAGTGACCAAAAATATCAGTGCCAAGTCTCAAGTCAGTGTTTGTCTATATTTTTGGCTATCCAATGGTTGTTAGCCACGGGTTTTCTCATAGTTTCCCTAGATTTCCCAGTTGGGATCCCCAAACTTTCCAGAGATCGCCCATGGCCAAGGTCTAGAAGACGTGGAAGCTGAAGTGGCCCCGGACTCCCGACCCATTGAGGAAATCATCGAGGAACGACGGGCTGCGCTACCACCAGGTGCATGCGTGTGCGGCTGCCTGGTGAGTTTTCACCAGAAAGTGGACAAGAACCAGCAAAAAATGGGAAGCAGGTGAAAACTTAGACTGGTTGGTGGTTTGGAACATTTGGATCATTTTTCCATAGGGATCCCAACTGACTTTCATATTTTTCAGAGGGGTGGCTCAACCACCAACCAGTTTATCATGCCACAGGTGGAACTCCCGTTACTCTGGAGACCTTCAAGGCATGGAAGGACGCCGGTGTTTTACGGACGGACGGGAAGTGGCGCTTTATGAACGCGATCATGAGATAGTCATGATATGTTTTAAAATATGCATAGATAAAATTATATATATATATTATGAGCTGTTTATTTAATAAGTATAAATATAACAACAAACACACACATATATATATAATTATATATATAAATACACATTCATTTAACGATATATATATATATACCTATAGTAAGCCAAATGCCCACATTTTTTGGGTTGCCGAAAATTCCCAGTTTTTTAGAAATAAGCAGGTATTTCAGAGGAAGGCTCTCCATTACGGGGTTTTACGGGTAAAATACGGAATTTTACTGTTAAATTACGGCCAAATTACGGGTTAAAAAACAGATACTGTTGAGCATGTTATTTCAAAATTTCCAGGTATTTTTTCAAAACATAGAGCAAAGACTATTTGTTTTTGACCCTAAAACAAGTAGGTATTTGGTTCAGTAGGTATATATACAATCATTCTTAATTATTGTTATTTTTATTTTTGGATATTATAGGGTATCCATAGAATCCATAGCTCCATTTGGGTTATGAACCAGACACAACTCAGATGCACATTCAACTGGGCAATTACTTGGCCTATTTGGTTGCCCACCACGATACTTTGCAAGAAATGTGTTTGAGCCAGCGAGAATGCGGGTATTGATGGACATGGACACTGGGTCTCATGGGGTAGCCAACAGCATGAAAACGAACGGGAACCCCATCAAGTTGGTTTGGACTTCCCACATTTAGAGTGAACATACCCTCCAGTAATTTAACATAGCTATTGAAAATGGCCATTTATAGTGGGTTTTCCCATGAAACATGGGTGATTTTCCATAGTTATGTGACAGTTTACCAGAGGGTAGCAGTTGGGATTTTGTGTGAAATGACTTTCCCATCAGGTTTGGATTAGCCGCGAGTATTCACGGCAATGGCAGTGGAACATTCCTCTATAAATGGAGGGTTTTTATTCAGCCACGCGTTTTTTGTCCACCAAACAATGAGTAAACACATTTTTTAAGTTGGAATGTCCATTGGTGTTGGACATTACCCATATTTCGATTTTCCATTGGTAAACATTGTTGGGACATTAACAGTTGAGGTATTTGGTGCTTCAGATGTCCCATGACCCCAGTGTCCATGTGTACCTGTCGCAGGAGAAACGTGAGGCTGAGCGGTTAGAGCGTGTCTTGGCAAACCATGAAACGCCCATGCACTGAAAATTCGAAACCAGCTACATTGCATTATATTACTATATTATACTATATTAACATATTCACTATAAATATGTATATATATACACAATTCCGCGTTTATGTATGACAATATATCATTCATTGAATCGACATGTTTGCCCAAATTTGGGTTGACGGAAGTCCAATCTGAAGCCTTGTGACAAGTGATGTGATGCAGCGGTCTTCCTCATTAGTCACCATGGTCGGTGATCGTCGTTTCTTGTGAGTGATAATGATATCCCGGTGCATCACAGAAACCAAAATAAAGCGGCTATTGCGTGTTATTGCTATTTTTCCAGAATTGGCTTAATCAGAAAAATACACAAGAATCATCAATTACAATCCATGTTTGATGGTACACACCATTCAAATACGTATATTCAAAAGTTTCCTCAAACGAATCTACTACAATCCTTAGAGTTTACAGCAAGGTGATAGGTTGTTTAATTGGTTATTATTTGAGCCCACCGTGCATGAGGAAACCAACTATTACCCGGCTCGATGCTAGCCTGTTTTGACAAGGGTATCTCAGGTCAGTCTCATATGCTTTACGTTTTGAACAATTTAACCACGGCATACTGTCTGGAGCGGTTCGCCACCTGCCGATTCTCTATCGCTGGGCCCCTGGCATGATGAAATCCAATTGGCGTTATTTTTTCCACTAATAACTAATAACCGCAAAGCCAAGAACCCCAGGTTCCTTGCATTTGTTCACTTTTGCCATGCCATAGGAAATCATAGGACTGTTGGTTGGTGGTTTGGAACATGGCTGTTATTTTCCATTTCATATATGGGATGTCATCCTTCCCATTGACGAACTCCATCATTTTTCAAGATTGTGATTGCACCACCAACCAGGATCTATTACCCATAGGATCCATGTATGCTATATATGGTAACATTTACCATCAATATACCCCCAATGTTAGTATATATACCAGCACCATGGATCCTATGGGTTATGTAGAAATGGTTCCCCCTAGGTTCACTTTGGCTTCCCATGCCATAGGACATCATAGGACTATGATTAGGATGAGAGATTCTGTCGCCCAGGTGTTGAGCAGGAACGTCTCGAGAATGCCAAAAAGACCGGTGGCACCAAAGGTGTTTGGAGTGGGGGATCATCGCGGTTTTTCCCATTGGAAGGGGATGATCATCCACCATTTTTGGGCTCTGGTAAACTGTCACATAACTATGGAACATCACCATTTTTCATGGAAAAGAACATCTATTTCTATGGGCCATCTATACCATGGCTATGTTAAATCACCAGAGGGTAATAAGCCCAGTCAATTATGATTCTCTCGTGATGATGGGATGATCAGGCCGCATTGGTCCATGTGTCTTATCTTAGAGTCACAATTTGTGGATGCCTTTGAAAAGGGATAAAAGGTGAGGTTACCAGCCAAACTGACATTTGAGCATATTTATATACAATGTGAGGCCCCCAAGATATCTAAGTTGGTTTGTAACTCCAATAACTGTGGTTTATGATACTTATAACTATAGTTACTGGGGCTATAAACCAACTTATAACTGGGGGGCCTCACATTGTAGAAATGCTGATAACCACCAGATAAACCACTGAAGAAACCATTGGATAAGTAAGGCTGGAGGATGTTATGGCTCAGTGACGTTTTAGTTGGTTTAAGATGGTTTAATGATGGATTCTGGATCCCAATGATGGATTCTGCTGGTGCTATGACCCACCTGGGATTGTTTTCTACATGGAAGGCATTCCACGCGCTAAAATTCTGACAATCTGTTTGAGGCTCAGCCCCCCAAGTGGTTAAAACAGGTGTAACTTAACGTTGCGTTTACCACTACACACACACATCGCACGCAAAAACTCATAGACATACATATACAAACATATATGCAAACACACACACACACGCACACACACATACAAAAAAACAGATAAATACATTTTACAATATGTGAATATAAATGAATGAATATATAATTACAAATATATAAACACATGCATATTCATTTATATGTACATGTATGTGTATATATATATATATATACATGTATTGCTGTGTATGCATTTCATATTTGCACCAGCACCACCAGCAACAACAGGCACTCAAATAGAAGAACAGCGTTCTTTCAACTCGCCAGGCTTGGTCGGCATGAGTGGACGAGATTTGTTCACTTACGATGCTTGGGCCCATCCATTTCCACGAAGCCTTGGGGATCCCTGGGGTAAACGTTGCCGATCTGCAAAATCCATAAAGATCCACCATAGAAGTAGATCATTTTCCTACGGAAAGCATTGGTTTTCCACATCTATGTTAGTTATTAGGGCAATCATGGTTTCCTATAATCGTTTAATGTGGATAATGTGGATTCGATTATCTATTTGACCACAGATTTCCCCAATTCACCATATGCCAGCCAGTGTCCCAGCGGATGTCTTGTTGGGAAAGATCCCGTGTTTGTTGGTTGGTGAACCCCCTCTCCCTGATATTTCTTATACTACTTCAATGGTATAGATAGTATAGATCCTACTGAACCATGTTTTCGAGATTTTTGATAGGGGGACGGGATCATGCCCATACCCCCTCCTCCCTGTGGGTCGATTTGGTGATTTCAACCACCTGAGGACGCGTCACTTTTCAAAGACGAAGAGGGTGCTGTGCGCCCTGGCCATGATCGTTTCACTGGGGTAGGCCTCGTCACCTAGGCCAACATTCAGTTCCAAACGAAATACCCGGCCTGGTAAAATATGCTCGTCAGTTGGGATTATTATCCCCAACATATGGAAAAATAATCCAAATGTTCCAAACCACCAACCAGTGAAACCATATATACCCTCTGGTAAACAAACATAACAGTTTGCTATTGAAAATTGCCCATTTAGTTCGTTGATTTACCCATGAAAAATTGTGATTTTCCATAGTTTACCAGAGGGTATGTTGCTTTTTCCAGGTATGAATAAATGCACCCCATGCATCCCGGAATCCCCATACGAGAGCCTTGCTTAGTATTGGATCTGTTCATTTTTGGGCTCCACAGGGGGTGTTCTGAATCTTTAAAGGATGGGATCTGTACATATTAACCAGATTAATATCACAGAGGATGTTATAAACCACCAATGTAACTTTATTAACTATCCATAGTAACAGGGGGGTTATATAATGTGATATATATATATTATAACTGGTTGGTGGTTTGGAACATGGCTTTTATTTTCCATTTCATATATGGGATGTCATCCTTCCCATTGACGAACTCCATCATTTTTCAAGATGGTGAAATTGCACCACACACCAGATTATGTGGTTGGTAAATTCGATGCGTAGCTCTTTGGCTCTCCATTTTGTCTGGAATAGGGATGCAACCATGACTCCCTTCATCGATCCCTCCGTTCACCGGATATTTCATGCAGCTGGGATGATCCTGGTAACAAAGCGAGCAAGGTCCTGATCAAGCAAATTACCCTCTGGTAATTTAACATAGCTATTGAAAATGGCCATTTATAGTGAGTTTTCCCATTAAAAATTGTGATTTTCCATAGTTATGTTAGTTTACCAGAGGGTACTCTCATTGAAATACGGATTGATAAGGGAGTATGAAGCAATTGATTTAACAACAACGTACAAACTGAGGTGTAGAGAACAGTAAACCCAGTGTGGGTTTAACTGTAGATTGTAGAACAGGTTTGTGCTCTGATATTTTGCAAAACAAGAGTGAAACCATCAGTTGTTGGAAGACCAGACAAAACCGACTCGTTTTTGTTTATAAAGGGAACCTTAGGTACTGTACATTCGCGGACGTTTCAATTGTTTGGGACATTCCATCCTAGATCATCCTGGTATGCCAATGCCATGATCACAGGATATCAAAGGCGTATAGTCAGTCTATGAATTCTTTGCGGCTTAAAAGTTTTTGGCAGTTCCAAATGATTTCGATAACGGAGATGGATCAAAACTCATTGTACTATAATTCAGGATGAAGATCCAGTTTCCACCTATTTGATATTCGCCATGCGCACAGGGTTTTGGCCCATGGCCATATTGAGGATGAGCTGATTGTTTTATATGTTCGGGAAGCACCAACCAGCAAGTGTTTCCATTTGTATGAACCAGAAGGCTTCAATACCAAACGTGCTATGAACAGCTAAGGCAAAACATTTCCGAGGCATTGAATACTTGAGTGCTACCATCGGGGTTCAGCCCACCCAAAGGTGACTCCCCAAATTCATAGTTGGGCTTTATCAAGGACTTCTCAAGCACCACGTTGATGATTGGGCGAGTCTTCACCATCAGTTCGGTGGTGTCACCGCACTGGGGTTGAATGCCGATGATGCCATCCTTCCATAGGTCTGCAGATGAGTACGATGAACGAGAAGAAGATCCTCCTGAGGAGGACCGCAGCCCGCAAAACCATGAAGCTCCCGGCATTTGCGCCTCTTTGTTGCTAGTACATATGGATGATCACTGGGGATGTGGTTTGCTTTATCCAAGGATGCAAACAGATGATCAGCTGAGGTGTTGTGACTATCATATATGTGTCACATGTGCCACCATGCCTATAATTTTCTGGAAATCCTGGGCACCTGATCCAGCTGGTTTGGTTGGTATGTGGCTTTTTTTCCTGCCAGTTTGATGGAGCAAATAAAGCTTAACGATAAAGATGTTGGAAGTAGCGCTACTATTTGCCATGCATGTATTTGACATCCTTGACTGTTAATGACGAACATGTCTCATGTTGTTTTCTTTGACTTTGATGGTTGTTGACTTCGGCATGTCTTTGGGAATCCTGAGAGCAGCGCAGCACCTCACTGATCGGCCCCCATCCCAGCAGGTTCCAACATGCTCCGACCAAGATTCATTCAGATGTCCATTTTATATATTTTTACAAAAAAGTTCCTGTTTTTAGATGGTTATTAACCGCTGGGCTTCGCGACTGCTTAAAACAACCATTCACCATTCCTGCGTGAGCAGTCCGTCAGTGAGAAGCCCTATGGTAGTTTGAAGCGCTGCATGCTGATTGGTTTTACAATCGTGTTTGTTGCCCAACCCAGCATATTCCACCTATTATAAATGATGAATGATTATGTCGATTTGTCACTCACACACAGAAATTCATATTAATGTATATAATAATATATAATTATAATAATATATAATTTTAATAATAATAATAATATATAGTATATAGTATATATATATGCGATGTATACACATGTATGCAGTGGATATGTGTCGTGTTTGTTGCTCTTCGAGAGGAGGAGAACGACGGCAAGACCAAGGGCGTGGCCTCCGAGCTCCAAGACGACGGCGCCGAGGCCGAGGACGCGGAGGACGCGGAGGACGACGAGGCCGCGGACCCGGCGGCGCGCGGCAGCAACGAGGATGCGGCCGCCATCAACGAGAAGCTGTGGCTTTGAAGAAATCTTGGGTCAAGGGCCTCAAGGGTTGAAGTGGACTTTGTTTGGTTGATGGGTTTGGATTTGCGCAGATTTTTCGTTGGTGTTGTTCTTGTTTTCTCCTCTCGGAGATCCTTAAGTAACTCGTTAATATGGTTTTAAACTAGTTTAAACTGATCATAGATGATGTTCATATGTTTGATGGGTTGGAGGGCATCGATCAATTGCAAACCAAAAGGTGAAAGATGTTTGTGTGGCCTTCTTTTGTTGTTTCCTTTTGGTTCCACTGGTGTGCTTTTCTCATTTTTTCCATGATCAACCAACCTTATTTTAGGAGGTTGAAGAATTGAATAGCCGTGATCAATCGGGAAGGCAAACATTGCAGCCGCATGGCCGAAAAAAAAACGCCATGATGACAGGGAATCCTGGACGATGGTCCATCAGTTCAATGCCAAATCAAATTTTGCTATATTTTTCCACCTATTTGATTGATCCATGTATCCCAGTATCGAACTGTTTTCAGGGAATATTTTAAGAAACTCCCTTGCTTTGGGTGACATCGACGATGGTTTGTTGTTTGTTGTTCGCTGGAATCAACCCAGGGAGAGTTTTGTACCGTGTTGGCTCATCAATGGTGATATGTGGATATCTTGTGATGACGTTTACTTTCTGGCAATCTGTAAAACGTCGGTATAGACAATCTGCCATTTTGCTTTGCTTTCAAACATATATGACATAAGGTTTTCATGGGGTTCCCAAGCATATTCAGGGTAAATAAGGGTAATTGCCTCCAGTATCCATCAGCCTTACCTTACCTGGTATCACCCCAAACAAGATTTTTTTCACGGGATATATAAGCGGGGAACACACCCAAAAATGCAAAACTGCCCACTACTATTTGTGCATTGTTATTTACAGCTTTAGCCACCAACCAGTTGCCCGTCAAGCTTCTTGCGTCAAGGTTCTTGCAGGAGGAGGAGCTTCCGGATGACGACGACGACGAGGCGTTTGGTGGAAGCGCGTGGTCCGCGGGCTTCGTTGATACCCTCCGGTGTCAAACGTGGCTGGAAAATATTCATAAATGCAGGTTTATAGCTGGGAAAATCATCCATAAATGATTATATAAATGGTGTATTTTCAATTGCAATGTTTGATTACCAGAGGGCATGTTTTTAACTAATGAAGAATGGCAGTATAACATCTCCCGCTTTGAAAAGTAGTTCTTTAAAGTCATCTATAAATTGAGAAATATCATGCCGTTCTTGCCAGAGGTTTTGGGGGAAACAGGCAGTAAGAAGCTCGCATCCAGGACATTCAGGATGGCCGACTTTCAGTCATTGGATGTTTGGCTGTGAAAATGGGTCCATCAAAAAGGTCTTTCAGTTTTGATACGTGCTTCTTGGTGGCCTTTGTATGTCTGTATGAATTATGCTGGAAACTGTATCCCCTTACTTTGAACACATGCTTTGCCATGCTTTGCCCCCATGTGTTTCAACCTTCGGCCAGACCGGCAGGAAGACTGAGAAATTTTGTTTCGCATTTTCACACCAAGTGGCGGCGCCAGCACGGGGCCCCCGTCCGGACGCGACCCCGAGCTGCGTCACTGTGCAAAGACCGACTTTAAAGCTGCGAAAGAAAAGGCTCAGACTTACAAGCTGATCGGTGGTTTTGTTTCTTTCCATTGTTTATCAACTAACATCAACTGTAATCAACTAGAAAACTAGATAGACTTAATTAGATGTTTTGAGACGTGCGTATGATTGGGATTCAGTGGTATGTGCTTAGTATATCTTAATATATTATGTACGGTTTGATGTTTTCAACACGAAGTTGTCGTGAGTCAAAAGGAGTAGTTCTTGCAGAGCTTTTTTTTTACGAAGGTCGTGTGATTATGATCAGTCACACAATAAGCCAGGCTTATTTTGTTTGTTGAAAAGTTGGGTTCTATACTGTTCATTACTGTTCTATATACATGTCGAGCCTTTTGAACAGTAGAGATGTGTAGACTTTGTTATGCATTTGCTCTGAATTGTTCTATGTGTTCTACTTGGTGTTGAAGTGATTTTTAGAGGACCCCTATTAGTTGATTTAGCAGAAACTGGCTATATCCATTTGAACATGGGAAACAACAAATATTTGTATCCCTACTATTGCGGCTTGAAGGGTTACGGCTTAGGAGGGTTGATACCTAAGACACAACAGATCACACATGCCACCATCCAGTTTCAAATCATTGCTTTATCATCATATTCACACAATCATAGGATTGGTTTAAGATTTCTTTCCAGGAAAACCCCTAGTTTTGATATGTTTTGATGGTAAAAAAACTCGTAAACACACCATGGGCCCTTTTTGTTTCGATTTTAACTCAAAACCCATTGACATCGGATGACATCGGATCCAAGGCAGGAGACCTGCTACAGCAGATCAACCGCTGCAAACACGAGCGCGCCTATTTAAGGGAGGCCGGGAAGACGATACTGGTAGGGCATCCCCAAATGGCCGTTGATCAAAGTTGCGTTGATGGAAGATGATGGAAGATGATGGAAGATGATGGAAGATGATGGAAGATGATGGAAGTATGCGAATTTGCAATGTTTCATATGTTTCATATGTTTCATATGTCAATCATGTAAGAATTCCCACAGTTTTGTTGGGTCAAGTTCGTGATTTACCGGCCAAAAGGAGTCAAACCGAGCCATGTTCGAGTCGCACCAGGCAGATGTGTGGCGCTACCTGGACGGAATGTGCCAAGGTCTCAAGGCCGGTGTCCCGGTTGACGCTTTGGAGTATGGTAAGGTTGCGATGGTAGGACGACCTGGATGATCCATTGCTGACCCAAGATAGTTCTGGTAATTCGTATGGTAGTAGGACCAATGAGCAGATGGTTTGTAATGTGAGTTGAGTATAGGTGAGTCATATTTATATCTATTATTGAAAGGTTGGTTGGTCATTGGTTTGTAATTGGTCATCCAATTCCAGAACCAGTGGGATAGCAAGCGCCAGATTTGGTTAAAGTTAGAGTAGTGTATGTATACATAATCATATTTGGTTAATTACATATATATATATAATCATATATATATAACATGTATATATATATATACACATTATAATATATATATATACGTAGTTGACTGTATACCATTGGATTTCAAGTCGGAAATTTGGCGATCAGAGTGCTATTTTATCCAATGCCCCTGTCAGATCCAATGTATTCCATAGTGTTTTGAATATTACCCTCTGGTAATCAAACTTGGCAATGGAGAATGCACCATTTATAGATAAGTTTCCTATAAAAACCTCCATTTATAGGGGATTAAGAAAAGGGGATTTCGGTAATCACGTTTGATTCCCGGATGGTTTTTTTGGGGAAATGGGGTTCATGACAAGTGGGCCATGTGGCGGTACCCTAGGTGAAGGCTCCACAGACCATTGCCAGGTCTAGATTCCTACGCTCTTGGGGATCGGTAGAAATATCTCAATATCGTCCAGCTGCCGGTTACCCACTTGGCCAGTTACAAAGTTCAGCGATCATCACTGTATATCCTGAAGGGATAGCTATTTAAGCGTTTGCAACTGGATGATTTTGCAACTAGCACAGATGATTAAAAGCAAAGATGGAGGTTCACCGAACAAAAGTGTCAATGTTTCGGCGAAAGTGTGGTCTCCCTTGACTGCTCCGCGCAATGCTGCAGTACCCATATCAGTTTTACCAGTCATGTTCAATGATGTGGGGCCAAATGCATGGTAAATGTATCGAACAGAAATAACTAGTGCAGCACAAAATAAATCATAGAAAAACACACACACATAAATAAATAAATAAATAAGTAATAAATAAATAAATACATACATATATATATTTGATGCATGGTCAAACAGAGTATAAACATAGTAAACTACCGCGGTTCAGTCAGGTAGAAGGGTCCCTGAACTCACTGCAGGCGTTGCACGACTTGCGTATTTTGCATCGGGACCTGAAATGCCGGGCGCCCAAAGCTTGTGGTGGGATGTTGTTTTCAGAGCTTCGTCAGCCGAGGCATCATTCATTGCATTGGTTTAAGGGAAAATCTAAAGGAAACCCATTGTTTTTACATGTTTTTACCATTATATATAGGAGTTTCCTGTAAATTTTAGACCAATCCAATGAATCATAGATGATGGAAGGGAAGTTAAACTTGCCCCGAAAAACCATGGGCCCTTGGATGGGATTTCATAGGGATTTAACCATCAACAAGAGGGATGTAACATTCAGCAAGTAGGGATTTCATGGGAATTCATGGGATTTCATGGGATCCAACAAAATATCCACAACATGTTTACTTCAGGTCTGGACAATTCAATCAGATGGATGCGGTTGGATGAAAGTCACAATTTCATGGCCTAGTGAAGCGGGTGAACATCCCATTTGCGCTGTGTGACTTAGATCCCCAGTCGCCAAAGGAGCGTGCTCATGGGCCTTTACCTCCAAGTAAGGTATATGATATGATCGTTGAACATGATGAAAATGGTTTGGAATCACCTTAAAACCATAAGTGTTCCTTCCATACATGGATTTGATACATGAAATGTGCTTCAAATCATAGCAAGGGTGAACATGATGCTGGGGACTTTCTGAAAAACCCATCATTTTTCAAGCCCAGCTTCTGGTGTTTTCCTAGACCATTGCGCGGCTCGTGGCAGGTGCCAATGTGTTTCTGAGCCACTCGCGCGATGGGTGGCCAGGCCAAATCAGCCAAGGTGTTTTTTTCCGTGTAATCCCATCATGTTCCATCCAAGTACCACCCATATCCCATAGGATCCATGGTGCTGGTATATATACTAACATAAAGGGGGTATTTCTTGATGGGATCCATGGCACACCATATATAGCAGCACCATGGATCATAAGGACACACCAATACCAGTGTTTCAAGGGGCACCTTGAATTTTTTTCGGGGTAAAGGATTGATCAATTATGGCAATGGGCAACCAGAGCCCCATTTGGTGAAACTTATGTCTGCATGGAATACAAGAAAACACTGGGGATAAAACGTTGTCAAACTAGAACGCAATGTGATGACAGCATTGACATTCATCAACAGTGGGGATACAGCAACACGGCTTGGGAATCATACACCCCAAACACTTGAGAGACTCAACCGCCAAACGACTGGAAATTCAACCGAATATATACGTGTATATATAGGGTATATATATATATAGATGGATGGATAAATGGATGGATATAGACAGATAGATAGATTAGATAGATTAGATTAGATTAGATTAGATTATATAGATAGATCGATGGATGGATAGATAGACATACTGTAACAGGTATGTGTAAACATAGCTTAAACCTTCGCATCATGAGCTGATGCTTAACTGCGCCTGCCGAGGTTGATCGCCAAACTCGGCGATTTCAACGTGGCTGGGCGCAGTTTGAAACGAACCACGGTTCCCAATGGTTCCCAAGGCTGTGTTGCTGGCAAAATGCCCATAGACCATTGGCCATAGATCCCATAGATCTTGGGATGTGGGATCGATACACTTTTACAGGTTTTTTTGCCCAGGGGTCATAGATCCCATTTGCATTGTTTGCACACCGGCCAATTTTTGACCTCCCAACGTAGGGAATCGTAGGGATGTTGCTCGGCGTTTTTTTTCCCCTCTAGCTGTAGGTTTTTTCCCCTCTGACACATTTTTTTGCCATTTCTTCCATCAAGTCAAGTCCGAATCCAATCAGCTCTTCTTAATCCAAAATGGTTGGCCAATTTGAGATTTGTCTCCTGTAAATTCATGTTCTGTCACGAAAGCGGATTCTCGGTAGGCTCAGTCTCCACTATCATTATCATAATATCACCATGTTTGATGCCGTTAAGTGATTGTGAGAAATTTCATTGTAGCACATTTTCCAAGCCCGAGAAGTACCACTACTATGTTAGTTTCCTAAAATAGGGGTAATTACCCGCAAATCATCCAAAACCATTTTAGTATAGAAACCCATACTTTTGGGGATCCCTTATTTTACCAAAACCCAAGCGCTGCAAGCTCTGGCGAGGTATCAAAGGTGGCGAAACGGGGTCTCTGCATGACGCAGACGGGCACACCGTACTATGCTTCGCCCGAGGCGGCAATGGCGGGGGATGCTGCTTATCACTAAGATGATGATGCAGTTGGGGATTGGAAATCGTCGTTTCCCTTCAAAAAAACATGTGATTAGAATGGTCAAAATCCTGTATCACCCTGCTCTTGATCTTGGTTTCATAAATAGTTACATTTGAATCCCTAGTCCTGTTGGCTGAATCATTTTTGTTGGTGCCAATATCAAGGGGGGGGGGTTCAATCCCTGTATTTCCAGAGAACTTGCTATATAATTGTTGAAGCCATCCTTTTTCCAACGTTTTATGGTTGGATCCTATGTGTTTCCATGTGTTTCATTGGCATTTTGTATGATAATACTATTTTTATATAATTTTATAATATTGAATATATCGCGTACATTCTATCTTACGACGGTCCTTATTGTATCCAAGTGTTGATAATTGAATTAATGTATATAATATAAGATATTATATATATGCGCAATTTTTGCCAGTAAAATAATCATACATCATACATCTCCCACTTTTGATGTTTTTTGGCTCAGCTTTGGTGCCACACCAACACTGCGCGGCCGCGCGGGGGCTGTTGCAGCAGCGGCGTATGGGCTGTGAAGCCTGTGGTGATGCCAGGTGAGATATGAGATGTGAGGACGGTGGGTATATCATGGGGATACAATGGTTAGAGCATGGCAGTTGATCCAAGAATCCTATTGTTGGATTGTAATCTTAAGCCCAGATCTTGCGAAAAAAGGCGGGGTATCAATTTTATTCGTAAATCATCTATTTCGGGGGCAATCCCCGAGTTAATAGTCTGGGTTGATGAACCAGGGGTTGGTATTTACCCTTTGGTGATTTTAACAAAATGAAAAATTGGAAAATCCAACCTTTTAATCTAATGGAAAATCCAAATGGAAATGGAACACTCCAATTTAGCAACAGAGAATCCCAACTTTAAATGGAAAATGTTGGGTAATCATCTATACCTGGTTGGTGGTTTCTGTTCCTTTGCCAGGTGAAGTTACTGAAGAGTAGTGTGGTACTGGTGACTGTACTTCCAGCAGTTCAATGTACTTGGGGCTTTTGTCATTGTAGATTTAGCAACATCCTGAACTACGAAGCCACGCGAAGAGGAGATCTTGGATCATCTTGGATCCATTTGGATCCCCAGGGTTAGGACAAGATCATGTATCTTACGTATGTTGTATTGTATATACTATTATCATGGCAGCCTAGCAGCCTAGCAGATAGAATATTCCAAAGCTGGATCAATCCCTTGATTGCTTCAGAACAACAGCAGGAACGAAGCAAACTTTTCTTCAAAGAACCTAATCCCGTAGAGTGCAATTATGTCCCTTTGAGTACGTAGTGACGTAGTGTTTCCCAAATCAAATTATATTGCCCTGAAGACAAATGCCACACTTCCAGAATTAATGTGTTTATATTGATATGTTCAGTGTCAAATATTCTAAGTGTAACAAAACTCATGCAGATAGAATATGGTTTTTGTGTGTTTTACCTGGGCCTCCAAAACAATGTTTTGGAGCTCAAGGAAGAACACCAAAATATTCTAAGTGCATCTAAGTGCAAGACTGTTCTTCTATATATATATATGTGTGTATATGATGCGCAAAGCCATAGTAACTTAATGTAACTTGTATAGCTGTTGCGTCAACATTTGAATCTTCATGGGATCTCATGGCGGATCGCCCTCCGGCGTATCCAGGAATGACCTTTTTGGATCTATTTTCCATATTCTAAGTGCAACTCATTTATTTTTAATATTCTAAGTGCCGGTTACTATATCAATCGCAAAATTGGCAGAGGAAGCTCTACCTCTGAAAGCTTGGAGTTGTCCATTGCCATTTCATATTAGCAATCCTTAGTTGATCTTCACCATTCAGTACGTATGGAGGGGATCCCAGCTCGTAAAGATGCCAGAAACATCCCTAATATCACCATTCATTCAGGGGATATAATTAAACAATTAAACACATCAAGTATCATCAAGTTCGGACTCTAAAATCAACCCATGGCTGTGTAGCTTACATAATACATGTATATATATATATATTCATTTATTTAACACACACACACATATATATATATATATAGATACATAACTATATATTATATAGAGAGATATATGAAGGGGAGGGGATGGAGTTCACCGTGCTAAATAAGCGTCAGGTGGTGCTGGCGTCCCTACAGGTGCCCTGGCGGGCACCGTCAAGTCCTGGAATGGCATGAAAGGCGGCGGTCCTGGCGGATGGGTTTCGGGGCAGGGAGGGCAGTTGGTTTGTAAAATATATGTGAATCAGGTTTGGGAGGCTTGGGTTTTCACAAATCATTTATTAAGTCCTCATCCTCTTGATATTTTTGCTCAAGTGCCTTGATCCAAAATAGCAAGATTTTTCTTGTTTCCCCACCCAGAACCCACCCTGGTCTCGGGGGTGGCCTATAGTTGCCTTCCCTCGAACCTTGAAGGCTCAGTATGAGCTGGGGTTCGCGCTAGGAGCGCGCTGATCAGCGTGTTTTGGGGGCCTCTGGGGACAGAGTGCTTTTGGTGTTCCATTAGCTTCTCGTAGTTACGAGGTATGTGTCTGGAGTCAGACTTCCCCTAGAGGGCCTAGGGGTTGGGATTTGTTTGTGTCAGACCCGTCCCTGGAGTGACCAGGGATGGATATGCCAGGGATCTGGCTCGCTGATCAGGCTGCGTGGCTGCAGCTACCCAAGGCAAAACTTGCAGAGTGCAGGTTCATTGGACTAGCCTGTTGACTGAAGAGCTTCAGAGTGGAAGGGAGAGAAAAAGGCGGAAGCATCCTCCTGTCTCTGTAGTAGCCGGGTAGTGTGAGACTTTGTAAATGAAAAACGGTAACTGGGCATTTAAGTTATTTGCACCCATTCAACTCTTCTCTCTCTCTCTATATTTAAATACATTGTATATTTACAATATCAATATATATATATATACATATACATACATATATATATTATTATATTATATATATTATATTAAATTATATAATATTAAATTATATTAAGTTATATATTATTAAATTATATTAAATTATATTTGATTTATTATATTATATTTTATTTCACGACATTTTATTTATTTTACTATATTATATATATTTTTATTCTATTTTATTTTATTATATAATATTTTAATTTGTTGTAAATTATTCAATAATAGTTTAATGCATTTTATTTTTGAAAAATATAATATCATAATATATTATATATTATATTTTATTATATCATGTTTTTTTTTAATTATTATGTTAAATTATATTATATTATATTATTTCATGTTTTAGGTTTTAATATTTTGATATTGTGCATTCTATTATATATTTTGCAATGTTATATCATTTATGTTTTTTTTTTAATATTATATTACTTTTCTTTTTATTATATTGTATTTTGTTGTTTTTTGCACGTTATGTTTATATATATATATATTTAATCTTGTTTTGTTTGCTAATTTATTGTTTTATTTATACTTTATTTTTTTAATCATATTATATCATATCCAATCATATCATATTACATTTAATATTATTACTATTTGTTATATTTTCTATTTTTTTAAATATTATATTATGTTATATTATATAATATAATATTAAATTATATAATATTAAATTATTTTATTATATTTTATACTATATTATATAGTATGTATGTTATTATATTTTATTTTAATATAATTATATTAATGAATTAAATTACTATATATAATATAATACTATATTTTATTATAGTACATTTTATTATATTATATTATGTTATATTATATATTTTTTGTTTATTTACATATATATACACATACACATACACATACACATATTTGCCATAGACCTCAGTTGGCCTAGTCATCTACCAACTTAACTGGCTATGGGGGCTGATGTTTGACGGGTATAGTAGTGTGGCAAGACAACGAAGTACGAAGAGACGCAGGGCTTTGCTTTATTTTGCCAGGTTCTAGCTGAAGCCGATGGGGAGATAGTCAGAGAGGGAGAGGGTGGGTTTACCACGTTAGGTTTACCACGTTAGATTTTTCCGGTTTACAACTGTGAACAATCACATGTGGGGGTTGCACACGCACACACGCATATTCCTGCGTGTGGATATTCCATGATATCCTGATATTCAAGTGTATTCAGGCATCAACAAATGGAGATGCAGCTTTGGTGGAGCTTCAAGGGCTGATATTTGGGCTATACATGTGGGGCCGGTCAAAGCCGCTTGGCGGAGGCTTCGGTTTCATTGAGGGCAGTGCTTTGGAGACGGACTGCGCCAGTTGCCTTGGGGCCGGGGCTGCGGCAGGATCAAATCCTGTGAAATGTGCGGATTATTTTAGTATTGCGGTAAACCTACTAGTTGGGGATAGTGTTTTGACCAACCATGTGTGGTAAGAATGGTGATACTTTAGAATTGGGTTTGCTAGAAAAATTGTGTTTATGTATGTTCATTGTGCTTGGATGTAACTGTCAACTGGCTTGCTTTCCGCTGGATTCACCACCCAGTCAGAAGGGGCAACCATTGGCGGAGGGGTGCAGGAAGTTGGCAGCCAAGAGCATCCAACAGCGGTAACACCTACACATGGCTGCTCTTGGGCTAGTTGTTGTGATGGTTAAACATACGCAGGTGGTTATAGATTGAACATTTTGCGCCATAGGGACCATGTTTTGAATTCATGGCACTGTTTTTGACTCATACTTTCCAGAAGTGAATGGAGGGAATGAAGGAAATTTCGAAACTGTTTCCTTTTAGTTACTGCGGAAATCTATGTTTCCTGTCATTTCTCTTAGGCCAATCCAATCCCAATGGATAATTAATTACTGATATTGAAGGAATAGGTCAAACCACCAGTTTTCGGCGTTCAATGATGGGCCAGGTTAAGCTCCCCAGACTGTGTGGGCCAGGTTTTTCCTGGTTTATTTGGTACCCTTTGAAAACAGAAAACTCTTGTCTTAACGCCGTAGTTTCTTCCACTTTCATGGTTTTGTGTTTGTTTGATATTGATTCTTAATTTTTGCTACTCACTGTGTAACAAAATCATCAGGACATATTGATGAGGACACAATGATTGTCGATGGTTGTCGGCCGATAGTGCTGACTGGCGCTCAATCCCAAACCAAATGCTGGGAAATCCTCCATTTTTGGAGATGTTGCCACTACTTTTCATGTATTTTCCAGAGGTTTGCCTTTAAAGAATCCCCAGGACGTGATGTTCTCTCACAACGAATTGACCCTTGGCTTCTGGCGAGTTGGGAATTGAGGGTCTCCCAGATAGAAAAACTGAGTATTGGACCAAATATTTTAATATATTTTATCCACGTTCACCTTACTAAAGAACCAGTTTGTACTATTGTACTATTTCATTTGAAATTACAAGTGGTGGGGGATGTGGGGGCCCCTTGCCCCTACTCCAAGGCCTGAAGAGTGGAGAAATGTGCATTCGAAGTTCATGACAGGTCGTGCCACCCCCAGGACTGAACCAGTTCCAACCACTGGTGGCTGGTGATTTTCGAACATTGTCTCGTTTTTCTGATGATGATGATGATGATGATGATGATGACGGTGACATTATCATCATTATCATGTTTATTATTATTATCATCATTGTCATTGTCATTATAACTATTGTTGCTATTGCTATTAGTACCACTGGTTCCTATAATCGACCAGATATCATTACTAGTTAATGATGGAAATTATGATGGCGATGGCGTTTCCTATTTACCATGTTTGAGGTTGTTGTGGCAAAAAAAAACAAAAAGGCCAGCCACTTGAGAGAATCATTCCATGGTGGCTGGGGCTATCGGCAAAAGATACGGGAGAAGTTGAAGCAGCCAAAACTGGCCATGTTTGGCCACACAGAAAAACGCAAGAACTTGATAACCAAATGACTCCGCCTTCGAATTTCTTTGATCCAACCAGGGCTCTGGGATTTCATATATTTCATATGAGGCCAGAGAAAAACATAAACATATTTAGATTCCCTCCCATACCTTCTAGTTTCCAAATTGTTAATTTGCATTTTTTTTGGCTTACTGGTTTATATTATTTTGTTGGTGCTTTCTATCAGGTTATTTACAGTCTGTAATGGTGATTTACCAAGAACCGCCTACCACTTATGATATGTCATTATAACTTATTTCTAGTTGAAACTAGCATGTAACAACCACAAGTGATATATGTATATATGTATACAGCATATAGATATATTTATAACAACATATATCAACCATGTAATATCCATACAATTTATAATTATGTGAGTTCCAAGTAGGAGTGGGACCAGAAGCACCCATATAAAATAATCATAATAATGACTCTAATGACACATGATGATAATAATGATAAGCGATGATGTTGTTGGTAAAACAATGATAAACCATCCCCTGTTTTGCCAACAATTGGTTGTATGCATCATGTTGGTGATATTTTTGTTGTTGTTCTAAACCACGTGGTATTTTGTGGTTTATTATTGCTCTATTAACATGAAATACCAATGATACACATTTAATAACCATCAATATTGGGTTACTGTTTACCAGCATATATGGTTAGTACTATATAACATTTCATTAAATACTAATTTGTTTACTAACATGAAATGCTAACAATAAACTCAATAAACAATTTATACCAACATTAAATACCATTAAATACCAATCAACACAACATCAAATCGTTGATGTTTTGAGCTCAACATCGTGCTGTTGACGTCCCGAGGTACTGTGGATTTCAAGGCCCAGCAGGGGTCAGATGGACGATACAAAGCCTCCATGGTCAGCAGGGGCCTCGGTTAAACCGACGTGAAGAGAACGCCGAGACGTTGGGAAAAAGATCTGGTGAATGGTTGGTGGATCGTTTTTTCCCCCTCCGCCAGGGTAAGAATATCGGATCTTGAGCCCACCAAGTTTGCCAAATACTGCCTAAATGAAGTGTCAAGATCTGGGCAAATCTTTGGGAATGGTCGGTGAATGGATGTTTGCGCTTCCAGTTTTCAATGGAAAATGGAGAAAATTGCTGCTGACCCCAGGGAGTGGACTGGAAGCACACCGACATGACTCACTTGGCCAAAGATTGTCAGTTTGTTTCCGCCAGAGGGTTCAGTCTTCATAGGTTGAGGAGTAGAGATACTGCTGGAATCAGAGCATGTATATATATATATAATATGTGTGTGTGTGCGTGTATCTATGAATTAGTTTTATTTATATTGCAAGCAGATAGGTACACATAATATACATTGTTATATACAGCAGCTCCACATTGTGCTACAGAACGTTGTCATTTCCAGATGGTTGGATAGCGGACGCCGGAGGTGTGCCCTTCGCGGAGGGCTGGCCGGTGGTCGGTAGAATCAAATCCTACAGCGTGGCTGGCTGAAATCTGGGTCGCGGTGCAGGGTAGCTTTCCTTTAACCAATCAGCTTCCAAATTGAAGGTGGAACTCCAAAATGGCACTATCCAATGGTCCAGAGTTCCAGACCTCATTTTTTCGGGGTCCATGTTACAACTTGAGTGACTTGGGCGAACGTCAGGGTACAGAGCTCAAGAATGGCTAAGGTTAACTGTGAAATTGGAATGCCACATGGCCCAAGCTTGATTCAAAGAGTGCACCCCGAGGCCAGAACTTTCATTGATGGAACGCACATGTGCTTTGTGGCATGTGCTGATTTTTGCAGCCATTGCTGAGAGTTGCACCAACTCGCATTTTCATCTTTGGAATCTAGCTAATAGTATGAGCATGTTTTACTGCTTGTTTATTAAAGATAGAACGATACTTGATACTTTAGGTATGATGCTACAATGTTATAGTATATGCATGTATATGCTAAAATTCGATTGATTGGACTTATGGCAGTCACTTGTTTTTGTTACTAGACGTGGTGCTGTGCTTCTGTGTGGGGGTCCCACTCACCGCCCTCCCAAGGAAAAGCATGGATATGGCATCTTGGCAAGACTTGGCGGTGTGAAGGTGACTTCAGTCGTGTCCGACTTTGCAAGGTCATGTGTACCATATAGTTGTTCTTATATTATTTTGTCGTGAACTGTTGGCTTGGAGAACTGGAACCGACTGGTATGACTGGTGATGAATCTCGTGAGCAAACATATAAAGAAAGAAACAACATCCAGAGACCAAGTGAAGTGGGGCACTTCGTCTCAAGGTTAGTCGTTTCATCTTTGTTTCAGAAGTATTACAGTACTTTACAAAGCATCCAGCTAAGCAATCATGTTCACAGTGAGTCTTCCTATTATTGATTTTCTTACTGGGAGGTCTTCAAGATCTTCGGTTTTCCATGGTTCTCATATTCTTACTAATTTCTTGCTGGGAGGTCTTCAAGTACCGCAGTCCGTGTCCCGAAATCGCATGTTTGGTTGGTGATACTCCTACCCTTGTTGCTTCAATCTGACCTTTCTCGATCATTCCGAAAAACGCCTTGCGGTTCTGCTTGTCCAAAAACTACAACTACGCCCCTGAAAACTACGTAAGGTAGAACTTTATGGAACCACAAAAAGACGTTTCAAGAGAGCAAAACCATCTTCCAGACTCCTGCACTTGGCGTTCCATGCTGTAGGCTAAGATGTACACACGCCATCACACGCCAATGTCGCATGCTTTTGTCTCAAAGAATAAAAAGGCACATAGACCTTCAATACATTATCATATACACCCATAAAGTGCAGATGTTTGCCATGGTGGCATGTCAACCCATCATTATGGGGTGATTTGCGGGTCGAGGTGGTCGTTGCATGCAATGATGATATGCACTTTGCAGGTCAAGAACGTTTCTTGAACTGCCATTCGATCAACCAAAGGCAATAAAGCAACTGTGTGGGGGTTCCTATCAGGAATCTAAAAGAATATGCCCCATAATAAACCCAAATGGCCTATGCTTTAAGACTGAGTTTATATATATATATGTTTATATCACATAGATAATCCCATCCTACTGGTAGGCTCCGATGTGAAAAACGGTGGTGAATGGCGAGGTTTCATCGTCTCCTCCCAGATGAACCAAGACATTCGCTTCGACCGCAATGTCATCGACGTACCGGCCACGCCTGCTCTCCAGGGCCCCTTGGTCTAAGTCAGTTCCAGACATGGCGATGGCATGGGAATCCCCGAACGAAATAGGAAAATCATATAAACATATGGGAAAATCATGGGAACATATGGGAAACTCCCCTATAGCTGGAGATGTTCATGGGAAACTCATAGAGAATCATCGAACTAAATGGGGGTTCTAGCTAGCCATGTTTGATTACAACAGAGTTAGACTTCAAGACCGGAATTGAACGGTTCAACCTTAAGTACGGGTTGTTTGAACCATCAACGTCTGGAAAACATGGGGAAAGTATGGGAAAGCTAGGTGAATGGTAGTCCAACCATCAGATATCAAGATACTGGTAGAGGCTTAAGCATCCAGAATGTAGCTGGCGGTTGTTTACTCTTCCAATGACCAATATTTTGGAGCAGAACTAAGGTTGCAGGGGGTTGGCACATGTGTGATTTTCTGGATCTACCCGATTTTGGTAGATTCATGCGACTTGGTTCCACAACGCGATAGGAAAATAGATTCGCCAGCCAAAACATGTTTTTTTTTGGAGGGATATACCAAGGCATACATGCCGAAGATTGGCCCCATGATACTGAAGCAACAAAGTCTCCCAAGCGGCCACTAAGTCAATGGGAATTTCAGGATCCTAAAATGGAGGTACCTACCATTACCATATATAAGGCCTATTTTTGAGGCCTATGTAAGTGAATATCCCCAGCAAAATATGGCCAAAAATATGGTACTAACGTACCTCCATTTTAGGATCCTGGATTTCCCATTGATAACCATCAATCAATTATTAACCATTAAATGGCTGGTGGGGATCCTGGATTTCCCATTGAACTAAGCAAAGCTTTCTGACTTTCAGCCGTTGTGCCGTTCATTTCCCATTGCTCAGGACAGCTGGTTGTCGTGGACATTGTTTCTTGGAGTCCAACAACGGGTAAACCATGGGCAGTTTAGTGTTGATTTGTCTGCTGTTTGTTTTGTACATATATATATATATATATAGATATAGATAGATATATAGATGATATGAATTATATATGTAGTGTATATTTATATGTATAGACCAGCAGAGAAATCTTGGGAATCCAAAATGGGCTGTGTTTAGCTCTGTTTTGGGGGCAGTGGTTTCTGGTCATGTTTCGTCACCCGATGGCACCCGAAAAAATGGACAGCTCAGATGGCAATAGCACATCGTTTATGACGAACATACCCATGACGGATCCATGGTGCTGGTATATATATGCTAACATGGCTCCCATCAATATACTCCCTTTATGTTATTATATATACCAGCACCATGGATCCTATGGGATACCAGCAAATTGAAGAGTTTGTTATGGAAAACGGATGAAAATATGATCCTGTAAAAATGGCTCATGGATTTATCTGTTGAAGATGATTCATTTTCCGCGGAGGCCATCAGGCCAGATGGCAAGTACAATGCGTCGAGGGTCTCATTGCAAGAGAACCCGAGTCACTCGGCAATCACCGGGGATATTTTGTGGGTCAACATTTTTTGAAGCCATGTTAGGACCACGGTTTCTGCTCATTTTTAGTATGAATATGTCTTCGGCCTTAATTTTAGGGTATCTTGGTTTGACGGAACTGCCAATTTCTTGGGAGCTCACTTCGGAAAAAAGGGGATGGTCTTTTGTTAAGACTGCATGCGATGGTATGATATCATCAATCAAGATAAAAGGATCAACCAAGCAAATCATCAGGAAAGCCAGCGAGAATAAGGAGCTTATACAACGAGCAACACAACTCGAAATTTCAACAGGTCAAGCTGGGTGTTGGTTTCTTCGAGCGGTGGAAGACATCGAATCTTGTTGGGATGTGAAACATCCAGCAAGTCGGGTTTGTGCTATTTTGTGCTATCATCATGAAATGTTTCACATACCTACGTTATCCTACATTATCATCATGAAAAAGAAGATCAACTGCCAATTTCATTTTTTGGTTTTGGAGACCAACTGAACGGGAGCGGATTGCTGATTCGTAGCAGGTGTGTCTTGGTTTGTTCCAATCCAAGAATCCAAGTCAGTTGTTCCCTGATATCAGTGGTTTAATCTGATCATATCAAATGATACCTAGGTGTAACCCACGCTACATAAATCCCCATATGCATCCATATATACACATTATCACACATCCTTGAAGGGGAGCATATCCAGTTACAACCTTCTGGATGCAATTTGCATCCCAGTTACGTGCAGGGGCTGTCGCAAAGGAACAGACGACAAAGCAGAACATATTGGAAACACTCTTTGGGACTTTTGGACAATTTTTCTGTTCATATATCTAACATATATATATACTGTATACTGTATAATATGTATATATATATATATATTTGTGTTATATATATATGTATAGATAACATATAACACACAGAGTTCTACAATGTATTTTATGTTCATATGCATATTTGAAATTGTATAACATATACTGTAGATCGAGAGCGCCAGGAATGGGACCAATGCCGCCAGCAGCTCCAGCAGCAACGCCATATGTGAATGGGAACAGGTTGGAGGGTCCAATTTTCCTGGGACTTGATGGCAACTAATATCACCAATATCATTATATAGTTGGTGAAAGTAAATTAAAGTTATGGATCAGTGGGGATTCTTCACATGATGAGAAAAACAACTTTGGGATTTAAATTAGTGCTCATTGATTTCGTAGTCCATATTTGTATTCCATCCATTTACATGATCAAATGTTGATTTTATGCTTTAACCAACTGGAGGTGCTAGAAGCTTTGGGCCATGCTCCCGCACAAATGGGAAATCAAGGAGCTACTAAGAGTTTTCCAACCACATGCAGCCGATTAGTAAAGACTAGAAATTGAGGACAATTCGGCACTCATTTGTAGATTTGTATTAAAAAAATGGCAGGTTTTACTGTGCAGGGAGTGCCGAAGTGCCAAGGTCGTAAGCTGCAAGCAATCGAATTTGGGAGGACATTCAATATATATAAGAATCACGCCGTTTCATCGGTATTTCTCCCACTGGTTGCTTGATTAAACCAAAGACCGGCAACGAAGCACTAGGTAAAGGCAGGTTGAAGGGTCAGTCGCTGGCCGCTCCATTTGCCCCCAAAAATTGAAAAGGACATCCCCAGGCCCTAGCCCTGAGATTTGCAGGGGTCAAGAAATACAACTTACATGAAGTCAATAATCCGCTATCTAACCTACACGAGAGCCACGAAAAAATCAAATCAACATGAGTTTGGAACATTATTTTATTTTTGGGTACCTTCATTTTTTGGTGAGTATGTTCTGTGTTGTTTCTTTAATATGTGAAGTGGGTGCCAAGCTTCGCAACAGAAACCCATGGAAGTTCCACTGAGCAGAGTTACATTGCTGTGGCAAGTGCCAATCACAGCAACTACAGGACAGTTCGTGAAGAAGCACACATAACATGTTTACACATCATCTAAATTATCAGTCAAACATCATGTTAAATATTGTTAGATGCAATATCTTTTGAGGCTTCCATGTAGGTATTGGTCAAACTGAGGATACCCTCATACAATAGCTATATTAGATTACCGCGAGGTACCAAAGACAATGTTGAACTGGGCAACCCAATTTGACTCATAGCCATGTGGCTTTGAATGAAGAACAGGTTTTGGGGTAAATATGATAATATGCCATCAGGTGTCTTTCTCCACAACGAATGCAACTTATCATGTAGAATCAGCGTGTATGATAATGTTATACTACGAATGTTATACTACGTATAGATAGTAATTAAACTTTAACAAAAGTCATGTCAGATGGTGTTTCCACCACCTTATAATGGTACATTTGTACATGTTTTTTATACATTGTTCCATTTTTCCCGTAGAAAAAAAGATTTATCCCATGTTTTCTTATACATGTTTCCCCATTTTTCCCATAGATTTCCCCATTTTTCCCATAGAAAAAATGTGTTCAGTGCCATCCTCAGCATCTCCCCTCCCCACCTCCCCAGGATGCCACCGATCGCCAGGGGCTCAGCTGAACACCAAGGGCTCAACTCCATGGTAGGCGCGCGGCCGTAGGAATGGGATGGAATGATCAACAAAAAAACGTTAAACATATATGAGAAAATAATGGGACAACTATGGGAATATGATAGGAAATTGATGGGGAAATGATGGGAATGATATGCAATAAAATATAAAAAATTATGGGAACACGATGGGAATATGATAGGAAAATGATGGGGAAATGATGAGAAGATGATAGGAAAATTATGGGAACATGATGGGAACTTGATGGGAATTATATGGGAAAATGCCGGAAAATATGGGAATATGATGGTGACATGGGACAATTATGGGAAAATGATGGTGAACATATGGTTAACATACGTATGGTGAACATATGGGAATGATCGTTTCAACAACTATTTTCAGAATCCCATTCCCTATCATGTTCATGAACATGTCCTACGTTTAGCACAACGTTAAGTTGTTTTTTTGTGATGATTTTTCATGATGAGTTTAAACGTAGGATGACGAACGACACATTTTGGTGTTCAAAAACGACCATATGATTTGCCATGATTTCCCATCATTTTGGACGATGATTTTCGATGATGCATTTGCAATGATTCAGTGTAATTGCACACATGCTGTTTTGCTGTGATTCTTAAACCATAGTGAAACCGCTACTCTTGAAGGAAATTCATGTTGGATCATATTGGCATAGATTCATGATGTCAGTTTGTCTTCCGTGGTATGTGACCACTAGGCTGATGTTTTCAGTCGATATGATATATAATATATATATATATAGATAATGTGTTTGAATTTCCTTTCTTTTTTCCTGTGCTCTAGTCCTTGAGTGGTTATTTCAGAATTTCAGATATATCCAGGTTTTGTACATCTAGAGTAAGAAGCTACTTCGCATATGTAAAGACATCGCCAAATCTGGTGGATTTCACATCTCCTTAATATCCGGTATACCATCGCGTTGATGCTCAGGCATTGTGAAGGCGTTCCTCGGCAGCAGGACTGAAAATGTCGGATTCTTCAGGAATGATGACACGTGTGTGTATATATTACCCTCTGGTAAATTTTCACATAGACCCTTAAAATCACCAATTTTTAGTGGAAACTAGTCTTCCAATCCCGACAACTGGCAGGGTCTATGTTATTTTTTTTTTTGGTGATCTATACTGTAATGTATAAGACCCAATGGTAAATAGCACCCATGTTATGTCTTGGGTTCAAGATTCCGTTCTCTGTTTGTTGAGTTTATGATTAAGTTCCATATATAAGGAGTATGGGAATAGGGAGCCATTAACAATGACTTCAAGAAGGTTTGGGGCCGTGAAAGTCATCCAGCTCGTGCCATATTCCATGGCACCTTTCAAGATCCTGATGAAGACGATTGCAAAGTCAAATATCGTAAAATTCAATGGAAAATTCACCAGTTTTAGGATTGCTATTATTGTTTTTTTCCATTTTCCATGGGTCATTCCATGGATTTTTTTCCGCCGCAGCTTGCTACGACGCATATCCATCCCAACCAAGGGGGATGATCCTTTCAAACTGACGCCGATTTCGTGGCGTGGGTGGTGAACACCAGCTGTGTTTGTTGCTTAATCCACCCTCTGGTAAACCTACAAAAAGCTATTGAAAATGGCCATTTATAGTTGATTTACCAATTAAAAATGGTGATTTTCCATAGTTATGTTAGTTTACCAGAGGGTAATTCTTACCAGTGTTTGTTAATACTATCCAATGATTGTTGGATATTGTTGATTGATATTCCCATGAATCATACAATGGTCAACTCGTGGTTTGGGTTGGTGCTTTACAATCCGCTCGCTATGCCACATGCTCTGTTCACAAACCTTTCGTATGCATCCTTTCCAGCGACCATCCAAGTTTACAACCCTTTAGGTTGCTGAAAATCCGTCATGCTTGTTGCCAAAGTGATCGATTTTGAACCTTCGCAGCCCGATCAAACATCTCCAAACATCCGGGGGAATTCTACCAGCTTAGGTTCAATCTCCGCGCGGGCATGGGCTGCCTGACTGTCAGTGGCTACGCGGGTGATGTGGCCTTCAGTGCCTTGGCAGCCTTGACTGGGACGCTAGCAGGAGCGGAGCAGCGAATGGAGCAGAGACTGAACTGAAGCATGGCTTTTTCCAGGGGTGTCTAGTAAAGAACAAAGGGGTCATTCTGACCATTCCGTTCTGATCGGAGACTTTTTGGTTTTGGGGTCAATCAGGTGTGAAGCATCTCAGAGTTGACAATCGTGATACTTCTTGAATTAATCTGAATCCCCAAAAATCGCTTGTTATCAGTTGAGACTTCGTTATCAGCAGGGGAATTTTCAGTTTATATATGTTTATACTGTTCAATTAGTGAAACTATCCCCAAGAATTTCTTGTTGATTCCCCATGTCATCAAACATCAGTAATGGAGATTGAGCCGATTTGGCCGCAGATGCCAGCGATCCCGGCATCATCGTGGGCAGCATGGTCTCCTTTAGTCCCTCTAACACCGATGGACGACTCTGGGCCAACAACGTGCCTCGGAAAATCGAGATGAGCAGGGCAGTGGCCGATGAGAATTGGAAGAATTGGAAGGTAGCCTCCATGGATTAAGGCCTTGGATTATGGCAGGTACATCCAATAAATCCATACCTGACGTGGCGATTTTGGGGATGGTTGTTTCTACCAGAGGTTTGGAGTTGTTTCGCTGTTTCATGCTGTTTCTATCTAAGGGGGTAAGAGGGTTGTTGTTTGTAAACTGGCTGGTGGATGGCGAGCTTATGGCTTAAGAGTCTGACACGTGGAGCAGAGATGGCCAACGATATCATCACATTGTTGTGATGCATACTGTCCCCTCTGCATACTAACAAAGACCCCTGATAGATGCATTGACATGTCCATGTGCACATTTACATGTCCATGTGCATAGCGAAGTTTATCTGAAGAATTGCATCATTTCGTTCGCGATTGACTGCATGTTTTTGAACCGCAATCTGTGCAACTCGAGTTTCGTAAATATAAATTTGTCAAACAATTGGCCAAAAAAAAGGCCCAGTCGATTTGGAGTGGTGTTTTGCCACTGAAGCCTAAATGTTTGTAGGTTATATAATGGTGTTGATTCTTGACTCATACCCAAATGGCTGGCAAGTGGGCGATCTCCAATTCCAACTGCATGGCCTGGCTACAAGGAGGTCCGTTGACCAGCTATTGCCGAAATCCCAAGATGTTGGTTGCGGACCAGCAATTTAGAGAGGGAGATGAGGGAGAGATGTTGGTACATCATGATATGATTTAGAAAGATTTAGAATATGCTACAAAATTTGCAGAGGTTGCCCTCTGGCAAACCAGAAAATTACCCATGTCTAGATCATTTCTAGTTTGTTTTAAAGAACATTACCCATGTTTTTTTTAATGGTCAGGTTCCATGGTTTGTGACGACCAGAATGCTGCTGATTGCGGCGATTGCCCAGGTCTTGCCCATTGCGAGCAGCACCCATTCCGCACCCGGGATCGCGACCCAAAATGGCTGGGAACTCCCCGAAAATTTTGCCTGGAGCTAAAATTACAGTAGCTGGGAAAACCAATGAACACATATACAGTATATATGTATATGTGTGTGTGTGTGTGCATGTATGTATGTATATATATATATATATATCAAAAGCATCCATATAAATATGTGAACCATCACCCATCGCTGGGAACATGTATAAACTGCAAAATCACCGAAGTCGGCAATGTTCGGTTGCCGTGTTTGATCTCTAGGTGAAACGACCCATGGACTTGAGCTCAGCAAGGGCAGGCACGGCGGGTCCGGGTAGGTCCGGGTAGGTCCGGGTAGGTCCAGGTACTTGGATCTTGCCACCTGGACACCTGGATTTTGATCTAATGTCAACCCTGGATTGATAAATAAACCATGGTTTACTAATGTTTATTAATTAACTATAACCCATAGGATCCATGTATGGTATATATGCTAACATTGGGGGTATATTGATGGGATCCATGTTACCATATATAGCATACATGGATCCTATGGGTAAGGGGTGTACTCCCAAACAGTGATCATTTGATAATTACTCATGAAGGGTTGGCAAGCAACATCCCTAACCTTGGGTGGGTAGTTGGACCACGGCTTATAGACGGCCGTGGGTTTTGGGGGGGTTTGGGGGGGGCTGATAACGTTCTTGGCTGCCCGCCTTACAAGATATTCTCTTGGACTTGCTGCTACGCTATCCACTCTTCTCTTGCACCGTACCCTGGCACACGCTATCAACTTTTTCTTGTAACTTGCAAGACACTCTTGATTTTCGCATTGTTGTTTCTTGGGGGGGGATTTGGGGGGGTTTTGGGGGGGGGCTGATAACGTTCTTGGCTGCCCGCCTTACAAGATATTCTCTTGGACTTGCTGCTACGCTATCCACTCTTCTCTTGCACCGTACCCTGGCACACGCTATCAACTTCTTCTTGTAACTTGCAAGACACTCTTGATTTTCGCATTGTTGTTTCTTGGGGGGGGTTTTTTTGGGGGGGCTGATAACGTTCTTGGCTGCCCGCCTTACAAGATATTCTCTTGGACTTGCTGCTACGCTATCCACTCTTCTCTTGCACCGTACCCTGGCACACGCTATCAACTTCTTCTTGTAACTTGCAAGACACTCTTGATTTTTGCATTGTTGTTTCTGATAACGTTCTTGGCTGCCCGCCTTACAAGATATTCTCTTGGACTGCACGCTGCTGGCACACGGGTAACTTGCATCGATTTCTTGTTGTTCTTGCTGATAACGTTCTTGGCTGCCCGCCTTACAAGATATTCTCTTGGACTTGCTGCTACGCTATCCACTCTTCTCTTGCACCGTACCCTGGCACACGCTATCAACTTCTTCTTGTAACTTGCAAGACACTCTTGATTTTTGCATTGTTGTTTCTTGGGGGGGTTTTGGGGGGTTTTGGGGGGGGCTGATAACGTTCTTGGCTGCCCGCCTTACAAGATATTCTCTTGGACTTGCTGCTACGCTATCCACTCTTCTCTTGCACCGTACCCTGGCACACGCTATCAACTTCTTCTTGTAACTTGCAAGACACTCTTGATTTTTGCATTGTTGTTTCTTGGGGGGGGTTTTGGGGGGGGCTGATATACGTTCTTGGCTGCCCGCCTTACAAGATATTCTCTTGGACTTGCTGCTACGCTATCCACTCTTCTCTTGCACCGTACCCTGGCCACGCTATCAACTTCTTCTTGTAACTTGCAAGACACTCTTGATTTTGCATTGTTGTTTCTTGGGGGGGTTTTGGGGGGGGGGCTGATATAACGTTCTTGGCTGCCCGCCTTACAAGATATTCTCTTGGACTTGCTGCTACGCTATCCACTCTTCTCTTGCACCGTACCCTGGCACACGCTATCAACTTCTTCTTGTAACTTGCAAGACACTCTTGATTTTTGCATTGTTGTTTCTTGGGGGGGTTTTGGGGGGTTTTGGGGGGGGCTGATAACGTTCTTGGCTGCCCGCCTTACAAGATATTCTCTTGGACTTGCTGCTACGCTATCCACTCTTCTCTTGCACCGTACCCTGGCACACGCTATCAACTTCTTCTTGTAACTTGCAAGACACTCTTGATTTTCGCATTGTTGTTTCTTGGGGGGGTTTTGGGGGGGGCTGATAACGTTCTTGGCTGCCCGCCTTACAAGTTTCAATGATCCAGCAATGGATGTGGCGTCAAACAATTTTGCCGTGTTCTCCCAAAGAATTGATGTCATGCCTTGTCGATCTGCTGAAGAAATATCATGACTTTCAATGACGGCTTCATCCACTGAAACAAATAGTTTGACTGCATTGCAAAATGACAAAAAAAAACATATTTTTCCCCATCTAATTACGAGATGAAGCCGCTTTAACTAATGGCACGGCTGCGTGAAAGATCCAAAATGGACTGGAATGCTCTGACCACTGTAAATCAGCAGAAAAACAAATGCTCAGCATTGCTGGTGTGCTGAATTCCTCACGGCCGCCTGTGAGCCGTGTACCTAGTTTAATGCTTTAGTTTTTTTGCTATAGACTATAAATGGAAATAATCAGAACTATTAAACAGCAAAATAGTATTTTTTGTGGGCTATCCAAGGTTGACCATGACAAGCCCCGAAAAATCCGACTGAAATAGTGGAAATGGTGGAACATTACACTATTTGCTTGGTACTATATAATACTATAGGATACTATAGGGTTTTGGAATATTATGGGAACGAAATAGTAATATAGCAACACTGCAAAATGATGGAACATGACTTTTCTAGGTGTTTTTGCAGGCACTATATTTATAACTCTCACTCCAATCTGATCTGTATATAATCGATGGGTATCTAAGGAATATCATGAAATATCATAATATATCATCAGAATCTCATTTGATGAAGCAGGTTTTAAAGAGACGATGAAGTTGGGAAGGGACTATCATTCCCAGCTGGGATAGCAATCCACCCTCGATGATGTGAAACTGCCGCATAACTGGAAGTGGTAGATTATTTTTCAATCAGCATCTGATACCATTGCCTTGACAATTTCTTCGGGTTTCAGGTTTGCCCACCACCCTTTTTTCAAAACGAGGCGCCGATCGCTGGAAGAAGCCACGGACGCACGAAGTCGCCACGGGGCAGTATGCCTCCGGACAAATCAAGACACCGTGGGGACGTCGTGGGGTGCACGCCTGGATGTGTAGATTAGTATTGGACTAATATAATATCCATTGTAATAAGGAGTAATTGACTAATATTAGTGGAGATATTATAATACTACTTAATACTACACACTACCATTGTCCAGTATTGATATCATTAGTACCAAAATTATAAATGATATTACTGTTAATTGCAATGGATATTAATTATTATTCATATCGGACTAATGTTAATGTACTTCCATTTTTAGCAACATAAAAAATACTCGTGCCAACATTGGTGGTTTCACTTTCAGTTCTCTTTCCATTCCTAAGTATTCCTAAGTCACTTTTCAAAGTAGCCAGATCGTGTTTCACTGACTGATGTTTCTCATTCCCAAGAAGGCAATCTGGCGCAGTTGACTTCGTTGCTATAGCTGTATGTAAACTTAAAAAGCAACTTTCCAAGTGTTTTGTTGTTGTTTTTTGTTCTTCCTTCTTCTTCTTCTTCTTCTTCAATAGCAGATGATCATGTTTTGTTAGATCACGCGCGCGTGCGTTTGATGGGAAGAGTGGCTAAAGATGACCCCTCCACAGTCCACAGGACCTACAGCGAACAGAAAGGTTTTGGCTTCATCCGCTCCGATGGCGGGGGTGTTGTGTGTCATTGGATCATTGGATCGGGTAATGACATGTAATAACATCAAACTACACAAAATTACTATACATGTATATATATATAATGCTTAACAATGGAACATGAATCTAAAGAATTAGAAGTCAATGCGGGTTAATGTTTCTCATCGTCAGTGTTTGATGAACATGGCTACATTCAGCTGTGAAAATCCGTGTAGCGTGGGATTCTCTACATGTCTTTGGGCGGGAATTGGAATGCAACATGTTTTTTTTTGCTCGGAGGATCGTGGCACTAAAAAAACAGAACTGCAACTCAAGAACAAAACAATGTTTTGGAAGCTGATTTTTCAGGATAGAGAACTGGAGAACTTTGATATTGATTTGGTTCATTTCAAATTCATTATATATTCTATAATTCTATATATAAAATTCTGATTTTGGTTCCAAATCATCGGAACCCCTTTTTTTCCAAATCGGCCAGGTCTGGCCGAAGACGTTTTCTTCTTGCGCACCTCGATGCCCGAGGAGTGCGCCAAACTGGCGCCGCTAACTCCGGTGATTCGAGAGGGATTGGCAAGTCGTCAATGGCTAGATATGAGCACCATAAATAAATACATGATAAATACATATATCTGGGTAAATTATAACGACCTCACTGCGACCTCACTGGAAATCATGGCTAGTAAGAGGAATCATCCCAAAATTGCCTTATTTCAGGTTAGTGAATTATTATCATTTACCCAGATATATGTATATACATATGTATATTTACATATGTATATTCATATGTATATACATAGTTGGAGATGTAGTTGTATTATGTTGTGTTCATAGTTGATACACATAAAATTCAATTTGCTTGAATTTTTTAACGACAATAAATGCCTTTCATGGTCACCCTTTGTTTGCCATGGATGCCAGGGAACGCCGTCCCATTTCTTCACTGGCCCACTGGATGCAACTGGTGAACCTTAGTTCACCTTGCTCCATAATGGTTGAAAGTCAACAGTGGTTATATGATCATGCAATTATTACTAACTAATGATCATGATTAACAATGGTCAATGGTGGTTAATCATGATGACTAATTATGATCATTAGTTAAACACCTATTAAACACCATTATTAATAGTTAACCTTAGTTAACCCTATTTAGCCATCCTTAATAATGCTTATGGCGAATTTATTGATAATGTTTCTGAGTGGTCATGGTTCCTTGTATGAGCTGCCGGCTAGGTACCGAGACACCGCTGGCACCGAGCTTGTGGGTTGCACGGTGCGCCTTTCAGCGATGGATGATGCGAAACCAGTGGGAAGTGGGACTTTATGGACATCATGTTGGAATTATATGGAAAATCCGAATTCCTGTTTTTTTTTTAAATCTGGCTGAAATGGGTGTGAATAGGGGGTTGAAGTTTTAAAGCGAACATAGCAGAATACGGCGTTCATGTGTGTTGCAGCATTGCAGTTCTAGTGATGCAAGGCTGGTGGTGCCCTTGTTGGTAGCTCTCACATGACAAAAACTAGGTCACGCCGACATTAGCGGCGCTGGACGTTTTGGCAGCTGGCTTGCAGCAACCTCTGTCTCAGTGAAACAGAGCTGGCATGGCTGCCCACACATCTCCTTTACAGTTGCGGCGCCACATCCAGCTGTAAATCCAATCCCACAACGCAGGATTCACCTTTTTGCTGGTTCCATCCTTTGCTGTGATCTCGGATGGAACATACTTTTTCAAATCCTGCCATGCTCACCCCACCCCAACCCACCCCACCCCAACCCATGCCCCACGTAGCAGCAACGTAGCATCCACGTGGTGTGCAAGCGCAAATGAACGTTAACATCCCACCCCACCCCAACCCATGCCCCAGGTAGCAGCAACGTAGCATCCACGTGGTGTGCAAGTGCAAATGAACGTTAACATCCCACCCCACCCCAACCCATGCCCCAGGTAGCAGCAACGTAGCATCCACGTGGTGTGCAAGTGCAAATGAACGTTAACATCCCACCCCACCCCAACCCATGCCCCACGTAGCAGCAACGTAGCATCCACGTGTGCAAGCGCAAATGAACGTTAACATCCCACCCCACCCCAACCCATGCCCCACGTAGCAGCAACGTAGCATCCACGTGGTGTGCAAGTGCAAATGAACGTTAACATCCCACCCACCCCACCCCAACCCATGCCCCACGTAGCAGCAACGTAGCATCCACGTGGTGTGCAAGTGCAAATGAACGTTAACATCCCACCCCACCCCAACCCATGCCCCACGTAGCAGCAACGTAGCATCCACGTGGTGTGCAAGTGCAAATGAACGTTAACATCCCACCCCACCCCAACCCATGCCCCACGTAGCAGCAACGTAGCATCCACGTGGTGTGCAAGTGCAAATGAACGTTAACATCCCACCCCACCCCAACCCATGCCCCACGTAGCAGCAACGTAGCATCCACGTGGTGTGCAAGTGCAAATGAACGTTAACATCCCACCCCACCCCAACCCATGCCCCACGTAGCAGCAACGTAGCATCCACGTGGTGTGCAAGTGCAAATGAACGTTAACATCCCACCCCACCCCAACCCATGCCCCACGTAGCAGCAACGTAGCATCCACGTGGTGTGCAAGTGCAAATGAACGTTAACATCCCACCCCACCCCAACCCATGCCCCACGTAGCAGCAACGTAGCATCCACGTGGTGTGCAAGTGCAAATGAACGTTAACATCCCACCCCACCCCCCATCCCACCCCTGGCCGTATATGCTGAAAAGTAGTAAACTCCTCTGATATGCTCAAAAGTAGTAAATTCGTCAGCGCCGCTAACGGCGGCGTGAGCGTAAACTAGTTTAAATATAATATTTGGAGATTGAGACTTGTGTCTTCTTGTTTGCCGAGCTTGCAGTTTACTGATTCACACTGAAGTTGAAGAAATTAAAAACAACCAGCAATTCTTTGCGTACACTTCGCGGGTACCGGGAACACACTTAATTTTCACAGAATTTCACAGCACTGAGCACTTGTACATGTTGGCTACATGTCACTGATGCTGTTCATATCAATGAATTTAGATGAATATAGAGAGATGATTTTGTTTCTTTATATATATATATATCTCTCTCTGTGTTTCTTGTCATCACATGTTTTTGTTTACCTATATCTAGGCTATATAGATGGCCGCAACCGCTAAAGTGGATAGCTACCGTTCAACTCTTGGCCCCGGACGCGAAGCTCGGAAAACACCATTTTCTATTTAACAGCTAGGGAACTTTTAGCATTTAACATGGGACGAAGAATTGTGGTTTAATGGGATTTAGCCAACAAACATGGTGATGTTAATGGGATGTTGATATATAATGTGGGTAAAACAATGCCATAAACCACCCATTTGGGAATTGTTTATTATACCACCTGTGTGTTTACTGAGTTTTATCTACTGGGGAAGTAAGACTTCAAAAAGAGACATCTTGCGGAGGCAGGTGATATTTCTACTGGAGACTGGGATTCAGCCACGGAGATGCCAAACATTGATATATCATATCACGAATACTACTCATAGGGACCTCTACTGGATATTGATATATCCTATAGCCATGATGCGGAAACCAAGCTTCTAGGAAGCCTATCCAGCATTGGGAAAAACCATCTACAAGGTAGATACGCTGATCGTTGATGTGTTTGACACCCCAAGCTGGTACCAGAAAAACACCTTGTCATTTCATAAAACCATATAAAACCATATAAAACCTGAATGACATCCATAAAAATCGATTTTCCTGGGGAGAAACCGGAGAAAGCTATCAATTGCCATGGTGTGTTCTTTCCCCAGCGGCTAATCCTTCCATTTTACCGTCACAAAAGGGGCATCCTGGCCCCCCTTTAGCAGGTCAACTTTGAGCTGGTGAAGACGGTGGATGGGAGACGTGGCAGTCCCATAGTTGTTTTGGATGTTTTGGGATATACATACATATACCCTCCAGTAAATTAACATAGACCCTGCCAGATAGGGGTTGGAAGACTAGTTTCCACTATAAATTGGTGATTTTCAGGGTCTATGTTAATTTACCAGAGGGTAACTGGTTGGTGGTGGTTTGGGAACATGAATTTTATTGACTTTCCATATATTGGGAATTTTATCATCCCAACTGACGAACTCATGTTTTTCAGAGGGGTGGGTATACCACCAACCAGATATGATGAGTTCGGCATATTATTCCCGATGGATCCAAACAACTCCTGAGAAGGTACAGACACCCCAGTCCCACTTCCTAAGAAGGTACGGCTGGATCCATAGGGATTGTATATACTTATTAATAACAACAACAATGCATGTTACATATATCATATATACTGATTTTACATTTACACGCATATGATATATGTAATATATAGTATGTGTTTAAATTGTTTGGCTATTGGTCTGGCTTTTTTACGGGGATGTTATCTACTCTTACCAGTAAAGTTTGAGTGGTGACCCGACTGGTGCCATCCCCAGGAAATCTCGAGCGCATCAGGTGGTCTTTGTTCCATAGGCCCCGCTGGGATGACAAAACTCTGGGCGAATGCGCGAATGGCAATACTCGTCCACAAAAAAAGGACCAGAAAACATGTGTGCAAATTATGCTAATATTTGTGAGGGTCCTTCCTGTCATGAACGAGGGAAGTAGAATTGAAACAGGACACCATCATTTTCCAGGCTGGGAAAAAAACAACATCGCAATATATTGCAATATCTTTTGCTAACGAAACATGGCACCAAATTTTCCTTGATGTGTCTCTTAAATGTGTGGGACATCTCATTTTTCATAGGGAAATTTCCCTAAAAATTCCAGCGAGTTCAGCTCAGTTTAGCTGCCCCCCTTGGAGGTCACATGAGCGCAGCGCAGCGCAGTGGTGATCTGGTGATATGGTGCATCCTTCATTGGATGACAGCATGGAACAGGATGAAAATCCACCATGTTCGCAGTGGGGATCATGATGTCGATGTCTTTTTTTTTTCAGGGCATGGATGTCATGGGAAACCCTTCGTTGTTTGCACAAGAGTTTCAGCACAGAGGGAAAATACATCAAACCCAAGAGAACGTTTGGTGGGAAACAGTCTCAAAATTTAATGTGGACCCCTTTGTCATGGATCCAATGATTGTATCAACTCGGGCAGGGCATTCACGTGTCGCAGACGCAGCTGTAGACCCACGATTAAGCCCCAGAAATAGGTTTGCAAGATTGTGTGTGCAAGACATGTACTTTGCTTCCAGCCTATTTGTGGATGGATTGTAGCTATACACAAAAGTTACTTACAGTGATGCGTCGTTTTTTGTCATTGATAGATATATGTTATAGATCTGTTTGTGCAATATGTCATATCCAGGTTTAGTAAAGATACTTTTTCGCAGACGAGCGGCAGACTAGCACATAGATCAAATAGATTTTGTCATTTCACAAGGCGTAGCGTGTCATGACTCGTGCATCTGAAGCTCAAGGAGGAACGTCACCATAAAACCGTCGTAGCAACGCTCTCCTGCGATGGGAGGGTTATGAGGGATCAGGAGCTCTCCGAAGGGATGCGACGGAAAAAAGTGGTCGGAGTCTGGAAGAGCTGGAAGATATTGATACAAGATTTGAAGATGAAACCGGCACCAAGTATCACTAGGTATCTCTAGGATTATCTAGGTACTAAGTATCACTAAGTGGGGTCCAGAAGATAACTGTTCATGTGCTGGGTATGGTCAGCATTAGGTTCTAGGATGTTCTAGGGATTTTCTATGGAAAGTTGTGAGTGTAATCCATCAAGGACACAGGAAGGTGATAGTCCCAGAGTTTCTATGTTTGGAACGGCTTTGTTACTCGTGTTTCTTGCGCATATTAAAGTTTATAGAGTCGGCCCCAAAAAGATAGAGCCGTAATTTAACGCTAGTTTAGTAGCATATTCTTTGCAATCTTTTAGGTTGACATACTCCATCACTTCTTTTCATACCCTAAATTGTGATGATTCATGATGAGGATGTCAATGCCCAGTGCATATCATTTGGTTGAAACGATGGTTAATTAGAGAGAATCATCCCAAAGTCACCCAACATCCCAAGGATTGTCATCATTTTCATCATTAAAATTGCAGATTTTGGGTAGCCCTTTAGGCTGGGGCCATGAATTGCAACCAAGTTCAAGGCACAAATCGCGTTGCGGGGACCCATGGCTTTTTAGTGGGAACACTGCGGGACCCATGGCTAGAAATGGTCACCATCCCCCACAGGCTCCACAGGAGCTAAATGTGCAGTCTGGCAGTGGTATTCTCTGTTTGGATATACCCTCCGGTAAACTGTCACATAACTATGGACAATCACCATTTTTCATGGAACAATTCACTATAAATGGTGATGTTCAATAGCTGTGTTAAATTACCAGAGGGTAACCAAGATGTGCCAAGTGAGATCATTTCCATGTGAAAAGTCCATGTTGTCAAAACCATTTCGGCATCTCCCCCTAGTGGACTCGACCCCGTCGCCGCTTCAGGTGTGGAGGGACATGCCGTACGATGCGAAGAGTGACATGTGGTCTTTAGGCTGTGTGCTGTATGAAATGGCCTGGGGCCTCAGCCTGTGCAAAGTGAAACACAGTGTGGGTCATGCTGTTCTCACATGTTCTTAGGTCAATGTTTAAAGAGGAAAAACCATGAAAACATGGCTCCCTACTCGTGCCGTTCTTTAAATTTTATTAGATATTTTTTGTTGGGACTGGGATGTTCGTCGCAGTACCTTCTAGGTCACTGTGTTTCCAGACAGTCGAGGATTTGCTGTTTGGGTTTGGGATATCCAAGTCATTCCAAACGGGTAAGCTCGGTTGGGTAGCTTAACCAATTTCTTTTGGGCCGTTCTTTATAGTGTAGCAGTGGAACATATCATGGCATCGGTTCACAGAATTTATCATATTCTCATTGTATCATGATTTGAAATATTAGAAATCAGCGAACTGATATCATGATTCTAGTAGTGCTGCAGTCTATATATTCGAATTTATATTGTGCGCTGAAAGAACTAGCATAGCCGACATTACGTGGCTTTCTGACGTTGGCGCACCCATGGGAGCATGGGCTTGCCCTCTAGGTAGCATTGCGACCACCCTTTCGAGCAGAAGACATGGAGGGCCTGCTGGGAGTCCAAGACGCCTTTTGTGGGAATTGGGCTGGGGGGGGGGTAACTTTTCCCAGTGGAAGCTGTATTAAAGCGCTAAGATCTAGATGTTTGGAAAATTCACACGAGATTTTGCTAAATGATACCTGAGCCAGTGTGATCAGGTATCGTCTATAGTTGATTTGTTGGGGTTACAGGATTGGAACTCCCTTTGTGTTGCCGGGACGAGAAATAATGTGATTTCCACCTTGGGAGGCGAGCATCAACTTCAGCAACATCTGGGGGTACCGGGATATATAAGCAAGGGACGATACATGGAAATTATTTGAAATGTGCAGGGATGCCTATAAGTCTATATTATAATATATATATATATATATATGTACAAAATATAATTGTAGATCTAAAGGTCCACTACAAAGGCCGCCAGGGTTCCAACATGAGACCCCGCAAAAGTTTTTCCCCACCTGCCAGGTGAGGGTTGTTAGATTTTATCAGAGCTGTTCTCCTCCTCCTCCGCCTCCTCCTCCATCTCCTCCTCGCAGTCCAGATCCCAGTGGGCACAGCCGGACCTCCACCGCGAGCTCCAGATCCCAGTGGGCACTGCCGGACCTCCACCGCGAGCTCCAGATCCCAGTGGGCACGAGCTCAAGATCCCAGTGGGCACTGCCGGACCTAAACCGCGACTTCCAGGTTGCAGTGGGCACTGCCGGACCTCAACCGCGACTTCCAGATCGCAGTGGGCACTGCCGGACCTCAACCGCGACTTCCAGATCGCAGTGGGCACTGCCGGACCTCAACCGCGACTTCCAGGTCGCAGCGGGCACTGCCAGACCTCAACCGCGAGCTCCAGATCCCAGTGGGCACTGCCGGACCTCAACCGCGAGCTCCAGATCCCAGTGGGCACTGCCGGACCTCAACCGCGACTTCCAGATCGCAGTGGGCACTGCCGGACCTCAACCGCGACTTCCAGATCGCAGTGGGCACTGCCGGACCTCAACGGGAAGAATGTCAGAAAAGATGTCAGATAGAATGTCAGAAAATATGCCATATAGAATGCCAGAAAGAATGTCAGATAGAATGTCAGAAGATATGCCAGACAGAATGTCAGAAGATATGCCAGAAAGAATGTCAGAAGATATGCCAGATAGAATGTCAGAAGATATGCCAGATAAAATGCCATGAGATATGCTGATAGAATGCCAGAAGATATGCCAGATAGAATGCCAGAAGATATACCAGATAGAATGCCAGAAGATATGCCAGATAGAATGCCAGAAGGTATGCCAAATAGAATGCCAGATAAAATGTCAGATAGAATGCCAGAAGATATGTCAGATAGAATGCCAGAAGATTTGCCAGTAAGAAAATGTATAAATGTCATGGTGGGGATCACACGAAGTAAAGTATTTTTTTTTGGGGGGGGTGGGCGAAAGATTTAGCGAACGATGTTAACATGAGACCCCCACGAAAGATAAACGAGGGGTTCGCGAAAGATTCGCAATTTTTTTTTTATTCGCGAAGAATGGCCGTTTGCAGATAAAGGAAGTGCAATATTTTGCGCTTACTGTAGCATCTGTAGTTTGGGGATGGGGTTTGCGTGGCAGATTTGGCGCGCACATGCCAAAAGAAGGGGCTCGAGCCCTGCTGCATGTTTTCCGGGCCTGCGCAATCGAAGTGATCAAGCGATCAGAGTGATCAGAGTTTTCTTGTGTGCTGTGGCGTCTTGAACGCGCAAAACAGATAAACAAAACATCAAAAACAGTTGATACAGTCGGAGCATCCACATTGACAATAGGAAACCCACACACCAACTTGAGGTACAAAAAAAATGGGATCTGCGGGTAGTTGATTGTAGATATTGTAAGGAGAGCTACCCTACCCAATGTAATCAATATAATCAATATATTATGGTGTTTACCATGAAAAGCTCAAGGGAATATCAGGAACCATCATTACCCAAGACATTTTTGACCCATGTTCACTTCTGTGTTTTTCAGGGTTTCTTGTTTGTTTTGACCTGTGGTTTGCATATGTTTGCATGTTTGGAGCTGAACCTAGGTTCCAAGAAATTTAGCCCGGCAAGTTGTGACACTGTTGACTTAAAATTGTGTTTGGCTAAATTTTCGGGTCCTAGCCCTAGAGGGACTAGGGCCAGGGGATTTAGCCTGGGAAAAAAAACCCTCATAGAAATTTAGCGGGCTAAATTCTGGGTCCTACCCCTTGTACGTAGTACAAACCCGGATAAAAAAAATATAAAGAAAGGAGGAAATGCTTTAGGATGTAGGTGGTTTGCACGCCAAATCCTTGATTTGTTTTTTTCGTTTTTTTTTTTGCGGAAGGTTCTCCATGGGGCCCTCTCAGAAGATTGTCGTTTTTGTTTTTGTTTTTCCAAGTTTTTTTTTAACAGCACCTCCCCTCAAAAAAAAAGTGCAAAGTCTGGAGTGACGAAGGTAGATCATTGGGGAGGTGTGACCATATTATATATATATATACATAACCATATCGGTGTGTTTGCGCAAAATATAGGGGCATAGCTATCAAACCAAGACAATTCTTGGCCCCACAGCCACAGCATATCTCCTGGCTGTGCGCCAAGTAATAGGTACCACAAAGTGGTTCGTGGCCAATATCCACGAATTCCTGCTCACTATGGCCAAGATTTGGCGGATGTCATCGCTGCACTACTGCAGGCCGGAGATGTGGGTGAGTTCATGTTGATCAGGTCTTCATGGCATAGCCTGATCTCAGCCTGATTTTCAGCCTGCCACTATTCGAGGCCTATGCAAATGGCAGATATATTCAAATAAAAAATTGGGCACTTTCGCCGAAACCCCAGCATTTTTGACCCTCATCTGAAATCCTATGACAAGGATTTCACATGTGGGGGTTTCCTAAAAATAGGGGTATCTCCACGTATCATCCCATTTTCATGGGATTTTTCATTGTAAACCATCCAGCGATAAAGGGGTACCACCGTGACTATGGTTAAACTGCCATGAAACTGCACCGTCGGGACGCCGGGGACCTGGCAGACCTGGCAGGTCCACCCACGGAATAGGCCCAGCGTGGAGCAATTGCTGCAGATGCCACAGATGATGCGGCATTCCATTGGCCTTCGAGAGGACGGGACGGGATGAATCATGATGAATCCCAGTCTTCAGAAGTGAAACACAGCCGAAAAGATATCCTTTTTTTTTGGGAAATCCCCTACATCCAGCATGGTTTCTATTAAGGAGGTGTTTCATGATTTGAATATGGGGGATCGGATTATAGGAGATGTGAATGTGAATCATAACTGCTTGGTGGTTTGGAATTTGGAACATGGCTTTTATTTTCCCCAATAGTTGGGATGATGATCCAATCCGACTTTCATAAATTTCAGGGGGGTGGCTCAACCACCATCAAGAGAATTGTTTTTTTCTGTAAAAAGATGCCAAAACCTGGTTTCCAGAGGCGACCTACGTCTATGGAAGTTGTTCTTTTGATGAGAAAACATCCATGGCCATCCATGGCATCCCAACGATGGGACCCAAAGAGGCTCATACGATGATTTGATTTGGGATCTTCCAGTACCACTCGAATTTCAGAAAGGGAAAGATGGGCTGTGTACCCTAAAAAATCTAGGAAATCAGGTTCCAGAAAGAAAACAAACATATTGAGTACAGTACAAACTAGATATTTGATTTGATGCTAAATATGATCAGCCAATTGTTGAGCACGTGCTTTCGGATTCCGAAGCCATGCCCAACTTGATAAGTCAATCTTCCAATTGGGGGGCAATTGAAGCCAGGAAACTCGACCAGCCGGCGACCTGCATTTCTGGCCTGCTTTTGTAAAGCCCGGGGTATCCCGGTTACCACGAAACAAATGCAGAGGCCCTTAGAGGCCCCAAACCAAGGATATGACTGGTTCGGATTGCTTCAGATCTCGGCCAAAATTTTGGATAAGTGAGCCAAACGCTGCGAATCATGAGGACGGATGTAACCTGATCGCACATGTACATACTTGTTTTTTTTTCCCTTTAAATATGTATATTATATATAATTATATACCATATATATATATGTATATATGTATATATACCACATATACCTGTATACATCTGTACGCCTGCACATTTGTGTACAAGGTATGTCCCCAAAATTGGATGAACATCTAGTCGCTTGGCCGCCCGCTTGGCCGCCTCGGGATGCCAGGCTTTCAACGATCAAACTGCCGAAGAACGCGATTGATTTGCCGGGGCTCCTGGTTCCTTCATGGTGCTCCGATGGTGCTTGAAGCATCTTGAAACCCATGATTTGCCTGGGAGAAAGATACCTTTTTTTCGTTCAAAAAAAGCAAGACATGACATCATGACAACCATCCTACCAACAGACAGTGTTTATATACACTATAATTCACATATTAATGTTTAGTTATATATATATATATATCCCAACTGTGTGTTTACATGACAACCATCCCCCCAACTGTTAATATGTGTTTATCAGTTTTGGGGCTAAACCTTGCTTTGGCGGGTTGGTTGACACTTGCGTAAGCGCCAAGGAGTGGCTGTTTGCCCAAGCCGCGCTATGCCGGGGCTCCTGGGAGTCCTGGGAGTGCTGGGATGGCCCGGTGATCGCTGAGACAAATTGGATCATCCCGACCTCGACGACTGTAGGTGATGCTATTGTTCAAACATTTTTGTGGGTGGGTTATATAATGTTATATATATATAATATTAATTAATATGTATATATATATATATAATTAATATGTATATGCATGTATATATATAATATATTAAGAGATAGGTCATCCTTTCAGAAACAGATGAGTGAGTGAAGGAATAGCGAAGATGCGGGGGCCAACACAGAAAATGTATGAAAATGTGATAATCCTCGTGGTGACGGGCAAGATGGGTTGGGGAATAAGCCTCTGATGAAACCATATGAAATCCTAGGATTCTCTTGCCAGCAACCCCTACGGGGCCCTACGGTAACTGTGGAGCAGTAGATAGTAGCTGCCTGTCGTTTTAGCGATTTCATCTATCAAAGCAAGGATGCATTGGAACATGCACATAGAATATCACAGAATACAACTGTCGAAAAGCAATATTAAGATAGTCAAGAGAAAAATAGAAGGACAATTTTGTACGTAGCAGTATGCCCTACAACATATTGTCACATATTGGCATGTCATCCCAGCTGCTCGCCACCAATCGCTCCACTTGAATCCAGGTACCTTCCGATGAGGTCCTGCTGCACGACCAGGACCTGGGCCCCCACGTGCCGCCGGCAGAGCGGCCGCCCCCGGAGCGGCTGCCGGCCTCGGCGCATGCGCACCAAGCGCCGCCGCACGGCAGCGCGCCGGGCAGCGCGCAGGCACCACAAGCGTCGCAGGCGCTTGCGGCGCATGCACCGCAGCCGCCACAAATGCCGCGGGGAGTGGGGGGCTTACTTTCCTGGGAGGATGCCTATTATGGACGATTAGACCTTACAAAGCATTATAAGTTGAAGGTATAGACTATAGTTTCACCAGGTTTGGAAGCAAAGAGTGCACTTTTGTTATCTGTGGGCACTATGAGCAACAAGTATACTGTACCGTATGTCATAGGTTGGTATGTCTCAAAATTGGGAACATCATGCCAAATTGCAAAGTTCAAGGAGAATGATTGTAATTACTTTGAATGGTGATCATGGTGTGGTGTCCCCGTGTCACCAATGATCACCAATGCATTTTCTAAAATTACGGAAAAATTGGGTGTTGATGAACGTGCATATATTCTGGATGAATTATAATGACGTCAGCGTGTTGCCAGTGAAAGGGTGGTTGATAAGGGAAATGATCAGCAAATGACCTTATTTCAGCCTTATTTCAGCTAGTGTAATTAATGTTAGTGAGTGATTTACTATAATTTAGCAAAAATGTATTGCCTACTGCGTCCTATTTCAACCTCTCCCTGGCTTCTAAAATGCAAATTGTGGTACCTTCCATGGCGCTCAGGAAGACGTGAGGCATCGACCTAAAGCAAGTCCACTTTCAGGCCGTGGAGTATCCTTGGAATGCTGAGGGTATTGAAGAACTGAAGAACCCATGGCTTCCATGATCTTCCATGATCTTCCTGACATCGAAGGGCTTTGGGTTGTGGCCAACTACAATGTGAGGCCCCCCCAGTGATGTTAGTTGGTTTAGATTCGCCCCAGTAACTATAGCTATATGTACCATAAACCATAGTTATTGGAGTTATTTGCACCAACTTAGCTATCTTGGGGGCCTCATATTGTAGGGGATCGACTTTTTGCTTTTTTTGTTTCTGGTTTCGGGAGGGATCCTCGGATCCGACAAACCCAATACTGCCCAGACCCCCACTTTAAAGACATTTTACTTTGACGACTGGAACCCAGAGAGGTTTCCATGGCTGATCAATGTTGGGCCTTCTGTGCAATCTTGGTTCTTCCCCCTCCCAGATGAGTGCTGAACACTTTTGAACCGTATAAAGTATAAATTAATATAAAGCGATACATCGCGGGTAAATTGGTCATTTAAACATATTTAAACACTATAATTTTGATCAATACTAAATCAATTCAAGTTTGGATATTACGACAGTTTTGCTTTTGTTAAATCATCTTGAATCAGGATGGTCAAAGAAGTTGAAGTCGAACTTGCACCACCTTGCCAGATAGTCAGAGCCGACCTCCCCTACCACCTCGACCACCTCGCAGTCGCCTTAGATTCCGCTGGTGGTAAATGCATCTAGTTACCCAGATGTTCTTGGACAATTGTTACATCCCCACATGTGCCATAGTCAAAACTTGGGTAACTTGTCCATCATCAATCAATTAGGCGTGTTCAAAATGTATCATGTTTTTGTTTATTAACGATAACGAATCCCTAATTTGGTTCAGGGATGACCATGAACATCCATAAACCCTCCAGCTTTTCACTATGGCACCCTGGTATTCCCAATGAATTGCTGGACATTTCCATTGAATCAGCTCCAGCTCGAGTCGGGAACTGGAGCGCAAAATGGACCTAGTTTCGAGGTGAGCGCCTTGCGCCCTCCAGCGAGGCAGCGGACACGGCGATGGGTTTGTAACTATAAAAGGTGCCATAGGATCCATGGTGCTGGTATATATTTCCTAACATAAAGGGGGTATATTGATGGGATCCATGGCACACCATATATAGCAGCACCATGGATCCGTCATGGGCAATGATGATTGGTTTTGTTTTGATGAGACATGTGTTGGCAAATATTGGGTCGTGACAGTTTGTGTCAAAGTATGTTATCAGTGAACATCAGTGACATGTGCTTTTGAAGTCATCAATGGCGCTACCATAATTTAGAATGTGACGAGTCCACAGGCAATTTGGGCGACAAAAGTGGTCTATATCCCCGCTGTTTCTTCGTTTCCCCCCCATTTGTATAAATTTGGTCTGCTTACCGGTTGAGATAAAAAGGGATGTGTTCCCCAGTTAGATCCAGTTAGATTATTCATGGACTTCCCAGCAGGAAATCGCGCAATGCCAATCACTGTAAATGACCACTACGATCATGCACAATTCACAGGAAGCAACAACTGGCTGTTTGTATGTGTCAACATGATCATCCACCACAATCGGCCACAAAGATCATATACATATATACTTGAATCCTCCGATCCTGCATTACTTTAATTACTTCAGCCCCTTAGCAAAAGGCACAACAAATCAGCCCCTTGAGTTGATTTCAGGTCTTGAGCGAGATCTCTGCCCCTTGCATTTTTTGGGGGATGGAAATGAAAAGGACAAGGAATTTGCTTTTCAAGCACTGAAGGAATGGACTTGGTGAACGATTGGCGGGAGCTTTTTGTATTGGAGGCATGTTGTTTTCCCAATGTTTTTTTCCCCAGTAGCGCACCCTCCAAGGTGGACATGTCAGCCCATGGTGCCAGATTACAGAACACATTCACAGCTTGAACATGGTTGGACAGTTTTATCTATTTTAAATCCCATGTTTGGCAAACAATCTTTGTTAAATCAACCCAAAGCTCAGTGCTTTTAAATCGGTCATTGCCGCCTTAGCTTCTTAAACCTATGGACTAGAAGTCTGGCTTTGGTTCTATAGACCAAAGGGGTGCTGCCTGAAATGTTGCCATAGCCGTACGCGCCCCACGAAATCTTCACTTGAAGACGTGTCCCACACAACTGGATTCAATGAGTAGACATTTTGCCATGTCTGCTCCAGCATGCTCCAGCTCAAAATAGATATAACCCAAGGCATGTGCTTTTGTCACTAGACCATAAAAGGTAAACTGTCGACCGAACGCTAAAGCAGCACAAACCAGCCAAAAGGCTGTACGTGCGACAAAACCCTTTGGACACCTAATAAATTTGTCCGGCACCCCAAAAAAGATGAGATGCGCCGAGCCTTTGCACATTCCCCAAACGGGCATTTGGTAAGTGCCCTTTACAAAATGGCAACCCTTGACACGAAAGACCTCCTAAACGGTGCCCGGGCAATTCTGCCCCTCAGACGGGTATTTCCGCCCCTTATATTTTAAATTTCCCAATAAACATGTGATCAAACTCACATTGAAGTGGTTCACTTTTGGCGTGTCCCAGGTCAAGAAATTCATATGAATTTGTTGACTTGTGAGGTGTCCCAAGTACAGAAGAAATTCATGGCTCACCTTTGGGGTGTCCGAAGTAGAGAAATTCATATGAATTTGTTCACTTGTGGGGTGTCCCAAGTAAAGAAATTCATATGAAATGAAGTGGTTCACTTCTGTTGTTTGGCAGCCTGGCCCATAATTTCCTCTAGAAAGTGACACTTCAACAATAAATGGCATGGAATTCTGATCAAGAATGGATTTCAGCCCCTGGTCATTTTTTTTGGCCCCTCATGGGGCAAGGGCGTTTTTCTCATCAGGGTCTGAAATTTTGCACACCTCGGAAGATGGAGGTATATATATATATGATGATGATCATTGATTATCTAAAAGAATAACTAAGAAAAACTAAGAATAGCTAAGAATAACTAAGAATTACTTGCATAATGGCCAATTCATAGATTATTGACATGTTATAGAGTGATTTTCCATAGCAGACTCTTAAGTTACCAGAGGCTACTGATTTTCTGGGTCTGTTTTAGACGTCTTCAACTTCGATGACCTGCAGCAGTTCCAATGCGAAGCGAAATCGCGAAGCATCGCCGCGAAGCCAAAGTGCTTCTTGGAAGCTGAATCCATCCTGTACCCTGTCATTTAACAATTTGCGAACTGGAAAATCACCAGGTCAATCACCTTTCACAATTTCCATTAGAACAGGAACAATCTATAAAATGGGAACACATATAGACATGCGAATCATGTACTTAAAAAAGGTAGAAGTAGTATATATTGTAAATCGACAATGTTCACCAATTGTCTCTGGCTATGTTAAGTTACCAGAGGATAGTCAAATTTGGCAATCACTGGGCTTATCAATTGAGCCTAGATGGATGACACACATAGACATAGACATAGACCATGGCAAACCGATTTATAATATGGTTGTCAATTTTTCTTGCCATGCTACTTTGTTGGAGATAACCAATTTATAATATGGTTTTTCGAATTTTCGTATTGTTGCCATGCCATTTGGAGATCCATTCCCTCTATCCCAACGGTGAGACCAGAGACCGAGACCGCACTGCACGGCACGGCGCCTCCATCATGGCGTCATGGGATCTATGGGATCTGGTCACTCCGAATGCTGTGGTGTGAAGAAACTCGGCTAGCGTCCTGTGGAAATCCTGTTTACCCTCTGGTTATGACTAACATAGCCATGGAAAATCCCCAAAATAAATGGAGGTTTCTATCCCATAGATGATGTCCCCGGCTTTCCTCGGGCCAACTCTACTAGAACTATATACAAGAACTCTCAGCTGGCTCTATGTGGATAGATCAACCCCTGCGCCCCTACGCTGTGATGTCCCTTTTGTCGCTTAGTTATTGCTGGTTAATACCCATAGGGTCGTAGAAGGGGGGTGATGGTTTAGTCCTCATTTTTTAGGACTTCAATTCATGACTGAATAGATCCAATGTGTTTTGCCGGGATATTGTTAGTGAGGGGGTGCCACGTTCATAATTATAGTCTTAGGATGTATTAGGGTGAAAGGAGTAGCTGGGGTATGACGATTCATAGGTCATTCTTAGAGTAATATCTCCCTCGTTGTTTCATTTTTGCCGATTGGATGGGCGCAAATTTCATGCATTGCTATTTGTTTGCAGGGTATCCAACATCAGGTGTGATAAACATCTCTGACATAATTTGGTTCATGTTTACTACTAAATCGCGAAGTAGATTCCATCACTGATGGTAAGCCGACTAACTAGTTCCACCGCTCATATCGGACCGTGGTACGATATGATATTTTTCGCATTCGAAGTGCATGCCATGTTGATAATTCCAATGGAAAAAATATGCACAGATCAAAGAAGCTTTGAAACGCGTAGTTCCATTGGTGGAAATTTCTCATGTTGTTCCCATTCTAATTTCCTCATCAAACGTGGTTTCAAGCCGCCCCCAACTATTAGTTTGTTTGCATGTTATCAATTTTCTGAATCGCAGTAATAAGGGGAAATGATGGGAAATGCATACATGTCATTTGTCCCAAAGGAATTGCGTGGTTTCACACATTCCAGCTATCAGGGGTTGAAAGAAACCTTAATTTTTTTTGTGCCGAGCGTTTGGAAGTCACGTGGCTTTCAGCAATCTTTTCAATGAATAGAACTCGTTTGGTGTGGCAGACATCACCGATTGTAGGTAGACAACTTGAAAGACTAGGTCAGATACGGCTGGATCAACCATTCGGTGGCCTGCCACTTTGGGACTGACTGGAAACTTGTTTCCCAAGAAACCTTTCAACTCCAACCAGGAACGATCTAGAACTTGTGTTCCAGCATCCAAGACGCAAGTGCCAGGTACGTTAACACCCGCCCACCCCTCACCCCATGGTGACATGACGCAAGTTCCAAGACAACGTGCTTAGCGTAGCATCATCTTCAAGACGCAAGTGCCAGGTACGTTAACTTAACACACCCGCCCACCCCTCACCCCATGGTGACATGACGCAAGTTCCAAGACAACGTGCTTAGCGTAGCATCATCTTCAAGACGCAAGTGCCAGGTACGTTAACTTAACACACCCGCCCACCCCTCACCCCATGGTGACATGACGCAAGTTCCAAGACAACGTGCTTAGCGTAGCATCATCTTCAAGACGCAAGTGCCAGGTACGTTAACACACCCGCCCACCCCTCACCCCATGGTGACATGACGCAAGTTCCAAGACAACGTGCTTAGCGTAGCATCATCTTCAAGACGCAAGTGCCAGGTACGTTAACACACCACCCCTCACCCCATGGTGACATGACGCAAGTTCCAAGACAACGTGCTTAGCGTAGCATCATCTTCAAGACGCAAGTGCCAGGTACGTTAACACACCCGCCCACCCCTCACCCCATGGTGACATGACGCAAGTTCCAAGACAACGTGCTTAGCGTAGCATCATCTTCAAGACGCAAGTGCCAGGTACGTTAACACACCCGCCCACCCCTCACCCCATGGTGACATGACGCAAGTTCCAAGACAACGTGCTTAGCGTAGCATCATCTTCAAGACGCAAGTGCCAGGTACGTTAACACACCCGCCCACCCCTCACCCCATGGTGACATGACGCAAGTTCCAAGACAACGTGCTTAGCGTAGCATCATCTTCAAGACGCAAGTGCCAGGTACGTTAACTTAACACACCCGCCCACCCCTCACCCCATGGTGACATGACGCAAGTTCCAAGACAACGTGCTTAGCGTAGCATCATCTTCAAGACGCAAGTGCCAGGTACGTTAACTTAACACACCCGCCCACCCCTCACCCCATGGTGACATGACGCAAGTTCCAAGACAACGTGCTTAGCGTAGCATCATCTTCAAGACGCAAGTGCCAGGTACGTTAACACACCCGCCCACCCCTCACCCCATGGTGACATGACGCAAGTTCCAAGATAACGTGCTGTAGCGTAGCATCATCTTCAAGACGCAAGTGCCACGAACGTTAACACACCTGCCCACCCCTCACCCCATGGTGACATGACGCAAGTTCCAAGCGAACGAGTCAGCTTCAACAGAAGAAAGCAAAAATGCATTTAAAAAAACAACGGGCTGTTGGGGGCAGTGGTCCAACTACATACACTGGTTCCGACATGTTCCGGCTAGATATGTAAATCAGGTACTAGATATTCTATCGGTGGGATTGATAGTGATTCCAAATAATGGGCTACCTACTACTTCAATAAAAAAAGCAATAGTGGGAAGGTTATGTTATGGGAATGGAGGTACCATCAGTAGGAGCCCTTGTAAATTCTATGGGTTATAAGTATAAGTAGGAAAATAGCCATCGGCTAAACTCTCGGAGATGGCGATGGAGAGAGAGAGGGAGAGAGAGAGAGAGAGAAAGGATGAACCAACAAGAATAGAGCATTGACGGCTCCCAATATCCGCAAATGATCCCACTAAACTTTAAACCTATGGTTAATCCCTTCCAAAGCCACCCAAGAGCTGATAATCGGTAGATGTCAAGTATTGTCAAGTTCCCATTTTTTACTAACCATTGACTATAACCATTATCAACCATCATGAACCATCATTAACCATCGCAATAACCATCATTAACTGGTTGGTGGTTTGGATCATGTTTTATGTTTCCATATATTGGGAATTTCATCATCCCAACTGACCATTCATCAACCATCATTAACCATCATTAACCATCATTAACCATTACAATAACCATTACAATAACCATCATTAACCACTACTGCAGCCTGCTGATTTGAGGAAATCCGGGGACTGTGGCGCCATCTCCGGCGCCTTCTCCGGGGCTTCGGCGCCTTCGGAAGATCGATCCAAGGACTCTAAGGCGCGCGTGGTGCACGAGGCCAGGCATGGCGGTACGGTAGGTCCGGTAGGTACCCGTAAGGGTCCAGTTCGAAGTGGCTTGTTGGGATCTACAGATGGGTTAAAAATATGGTAAAAATATGTAAAAATATTGGTGTGTGATAGGATTAAAATAGGATTATGATGGAATTTATGGGATATGATTGATATGATGTAATAGGATTTAAATAGTTCACCCTCCGGAACATCAAAATTAGCTAGCTGGAGAATCCCCGAATTATGGCTGGAGTCTTACAGCTGGGAAACTGTTTCAACAGTTCAGAAGAGAGACTCTAAACCAGTTTGTCACTCTTGTATACTGCGTACCGTTCAACTATAAATGGAGGATTTGCGTACCAGAGGCTATCCATAGTAACAGGGGGGTTATATAATATTATATAACGTGATATATATATATATATGGTTGGTGGTTTCAAACATGTTTTATTTATTTTTATTTTCCATTTCATATATGGGTTGTCATCCCAACCCCATTGACTATTTGATATTTTTCAGAGAGGATCAATCACCAACCACCAGCCACTTCTGGAAGTCAATAAGCACCACCCGCAATTTTTGGATACCCAACCAGAAAACAGTAGGCAATCAGCCAACCAAACATGATGATGAAACCAACTTAAAATATGGGGACATCATGATACATCATGAACGTAGAAATATCTTAATTATCATATAACCAATGATGACTTGGTTGGTAGTGTCAATGATATTATGTTCTTATTCCCCAATGACGAGCATATGGTTCAAGGGGTTGAAACCACCATTGATGGTGAAGTGTGAGCTAACCTGGGGTCATTTACTGATATAGTCAATATAGTTTCGTCAAACATGGGGGTTGACCATGTTGAAAGGGACCAACAACAAAGCAAAGATTTGGACGTCATCGTGAAAATATGGAAACCGCCATGGAAACAGTATTATTCGGATTTGTCTTGGAATTGCGACACGGACTACTGTAGCAGGGGGTGGGGGCAGGCTACGGAATGAAAGTAATAATATGGCCTACAGTATATTGACATACAAACCATTCCTGGAAACACAAAACGGACTACTGTAGCAGGGGGTGGGGGCAGGCTACGGAATGAAAGTAATAATATGGCCTATTGACTGACATACCATTCCTGGAAACTCAAAAAAAAACTGCAATAAACAGCAGCAGTACTCAACATATATATATATATATTCGGTAACGACATTTAAATATGTGGAGGGCGGGCCAGACCGCGAGGCCCCAGAGGTAGTATGAAATACTAGTTCGTATATTCAAATGTAGTTACCGTACGTTTAAATGAATTGGACTCCGTATGTTTAAATGGCCGGGCGGGCCAAGGAAAACCTTCCCGGAGGTAGTCTAAAATACCTGTTCGTATATTTAAAAATCCGTATATTTAAATGTAGTTAATTAATCATCGTTGTTTTCATTGTGACATGTTGTTTCCATTTTTTCAAGCTTGGTCCTTGCTTCTTCCGCTTCCAGCCCGTGTCCCCTCAGGAAGAGGCGAATCCTGCGAGATCGCTGGAGGTTGAGACGCCGCAGTGCCGTGGAGGAAAATTTCAGGGCTCCCGGCGGTCCCGGGCAGATTTCCCCTGTGATTCTTATGCAGCTGCAATGTTGGTAAAGCAATGTCCTTTTTCCAACCATATGTGGATGGTTTGGAATCCCACCCATAAAAATGGTAAACATGGGGATAGTTTACTACTGCTTTTAGTCATATGAAGTTATATTTGAGGGGGACGAACATCCACAAATCCCAATTATTTGAAGATTCACCCGATTGCCAGGGTGTTGACCCATAGCAATTTTATGATGCAAGAAATGCCGACAAGATTGAGTTTGATGACCTTTTGGTGGTCAAAATCATTGTCACAGTAAGTCGCAAATTCAAAAACCTGAAGAAAATAGGCCCTGGCGTTCACCAAAAGAGCCAAAGCCTGTCATTTGCCACTGAGAAGTCTCCTGGGCCAAGTTTCACCAGCGATTCCCAAAATCTATTGAGGGGATTGCATGGCATCGATCTCCTCCAACTGGTTGTTGAAAGGCACAGTTGGTCGACACTTGGTCTACCCACTTTGGAGATGTATAGTAATCATATGTAATCCATGGTTTCTTCCCACGTTTTACGCTCATCCCTTGAATCTACAGTTACCACCCCAGTTGCTCACCAGTTACATCCAGTGGCTGCGTTTCCTAGAAGGACATCAAGGCCTTACATGGACATATGGTAGGTAGCTCCTATTTGGCTACCTCCAATTTATGTTTGAAACGTCCTTTGAGTTTTCCATTCCAAGAAAATGTATATATAATTATATATACATATGTGTATGTATGTTTTTTTTATTTAGTTGTACTGCATATATGTACACATATTTGTGTGTATGTGTGTTTGTTTCTTGTTGTCATGAAGTCTCTGCTGTTGTGAAGTTCCCCCCATTCTGAATGGCAATGCCCCACATGCTGTTCGAGAAATGTTTTTTTGTTCTAAAGGCCAGTCAAATTTGACCCATGATTGGACAAGTACTGGAACACCCCAATGTTTTGATGAACCAAAAAACAATATAAAGATAAAGATAAATATAGAGACAAATATAATATAGAATATAGATATATAGATATATATATATATATCAAATCATTTCCCCAAAAAAAAATCAACAAAAAAACATTTTAGAGTTTTCTACATTTTCTACCCACCCTAATACAACACGTAGGGACGACCGTAGATAAAAATCCAGCAGGTCAACGGAGTCGCCAAGACGTTTGGACCGCCGTGGGAATCCCATTCTTCCCCGGGAGGCCGTGGAAATGGGCTGGGCAGCTGGGCACTCACAGCACTTAGGACATCTTAGGACTAGGGCGGATAGGGTCACTAGGATGGTTTAGGGTTTTGTGTGTTTAATGGCCTATGGTGGTAGAGGTTCATCTAGAACTTTGTCTCAGAATTGCTAGTAACGGGCAGGCTTAGCCTCATTGAAGGACAGTATAGACCTACAAAGGCTGATCCTCGACCGCTGGGTGGCAGGCGAAGGGTAGCTTAGTACCCCTAAAACCAAACGGCTGGAAGGTCAGAAGAAATTGAGGCCGCGTCCATGGGCTTTGAAATGGATATAACGCCTCCAAAGTCAGTGACAACAGAAGCAGAAATGAACTTGCTATTTTGGGGTCGCAGGATGTTCTTGCAATGGTGGTCTTGAGGACAGTTGTTTTTGTTTGGGTCAGGCGGCTGAACCTACCAACTGCCAAGCGGTGAAACCACTATATCTCTCAGGAATTTAATCTATAGGTTCTATATAGATGTGCTTTTCCCTCGGACTTGTTGACTTGTTTGACAGTCGCAATGGTACTGAGCAGACGTTTCAAACGGTTGCATTGTATGCTTTCACCGGAAATCATCAATGATATTGGTGCCAAAGACATGGTCCCATGTCTAGTTTGACTGAGTAGGATCCTCCCTAGAACTTCACTGAATGCCTCAAATTTGGTGATGTCAATTTCGATCACTCAACCCCCAGCTCGGTGTTTTTTTTGGTGATCTATTTCCACTGCAAAGAATCGTTTGTAGGGGGTACATGACCTTAATTGATCAACCAGGTTTTGGTTCAAACAACGGGCCCCCCAAGACCAAATACACCTGAAAAGAAGCTTGATGGATTGAGTGTACTCCAATATTAAAGGTATTTCATATGCTGGGCGGACGGGAGAACATCATAACAGCACCAAAACAGAGTAAACCTATCTATCTACCTACCTACCTAGCTATACATAATTATATATATACTGTATATGCATACATGTTTGTTTGTTTGTTTGTTTGTTTGTTTGTTTGTTTGTTTGTTTGTTTTGTTTTGTTTTGTTTTGTTTTGTTTTGTTTGTTTGTTTGTTTGTTTGTTTGTTTGTTTGTTTGTGTGTGTGTGTTTGTTTGTGTGTGTGTGTGTTTGTTTGTTTGTTTGCTTGTTTGTTTGTCTTTCTATCGGTATATATATTTATACATGTATATACAATTATACACGCATTTAATTGTATATATAGCGCTGGGCAACTTGTTAGAACGTCATTTGGAAGTGGCGAACATGTTCAAAAGTACAACGGTTATAATGTTGTCCGAAATGAATACTTAGAACGTCATTCTATTGGTATGTGGGATATATATATATATATAAATATACTGTATGCATATACCCATATCAATATGCATATATAGTTATATACATATCATAATCCATACAGATAGCTGCTGAATCCCAAACTTAGAACGTTAAAACATGTGAAAACGCATAAGCACATCACGCGCATATAATTGTGTATATTATTTATACATATATATATATATACATATATATATATATGTCCCAAAACAAGACTCAACACATATTTATAATATGTCATTATGCCTGGCCCCAGTTGACTCCGGGTGGTGTGACTCACCATGTGACGCGCCTTGGCCATGGATGCCCATGGATGCCATGGGGAGCCATGGGGAGAGGGGATAAACTGTGCTATGTTCATGTTTTTTTTTCTACCTATGGAGTATGAGTACGTTAAATATGTTACATGTACCTAATTATGCAATGAAGTCAGTTAAGCAATCTGATTGGTGGTGACTGGAACCATGGAATTTTATGACTTTCCATTCAGTTGGGAATGGAATAATCATCCCAACTGACGAACTCATATTTTTCAGAGGGGTGGGTATACCACCAACCAGAATAATGTTAAATAGATCTACTTAAGCCATCTCATGCCCAATCGTATGAGTATGGTAGGCCAGGTCCTCCGGATGTGAAGTGGTTTGCTAAGCACCTAAGATCGCCGAGGCACGGTTGAAGTTCCATAAAAAGGGAGCTGGTAACAGAGCTCTCACAGATCTTTTGTTGCTGGAATTCTTCTTTATCGTCCCATCAGGTTCTCACCCTTGTTGGCTAAATTTGGTTTCTTTGACTTAAATCACAATTTTTGCTGGTAAGTACCCTCTGGCAATCAAACGTGGCAATGGAAAATCATTTAATGGCTGATTGATAGATGACTTTCTCACTAAAACCTCCATTTATAGGGGATTTCCCATTGCTACGTTTGATTACCAAAGGGTATCTAGGTGTTTATTGGTGATATCCCCATCTCCTGTTGATGGCATCCCCATTGTCAGCTGAGGTTCGCAGATGAGGAGGGACAGCCAGTTGAGGACAGTGGGACATCATGGGACACCAAAAATCACGGAGCTTGGTCGACCACAAAATCACAGGGCTGGTTGAGAAGAACTGCCATTAAAAATTGCCATGTATAGTGAGTTTTCCCATTAAAAATGGTGATTTTCCATAGTTATGTTACTTTCAATCGCACAAATTGGTCAAACCATCCAATTTTACTCCTTGAATTTCCAACATTATCTTTGAATATTGATCCGCAGTTGTAGGTAAACTCCCCATGGATATCTTGATATTAAACCCCTAGAATTGAATTTCTTGGATGAAGGCAAAATGTACAAGCAACCTCCAGGTATTCGATGCCAAAAACGAAGCGTTTCCTCTATACTCTATATGTTCTCTTAAACCGACCCACTGATAACCCGATTCTCAGAATACGTATTTATATATATATAATGTATTTATCTCATGACAATCGCATAAAATTGCCACTTTATGTTTTTCACAGCTTCATACACATATATACATACCATACACTACCATACATTACATTACATTACAGTACATTACATTACATTACAGTACAGACAGACAGACATACAGACATACACACAGACAGGCAGACAGACATACAGACATACAGACATACAGACATACAGACACAGACACAGAGACATACAGACATACAGACATGCAGACATATAGACATACAGACATACAGACATACAGACATACAGCCATACAGGCATCCAGGCATCCAGGCATCCAGGCATCCAGACATCCAGACATCCAGACATACAGACATACAGACAAACAGACACACATACATTTACATATACGCATATATACACTCATGAATTAATGGTGACCACCAAGCCTATCCTCCTTTCGTGGGGGGTTCCTATTATATCCTTTGGTCATTGAACGTAGCGAACTGGAACATCACCATTTTCAAGAACGGTAATTCATCATGAACTATGAAAATCACCTTAAAAAGCGATAAATCATCATGTGATATCATGTGTATCATCTATAAATGGGCCATGTTCAGTCATTTTCATCCATTTTCCAATTCGCAAGCTGTTAAAATATGGCACTCGCACCTCGCAGCAGGAAGTGGTGGAGGTGCTGAAGCGACAAGCTTCCGCCACGGATCGCTTGGCGAACGGCTTCAAGGTGAGGATGGTGGGAGGCTGTCTCTGAAAAATGGGGGATATGTGGGTAAAACAATGCCACATTTACCATCCAGTCATCACAATTTTAAAATACTTTTTTAGCATTCCCAGTCATGGGTGGTCAACATTGCATTGTTTTACCCACATTAATAGAAATGTATGATGAGTTTAGGAATACTGCAGTTTTTTCATGGTGTTTCTTAATTTCATGTAACTATTCAATAATATATGACATGGTTGGACAAAGTTTGGACACATTGAGGAAAAAAAACGTGGTTAGGAAGGAGTTCGGAGCTTGGAGCTCGGGGTGAGCTACTTGGACTTTGCAACCATTTGATGAAAACAAAAACAATAAACATATAGAGGGAAGCAAGCAATTTGGAGTATGTTATGATGTTTGGGACCGGACTGAACCACTAATTCTTGCGGGCTTATTTTAACCAGAATGGGTATAAAATAGGGATATAGCCAACTGGAAATTTATATCCCTATTATATATATATATAATGTCTGAATTGCAGGCACGTCCTGGGAGTTTTCAAAATAATAGAAAATAGGAAAAATAGGTTGGTTGGTTGGTTGGTTCGAAGTCCAAAGGACAAATTGGGGGCTCCAACAGGCAGCAACAGCATCCAATCATGGAATAGCAGGGACCCCATCATGGAGTCTGCAGGACCCTTACCTCGGTAAAGGCCCAAACAGCTTCATGCCACCTGCACCTGTTTGATTCATTCCTTCCAGAATAACCGCGCTCGCCGAACTAGTTCCTGTGCAAACAAGGCCATCGCATGTAGCCAGGATGGCTTGGATGAATGTCAAATATGGTTGAACCAAGCTCCTGCGGGAAATAAACGAGACAGGGCCTTCGGACATCGCCAGCACAGGTGTTCACAATGTGAAATTTCAGTTTAGAATACCTCTTCTAACATAAGATGCATTCCTGGACCCTGGCTTTGGACTTCTTGCCGTTTACGTGCCCAAATGCAACATAATCCCGTCTGAGTTGAATGACGACACTTTGGCTGATCAGGACATTCCACGGCAAATTGAGCTCCAGACTGTCTTTCAAATGGGTACTTGCTGTTTTCATTAAAGTTTGGCGTACTGCTTGTAGGCCGCAGTCTCAGCAGCCCTTCTGCTCACCCAAGTGGGCCAGTCAATAATATCTTTGCTGGCAAGAAATTGACGAGAAATGGATGCCCATGAGGGAACAACAGAAACATGACTTGAACGGAAAAGACGACCAGCAATGGTACCTTTCAATGTCCAAAGTTTTCGCTGCACTGAAGCAATATCAATAGCAATACGGTCGGACGCATCAAAAGTCCAACCCAGATCTGCTTGACAACTAGAAGCATTATTCCAAGGCTTTGCGCCAAGAAGCTGCCTTGCCCAGTTCTGGAATGTAGTAGTCAAAAAACATTGGACCTCTGGGGAAAGCCCCCACAACCAACGCCCAAATCTCAGTGTTGCTTCCACTTTCAACTCAAAGAGGACTGCGACGACAACAGCAGGTGGAACCCTATAGGAATCCATATACAAGAACACAACAAATTCACCATAGAAGAGCAAGCAGCCACAGTAACCATAGCGTGGTGCATCCATCCCCCAGAATCAGACCACCTAAGCCCCAACCACTTGTGAGACGAAACTTGCATCAAAGGAGCAGGGAGGGCTGGAGGACGGCACGGAAAAAACACAGGTTGCGCCAAAAATGTCGGCGTTTCTGTGCTTCCAGAGAAACCTTGCACGACTGTTTTACTTGACCCCAGACCCCAGATGCAAAGAAGCCTTGACGTCATGCGCCCAGTCGGCCACAATAGATAAGACCCGCACAGCCTCACCTCGACTGGAAGCGAGAAACACTGGATCATCAGCGTGAAATAAAACAGGAATTCTACGAGGATCACACAGATCCAAAGCCCGTGCGCAAGTTGCTCCCAAAGATGGCGACTGCCGCAAAGCAGATGCAGGTGGAAGCGTCTCTTGGTTTGCTACCGTCCCGAACCACAGAATCACCACTCAGGGTGATCTGCCAATAATCATTCTTTCAAAAAAGAAGCGAGCAAAGCCAAAGCACCATCCCTAGTACCAGCAGAAACACCAGCCTCGGCTAAAATCAAGGCTCTCCAGGCTCTTGGAAAAGCATGAACAAAATCAGCAAAAAAAACATTGAAAGCACGTTTCCAGCATCGGTATTCATCTTGCAAAGTATGCAAGGTAAATTGGTGAAGCATGACATCGAACCTGTACCCCGTCTGACCAGAGTCAACACAGTTGAACAAAGAACTTCCTATCCGGTGTAAAAGCAATTCCAATTGTAACAGACCATGCAGGTCAGCAACAGCAATGTACCGATAAGAAGAGGCGTGGGCAATTGCACCTTTCTTGAAAACAATGGTTAAGAAACGAAATCTCCATAAAAAACGGACGATAACATAAGGAAGAGGGCCCACATAGGTTTTGCAAATTCGAAGCCACAGACCACCAAGAAGAGTTAGGACATTTCAACAGAAGCCTGTGGAGCAAAAGGGTGTACAAGCTCTTGAAGTGTTGATTCTTTCTGCAGCTCTGTGCCATTCTGCGTCATCAATCCGTCCATCGAGACACCTTGGCCAATGTGAGCCCTCGCACTTTGGACCTGTTTGGCAGCTGCCCTTTCAATACTATCATGGAAAGATTGGTTGACAGAAATTGGACAACTTCCTTGTACCCTAAGATGATGAACGCAGCCTCGCTGACTGTCCGCCCTTGAAAGAAGGGTACCGTCACACCGTAACAAGCCAGGAGGATCATGAGTAAGAGGTTTGAGCCACTTGAGACAAGTCTTGACGCAGGACTGGGGCCAGCCACGGTCTCTTTGGTTCCTGAGCAACATGGCCTCAAAGTCATCTTCGTCACTGAAAACTAGGTTTTGTTGGGACTGCCTCTTCCGTTACTAGACCTCAAGGTCAGCAAAGAGAAAACTACGAAGAAATGCCAAATGCAATTAGTTCCTTCATGCTTCCTATGACTTCCCTAATTTTTCCTACTTTTCTCGATGTTTTTGCGATTTGTGACCTTTCCAGAAAAATAGGAAAAAATAGAGGTGGCCAAAGAGATATCGGAAATGTTGCTGAAAAAATATGGAATCATGAAAAATTGCAAAAACTGCGAGAAAACAATAGGAAAAAATAGGAACAACATAGAGCGTCAAAATCACAGGTTTTTGTCCACCATCGTTTTTCCTATTTTTTTGGCGGGAGCCAATCCTATTTTTCCAATTCGTTTCCTAATTTTACTATTTCCTTGATTTCCAAGGGGTGCCTGGAATAGGCAAACATAACATTATATTCCCATTGGACCCAATATTTTTTAGCCAACTATATAACTTAAAACTATTTAGCCAACTATATCCAATTGGATCCCTGAAAACGGTGGATTTTAAATTGATAACATTGGGATGTCACGATGAGACATGATGGATTTGCTGTACATGGATCTATCCAGTGAATTCGGTTTGAAAATTGTGGATTTAAGAATAAATATAAAATGAACATATGAGGGCCTTAATAGATATACAATGGGGTATGTGACCATTGGTTGCCAACATATGTTTTTTTGTTTGATAGTTATAATATTATTGTTAAATAACAAAAAATATTTCAGCAACACAGACCCCGAGAATCATTCCTGTACTGTTGGAGATGGTGCCAAGCAAAAGTGCGGGATTTACAATCAACCACCATGGAAACAGGGATGGGGTGTAGAACCACCAAGATGATATTTGAGCGTGTTTGAAAATAATTTTGCTGCAAACCTATATATAAAGTAGTGGACTTGGGATACCCTATGTGAAATCATTGAAATCCCCGGCCGTATGTGATGGACAAAGCGCTTGTTGTTTTTCAAATGCCCTTAATCGATTGAATGATGCTGTGTAAAGACCTGGTGTTATTGTTTGATGAACTTTAGTAGATTGACCGAAAAATATTGGTCCAAACATGGTTCAAACTGATTTTCCAGAACGTTGTAAATCAGTTTAATCCGTACAGGGCAACCCCCTAAAAAATAAAAAATAAAATGTTTCTGGTGTAGTTTCAACTTAGAATTATTGTTCTATGTGTTTTTCAGGAAACCGTTGGTAAGCCAAGAAGGAAGGCAGCATCTTCCGGCATGTTTTCGATTGTTCTGCATGAAGACTGGAGGATTAAAGATGTTCACGTGTTGAAATTTATTTAGATCCTTCTTCAGCATAAACAACCCGTCGTGTCTTTGGTCTGGTTTTCTTGGGGTAAAATATACTTGAAACAACCATCAAAGTAGCAAAAGTATGCTAAAGTTCATCTCCAATCGTTCAATCAAATACATGTGTTCTTCCAATGGGCAGGGGTTGGAACAGAGGGGTATCCTGGGTATCCTTTAAAATTTGGCCGCGCAAGCTAGGCCATTCAAAGTTCCTTTGGCTGCGGCAAGATCATGAGCCGCGAAAGTCGGGACAGCCGTGCGTGAGGCGACTCCAGGAACTCTCAGCGGAGTCCGGGAAGGTTTCATGATGATCACGACGGCGTTAATGTTTGCACACTCCACTAATAGACCCAATAGACTATATATATATATATATTAATACATATCCATACTTCATGTAAACCAGAGCCATTTGCATGACTTTGGCCAGTTCAAAGCCAGAAGTGTGGCTTACCCTTTGGAATTCCATCTGAAACCCGTTCAGATATGCGTAGTTGGACAAACAAGACCACCCAAACGCAGGTCCTGTTTAGACCTACCATATAGGAATCGTCGATACATGGCCAATATTAATTCCTGATATGTCTAAAATCATCACATCATGTTCCCAACATTGACTGGAAATGGTCCAGCCAAACATTTGGTTCTTAAGACCACTCATAGGAATTAGAGGACACGGGCGCAGGGCGGGACTAGCGTAGCTTTTCTGAGATGATTAATGATTGGCCGGGCAACCAATCCCCCTTACCAGTGGCAGACATGATGATATAACCCAGGTGATTCTTTACAGATTCCTTCTCTTTGCATCATCCTAAACAGCCGCAGCAACTCAGTTTGTGTGGTGGATTTGTTCATGTTGGGATCCCATTTAGGTCATTTATTAAAGGCTATCGTTGTCATGGCAAAGGGGTCCAATAGGGGTCCAAAAACTGCAAGGCGTTGCCAACCTGAGAGCTGCAGCGATGGCATTGCTGGCATTGCACCCGAAACGCCCTAGGCGTGGTGATGTGAAGCTTGTAGATAAGGTGGATATGGTGCTGTGAAACCGTGTGAACCCAACCATTTTATTTTTTAGTGATTACTTGTTGATTGTTTTGTCTTTTAAATGGGGATAGGGATATATATATATATATAATGGGATGTAAAACTCATACAACCAACAAATGTACTGTTTGGAAGTCGGAACGGCCTCACTGCGACGTTACTGTAGATGATTCTTGAAGCTGTCATAGCTGCAAGCGAACGGTTGTGCTGAGAGTTTGGGCATAGTCTATCAGCTCCATCAAGTCTATGATAGTTATTGGATGTTATTCGCTTGGATTATAGCCAAACACTTGGATTTTGTTTTTTTGTTATTATAGGATGGAGTTACCACTCATCCTAAGTACATTTCAACGTCGGGGATGGGGGCATGTCAGGCTGCTGTCAATTAGAGCTGTTCCAGCCGTTCAGATGCCTGTGGAATACCCACGGCCAGAGCAAGTGGTGCGCTATAGGAACTTTGCAGCTGAAAGCTCCACTATTTCTTTTGGTGGCGAATGGCTATTGAGCTTCCCCACTTTGCAGAATTACCCACTAATAAATCTAATAATCAAACCTGGCTGGCTGGAATTCCTTGCATTGCTCCATATAAAAAAAGTGGATCATTTTCGTGTTGCACATATCATGGAGATTTCCAGCCACATATTGGAAACGGAGTTTCCCTCACCGTTGCTCAGGAAATCCCAATGATTGCAGGTTGAATCCGCAGTATTGTTGGCCAAATCGGAGACCCATGCAGTTTTCTTAGAAGCTGTTGCTTCTGTAGCGATCACTTGTGCTATCTCCGATGCGTAAAATGCATCAGTCATTGGTAATTATTTAGACTCGGACCAATGCCGGAGTCCGTTGGACAAAAAAGGGGCGGCGCTTGGATGCAACAATGCGGCCAGGCAAATCAGTACCGTCATGTTTTTTTTAATGAAAGTTACGGTATAAAACACCGGCAAAAGATGACAGTACAGTCGGGGCTATATTTTTCCACTTTTTTCCAACAGAAATAATTAGGATGCCGCCAGAAAGATTGCAGGCAACTTATGAGCTACACAAGAGATACAACAACCACTGATTGTACCCATTAATTACTGGTTTCTTGCCTCTGGCAATCTAACCCGGAAATGGTCAAAACATAGATGACATTCCCATTGACTCCCCTGTTTTTGGATGTTTTTGGGGGATTCCATATTGCCGTGCTTGATTAGCGGACTATAAACAGGTATGGGTCAAAACAATCGGCCCAAAAATGGCCACAGAGAGAAAGAGAGAATTCCTAAGGCCAGCTGTTTGTAGATCCAATTTGCTGTAATTCCCCCATGTTTCAATTGTGTTTGAAGATGGCATTCCCAATTTTTCAGCTGTTTTGAAGATGCCGTTTTGGAAATCTGAGAGGAACAGCCGCGACACCTGGCAGGTAGCATCTCCTCGCGACCGTGGCGCAGACCGCGACCGTGGCCCCGGCGTTGCTGGACCTGTGGCCCCAGTGGCTGTGAACGTGGCTCGGACCGCGGGGATGCCCTCTGGTAATCCAGGCTTTGGTGGGAACCTGTGAAAATAAGTAGTGGATCTTCCATTGTTTGATCACCAGATATATCAATTCGTGGAATTACCATATGAGTAATTACTCATATGCCCACAAACACAAAAATGCTGGCAATCCAAGGTTGACAATGTCCAATATGAATCAAACTATTGCAATCCACAGTCCCACAGTGCGCATCCTAGCAACCATTGGGGTGGCATTATAAATCATCCCTTTTGTAGGTGCATACACAATTTCATGCAAATTCATAAATTTCATAAGCCGCGCATTTTGGATATGTTGTTATTTTGGATCCCATATTTGTCTTTTTAACAGCCCCTGAATGGGGCAAATAGTATACGAAGCAATGAGTTTGACGGTTGAGAATGATTGACAAACTCTACGGTGTGGTTGCTTCCACAGCTCTTGGGGTCATTCTTGTGGAGCAGTATCAATGAATATCAATGATATCACTTGCATCCCCATTTGAGTTGTTAGTATTTTCGATAGATTGCAGGAAACCCAATAATAACAATAACAAATATATAATAATTATTAAGAACAATAAATCACGCATGTGTAGTGGTGTAGTGATGACTTGGGATGTTTTTTCTTGGTTCCGGATTTACCACAAACAACTAGTTCTGTCCCACCCTTTGTTACGGTAAACCTGTGTTTGCACGACCTGTGGGACCCAGGGATCCCAGGGATCGAAAACTACCCGGCCTGGTTATTTCACAATGTGCCATGAAAAAGTGAAGAAAAGTTGCCCATTTATCATCTGCTTGTAGCTGTTAAAATGATGTAGCGGTTAAAAATGGTGATTTTCTACAGCTACGTTAGATCACCAGTAAGTTATCATGACAGCCGAATGATCCCATCATATCCCAGCTCCAGTTGTGGCTATGGCCAGCGAATTTGGCAAATCCAATAGTAAACTTTAGTAAACCATGTAAGATCATGTAAGATCTACATGTTCAAGATTATATCATTGTGATCATACCGATCTTAGGCACCCATAATAATGTATATCTAAGTCTATATAATTGTATATAGATAGAGATGTGAGAATGATCAATGCGATTCGAGGTGGATAGCCTTGATGCCTACCTGCAGCAACGAGAGAAGGACGCCACACAACGGGGGCGATGGGTAAATTTATTTTGGGGGTAACACCCCCAAGTTATAGTGAAATCACTTTCTACTGTATTAAAATTGCGGCCCCTATGAACAACAGAAAGGACTGAGGGTTTTTGAATCCTGGCCTGGCATTATGGGCACATTATATTGCTAAATCATGCTACATTCATTTGTTTTCCAAAATCATGGTGGACGATGAGTAAACAAAAGGTCGACCATGGTACGTTTTCCAAAAAAGTAAATTCTGGGCAGATTGTGGGTAGATTCGGGTAGATCAGATCAGATCATGGGAAGCGCATTTCTCAAAGTTATGGTGCATTATGGGTCCTGATGGGTAGCAAGAATGGTCAGTCAGTGGAAAAAGATTGTAATTGATCAAGTCAATTGTGAAATTATTTGTGGGAATTATTATTATCGGTACCGTTTTCTACATGTTGGTCAAGTACTGTAAGAGAAAAATATGGTCAATTGCATGTACATATCTGTCACTGTACCTTTGTGTCACGTCCTAATGGGAATGAAAACCGGACGAAAATGGGAGGATGTACATTAATGTGAATATTTGTAAATGATATGATGGTTTTTGGCACAGGGCCTCAGGGACTCCCTGAAGTTTCTTGCTGCTGACATTCTGAACACAGTAAATTAAATTACATGGAGCAAATGATCAAGTTAAAGCTTGTTTCACATGGTCCCTCGCCTATCTTGTAGAAGTCCAAACTCCAAACGGCTATCAAGTCTATGAATCAAAACCCTGTTGCCCTTTTGAACGTCAAAACAATTTGCAAATGGATGTTGGTTCTCCCCGAAAGAAGGGAATGGTGTGATAAACCCAATATAATCCATCCCACCCCGCGTTTTACCAGAAATGGGTTGGTATTGACCACCAAATATGTGGATTTTACCATTTGGTTTACTACATTTACTACATTTACATCCGCAAGCATGGATAGGTAGTTTAAACCTTTAGTTTTTTGTCATAAATGGCAAATAACCATAATCAACAATGAGCAAGCATTTTTTGCGGACTACCACAGATTGACCATGTTTATAGGTGTTGATCCATCCCCCAACCCAGGCAACCCAGGCCTCTACCAATGTGTTGTGGGAAGTAGCAGAATGTCATGATGTCGCCGCCGTGCTGCACCCCTTGTCATCTGTAAACTTCAGAGCACGATAAATCTCCCAAATCATCCATTCCAAATGTTCACAGTTCCTCCGAGTTCATCCATGCAAAAAATCTCTGGGAAACCTGTATGTATATATATATATATTATATATACATACATACTTACATACATATATACATACATACTTACATACATATATACATATACATATATACATATATACATATACATATATACATATGCATATACATATACATTTACATATGCATTTACATATACATCTACATCTACATATACATATACATATACATATACATATGCACATACATGTACATGTGCATATATATATATATATATATTATATCATATACCACCCCCAAAAAATGGGGACATTCACCGGGTGAGGCTGGCGAGGAGAGAGACCGTGGAGACCGTGGAGCCCGGGGGCACGTTGTGTGGGGAGCCTCAGTGGATTTCAGTGGATCTCGTCGGGAGATCTGGGAGAAATCGAAGGCGGCTGAAGCGCCGAGAATCGAGTTTCAACATGAGAGTGTTTTATAACAAAATATGATGATAAAAATGGCAATATGATAATAAAAATAAAATATGTTTCAAAATGTTATAAAAAACAAGAATGATAATATGTCATTTTTTGAAAACGGTTTCACAAATGGAGTTTTCTATGTGTTATTAATATGATCGTTTTTTTATAAAAACAAAAATGAAGTTGTCTATGTGTTACTACTATTTATTAATCAAAAACGGAAGAGTCAACTTTCAAAAACGTAGTCTCAGCCATGAAGTATTCGATCGATTAGATGCTACGAATCAATAGGGTCTGGGTCAATCAACTATCATGGCACATATCATACCAATCAATACCGTACCATACCGTACCCAATATTACTGAATATGACCTATTTGGGGATAACTCCATACTCAATTTGGACGTAGCATGTTTCAGCATTGCGATGAAAATGTCAACCCCGGATTAATCAACCATGGTTTTTTTGGGGCTTCCAGGGTACCATTGTCTTTTTTTGGGGGTCCTCTCTCCAATTAAACACCGTTTGGGGTTTATATAGTAATCGAGGATTGACATTAACTTATATAGTTAACTAGGGGTTTGTAACATCAACTATGATGCTTAACCACATGACCTGACCATTTTTCAGATTATATTGTCATATATTATCAACAGCCGTGACTGGGGGTTTATGATATATAGTATATTTCTCAAGCATCATTGTTCCTTGCAATGTTAGGCCCCCAAGATAGCGTTCAGTTGGTTTATAACTCCAATAACTATGGTAAAAATGGTACTTATAACTATAGTTACTGGGGCTTATAAACCAACTAACATCACTGGGGGGCACCACTTTGTGGGAACCTTCAACACATCACAGGGATGCGGTTTTCCAACGCTCAGGCACGACCGGCGACGCCGAGAGGAGGCCCAGGGGGCCCCGGGGGCCCCGAGTACCCGGCCCTTGCCTCCATTGGATCCGGCCAGCAGAGGTGGCGCCGGTGGGTGACGGTCCGGTGTATCATCAGTGGGGGGGGACAATTCCCTGGAAATGGAGGTTTTTCAGTCAGAAAGTCCTCCGGAAATGGAGTTTTTGATAGAAAAATCCATGAAAATCATGTATAGATGGATGTTTGAATTCAATTGCAACGCTTTATTAGCGGAGGGTATAAACCCCGGTTGAGTAAGGATCCGGATCCCCCAAAATGCTGTAATGTGATGATGATCGGCTACAAAAATGCTACCCCCCAAAATAAACAGCCCAGTATTCATCCGGGTTGGCATTACATATAATTACTCCATTGGATCCACTGGTTCATGATCATGATCATGATCATCATCATCACCATCATCACCATCACCATCCCAAATGGCCTGAAATGAAGGGCATACCCAATTTTCGTTAGGGTGAAAACATCATTAGTTTTGACCATAAGACTAAAGGGATGAACATCAATTTGCCAGCACTTTTGAAAGGATTTCCAGCGAGAAAATTGCGAGGTTGCTGGCCTAAGAAAACACTGCCGGAATCATATAGAATCCTAAGAAAGTTGTTTGAAAGATGTTGGCAAATGCATTTTCTGGACTTCATCTTGGTTTTCAAGGGTGCCGTGTCTCAAACTTCGGAGTTTGGGTTCTGTGCACGTTTTTGGACAACGTTTAGTTGGTTCAGCTAGGTTTTTATTGTTTGTTTGCGAAAATATTTTGGTGCCTTACTCTAGAAGCTCAAGTTCATGGAATAAACAACAAAACAACATGATTAAACAACCCCCCAGCGTTACCATGGTGGATGTAGGGGATGAAATCACATATGACTGGGACCATTAACCACCGGTGTACAACAATGTCAATGTCTATGAAGATGGATGGGTTCTTTTCACCTTCCAGATTCAGCCTCAAATTTCTGAGCGTTTTCATTCTTCTTTCGAGGATCCCCCAAACGATGGGCAGAAGCATGTGGAAGCCCACAAAACACCACCAGGCTACCAATGATACCACGAGTACTAAATCCCGAGCTACGTACCTTTTTGCCGCACATTGATGAATTGTGCGTGGTTGGAACCTATTCCTACTTTGTAATATTTTGATATATTTTGTATAGTTTTCTTGCATTTTGATTTATTTTGATGGTCATGTGAGTCATGTCATCACATTTCCCCATATCCCATATCTTCACATCCTGAAGTCACATCCAACATTTCATGACATGTCCTAACATTTCGCCTATATTTTGATGCTAAGATTCCCAGAAAATTCCAGATATCTGGACTCTGACCCTGCCAGGCGCCAGCCATGCCGGCCACGCGTATGCCGCCCTGCAACTCCCCTCACGCCAGCTGCAGTTGGGAAACGCAGATGGAGCATGATGGTGGCATATGACTGGATAAACATCCCACTGTAGGCTATTTCAGGGCACCTGGGGGTTTGACTCATAGCTGCTTTGGACGTATGGAAGAAAGCAAACAATATTTGCAAAATAAATTCTGTTCCAGGATGCCCCAGGACTTCCATGGGTTTCCGTATCCAAAAGCGTTTGCCGAACTGATGCCGTGGCAAAGAGAGTTTCATTTGAATTCAGTTGAACCAATCGGAGCACACTCCGAGAAAGCATTCACACTACCAAATTTCTGGGACTGGTCACCCTGACTAATTTTATACTTTTCCGTGGTCGCAAACGTCGTGATTGATCAGAAAGTTCCCAGACATGTTCATCAAGTGTTAGTTTCTCTTTCATGAATGGTTGGAAACATGAAAACATATTGATTATTGAAGACAATAATTTTATATTCAAATGTATTCAAACCTGTACGTTGTGAAATGCCCCAAATTTGATCACCTCATTACTCCCCTGGTATGGTCTTCAGTCCAGATGGGGGGGGGGCAGGTCGGACCAAAAAATCAGCGTTTGTTTCATCCATAGAAATTGGCTCAGATACCGGCTTGTTTCCAGCGTTCTGCCGCGCTGCTATGGCTTCAGAGACCATGGCACAGCAGGAGAGCGGAGAACATGTCGTGGCGGCTTGGGGGTTGATGCGCGCTGGTTCGTCCCCTGCCGCAGTCAGGAAAACACTCATGCGAAAAATGCGAACAAACTGGACGGTGAGATTGATATCCCCATATGTGCCATATGTGTATGGTTTCACAATCATCCATATAGTGAGTTTGCTGGTCAATCACATGTGTATTTGTTTCTTATGTTTCCCATGACCATGCCTTCGTAGGGAACAAAACCCATCAACGCAGGAGCAAGATGCCCTGTTGCCTGACGATGAAGAGTTGTTGCAGTCCAAGATGGAACGAGCTCGCCGATATCAACGAAACTTGTCGACGTAGGTTATGACAATGGACTGGTTTAAGAGACATGTTGCAGGGTTTCCCATGGAATTGACCATCGAAGGTTTCCCTACAGATTTTCCCTTGAAATCCTGGGACTTGATTTTTTTTGTTTTTTGGGAAAACATGGGAAAACCCAATTTTTGGACAAAACCATTCCCATGTAGAAACATATTCATGGAGCAGATTGGATGGGTACTGAAGATCTGTCCATTTGTTTTTGTAGATTGGACTTGAAGAAATTGTTCATTTGACAACAAAACCAAACCGCGCCGAATCACCATTTCACAATTGAAAATTTTATAGCTGGGTATCGAAGATCCGTCCATTTGTAGATGGTATACGTATCATTGTTTATCTATTGAATTGTGATTTGGTAATCTTATACATTTTAGAAAAAATCCCAGTTTGATGCTGGTGATGTCTACTGCAACTGGTGCCTGTTTTGAAATTCCAGACCTTACCACTTTTGAATCCTGGATAATACTCTGAGGTAACCCAGGAATGCAAACCATTCACCTCTTGAGCAGTGTTCAAAACCTCTGTTGGTTGATGATAATAATTGACTCCTATACTACCTTGTGTGTTAAACATGTTCATAATCTATGGGAATCCCTATTAACCAACCAGTTTATAATGGAATAACGCGGGGTTTATCAGTTTGATGGGCCACCCCAAAAAAATTGAAGAAACCATAGCAAATTTGCCCGAGAGTCAGTTTGTTTTGCTTGTTTTGTTTTTGTCTCCGGAGAAAGTTCAGAAAAAAAAACGGTCAGATTCCTCCTAAATGCATCAAGAATGATCCACTGCTGCAAGGTGCGGGTCTAGCGTGCGCGGGAATCTTTGCTGTGTCGTTGCTGCTCACATTTTTGACCAGGGAGGAACCCTCCTTCCGCGGCAAGGACCGGCCTGTTGAGCATGAATCCCTGGGAAGTTGGGTTCAGTCAAAAGACCGAGGGTAGAAAATGATATCGATCTTATGTTACTAGATTTCTCAAAGATATTCAGTAATATGATATTCAGAGATATTCAGAGTGTATGTGTGTTTTTTGTTTCAAGAATTAGGATCTACTTGTTCTTAAAATCATTTTCCACATGAAATGGCCATGATCCGGTATCCATAGGTACTCGTACCCGGGATATCCTTTATTAATACACTCAGATACTCCCTTGGATTTCTTGGGATTGGGGACGTGTGTGTGTGTGTACGTGTGTTTTTGTATCATCAACATGTTTTTCTGTGACCTTTAAACCATGTCACAGAACTCATGTCGACGTGTGGCTGCCATCAACTTTGAGCAGGGATCAATACAGAAATATACAGAATCAATTACCAAGTGAAGCACATGATGGTAGACATTGGTAAACAAATACCCTCTGGTAATTTAACATAGCTATCGAAAATGGTGATTTATAGATGGAAACGTTTACCAGAGGGTATCATATTTGTGTCCTTTAAAAAAACTCGATGGGACTGACGATGGGACTGACTTCCCTTTGTCCTCAGAGTCCAACTCTGAGGCCGATGTGTTTCTGATGAGTTTTTGTTGGTCATATCTGATGTTTGCCGCGTTTGATGAAGAAATCCCAGTTTTTAGATGTTGTTTAGAAGTTTTGTTGGCGATGGGTATACTTCAATCTTGAGTTGTCCAGCACAGACTCTTTCGGAGCTACAGGATATTGGTGATGAGTTCTTTTGGATACGCGATTTTGTATTTGTTGTGTCGATCTTTGAGGAATTTGAAATGGAACCTCCAGCCTTCAAGTGTTCATATCATTGTTCATCAACCACAATTAAACATCATGATAATCATAGACATTTGCAAATGAACATAAATGAACTGATTATTTTATGTTTATCATAAATGTCCAATCATAATCATCCATAGACATTCATTTTTTGAGGCATTTGTTTGAGACATCTGTAGCTCGATCAGGACGATGCCCGGGGCTTCATTCGTTACAGCGATCCGGTGGAGGTTTGGATCATCAAGATGTTGAACAATCATCCTTACAAGAACCACGTTTAACTGGGATGTTATGATGTTGAAAATCCTTAAGTCCATGTAAAAAAAATGTTTAAGTCACATGAAGTCACATGAAGTCACATGAAGTCACCTTAAATCGCTTGAAGAAAAGGATTGGATCAAAGATAGCAATGATTGCCATGGTTGCCATTCATGACCGTCATCTCATTGGGATCCATTGGGTGAAACTGCCCGAAAATTCGCTGATGAGCAACTTGACACCACAAGTTTGCTGCTTAAATTCCAGATGTTGATGGTTTTGTATGGTTTTGTATGGTTTTGTGCCATTGTTTATTGCTCAAGTATAAATCTCCAATGGTGTGTTTTCTATTCAAGGTACCCAACACGAAGAAAAACGTTTGAGTGCTATCGTACTTCCTTCAGTGGTTTCATACTCTATATATGAATAATATAGATTAATATATATATATAATTATATAATTATATATCCTATACCAAGATATACTAATACATACATAATAGGTTTCCTACACACTTAGTGTGTCGATGAGTCATGCTTACGTCATCTTGATGGGGTTTCGAACAACGATTCCACTTTAGCCACAAAACTTCTTGGATCCTGGATCAAACCCCGATGTTTGATGCTGGAATCCCATATTTTGACTGGCAACATTCTCACATGAAACTCAAACGCCAATGTTTTGAGGAATAAACATGCGTACATCACATTACATTACATTACATACATACATATATTACATACGTGTATGTATTATATATATATATATGTATGTACGTATATATACGTGTATGCGTATATATATATATATATAGATATCCATTATAGTTGTGAAGGGTTCAATCGCCAATTGTTTTCGCATATTTGCAGGTTGACATCGATCAGGCGACGAAGGAATACTCCACGAGCCTTAGCGGCCAGTTGAGGTTTGCTGCTAGTTGAACCCGTTGGATTTTCTTAGTCAGTTTTCGCTATGTTCAGATAGAGGATTTGTTTTCTCAATGAATTGGGTTCTTGATGTGTGTTTTCACGCATGTTTTTTAATTGGGAGAACCTTAGAATGTGAATTCACCCTTTGGAATGACCTGCAAACTCCCATGTGGAACCATGGATTTGGGCCATGAAACATCATGAGCCGCGCACCGGGCCAGAAGCAGAAATCCAGCAAATTCAAACCAGTATAACATAATATAACTCAATGATGCCCCATGTTTGGATTATGAAAAACTGGATTGCGATAATTTCGAACTACTAGCTACTAGCATAACCAACAACTCTGGAGTTGTTGATATATCATTTCATATCATTTCCATTGATTTCCCATAGTAGATATTAGATATGATTCCCCATGATAGACTCTTTAGACCAGTCGAACTCAACTGGCCCAAATTGGGATCCACCTGGGCTCCGCCCGATGGTGTGATCATGGTTGCACCCAGTGTTGAAGCTACTAAGCATAGAAAGATTCTATGAACAATTTGGTGGTTTCCATAAATGGGGGTACCCCTAAATCATCCATTTTAGATTGGGACCTTTCCCTTAACCATCCAGCGATCAAGGGGTACCCCCCATTTATGGAAACCTCAGGACCATCCTGTGGATTATCATCGATTATCACCATGGGGTATCCCGACAATTCCAAACAACCAATCCAAACTGCCACTTAACCACTGAACCACTGGTTGACAGAAAAGATGCAAAGCTGCTGAAAGTCACTCAGATGTGATGACTTTGACAGTGGTTGATCCTGGGATTTCCAGCAGTGGATATGTAAAATCATGTAAAATCACACGCCAACCACCAGTAGTAAGTAACATATGTTCATGTGATGTTTTGTTATTGCTCATTTGGGGGTTATGCTCGTGTATATCCAATTTTGTGTCTTACAATATTTTTGGACACACATACACGCGCAATGTACATCCCCTAAATCTAAATGGAACCTAAGAAGGTATATCGCAAAGATGACTTTGGTGATGGACATTGCCTAATTGTTGTGTTCTACGTTGAATTTCAAGAGTGTAATGCACAAAAAAGATATTGGATATCCCGTCAAATCAGGCTTAGTCATCATTTTCCCATGAAATTGCTATGCATCCCACATCCCACAGCTGAGGTATTCCTATGATGCCCAGCCCTCGGGGAACCTCTTCTATTCACCCCATGCAGCCACGAGCAACGTGGCACCGGCCACTTACGGAGTCCCAAGCGCAGCAAGCATCTCGAGCACAGTGACTCGTTTGGATTGGATGATTGGACACGGTCAGGATTTCTTTGTCGATGTGAACTATTTAAGGTGAATGGGTTAATGGCATGTGTATAACATTATATATATAGCATTATATAAAACTATACACCCAGTGGTAATTTGACATAGCTATTGAAAATAACCAGTTATAATCATTTATAGTTGATTTACCCACAAAATGGTGATAGAATACGGTGGTATAAACCATCACCCAATTTCACCATAAATCACCATTTTTATAGGTGGTATAAACTAACCATTCCCAAACTGGGTGGTTTATGGCATGGTTTTACCACTAATTACCCCTGTGGGATGATGTAAAGTGAAACCATGAATATTACTTGGGATAATTATAAATGGTGAATAAATGTTAAAGTGTGATTATTAATGGTGATGAATGATCATTGATGATTGATGAAAAGTGATGAAATACTGTGATAAACCCAATGCTATAGTCACCATCCTATAACGGTTTATGAAATTGGGAGCCCTAGCAATGAAATTGGGAGTGAAATGACCCCCAAATAGAATGATGTTTGTGGGATGGTTTGGAGTATAACGTAAGCCGCAGAAGCCGAGGAAACCGTGTGGCACCAGGATTTGAGTTCCATGATAGTACTACCCTTTGGTAAACGTTTACCAAAAACCTATGGAAAGATCCACTATTTTTAATGGGTCAATCCACTATTTCGGCGGGGCCATTTTCAATAGTTAGTTGTATGTTTATCAGAGGGTACTTCATATTTCCAGGTTTCACACTTTTAGGCATTGTGGTTGTTGGTTAATCATCAAGAACAGGAATGGTTAATCATCAATCTATGTGTAATGGGATTGATATTGATATACTAAGTACGTTTGGATTCCATGAACTGGGATTGATGACCATAAACTATATAATTATATATAATTATCATTTGTTGACAATGACACATATAGAGATATAGATGGATATCGCATTATACCTATTAAGTACATTCAATTCATTTATGTCTCATTATGTGTTGAAAAATGGTGACCTTCGGCTGTCATGCTTGATTGCCAGAGAGTAAATGCCTACTACGATAAGCGGCCTGTTGTTTTTTGTGACATCAGGATGGTGGCCGATTCAAGCAGATTGCCACACTTGCGCACTGTTTAGCCTTTCAAAAAAGCATACCATCAGTGCAAGGCTTTTCCACGGTCAAGTCTAAGGCCAGTCTAGGGCAATGGAAATCCCTAAATTGAGGATTGTCCATTGGTGAGATGGACTGAGGGGTGCTGCTAGATAGGGATGTTTCCCCGTACCCCAAAATCCCAAAACAGAGTCGTTGTTCACTGTGCACATAGCCCACTGCCGAGGTTTCGAAGAGGGTCAGAAATACCTTAAATTGTACATTTATATATATACACATATATCTCTAGGATATTGGTTCTAATTTGTTCCTTCTATAGGTTCATTTTTTGGTGAATACAAATTGTATACTTGTGAGATATGACTACATCAACCCGTGACTCCTGAAGTGTTTGTCTACTTTTTTGACATAGTGGGTCAGAGGTTGGCCATGAAAGCTTTGGGTGTGCTCAACATTGCAGGCCCAATGTGTTTTTTTGTGTGTTATTCAATTTTTAATAAATTGCCCAATGCACTGCAGTTTGGCAGAATGTTGGGGTCAAGATACCCTCGTCGTCAAAGCTCACCGGTGCCCAGGCGGCGAGTTCAAAACGATGCATCCTTTGCAACCCGTGTGGTCCTTAGAAGGGGATCGAGGCTGAAGATGGTGGTATCTTGATGTATATTGGGTCTATGAGACGGTACCCTCCGGTATTTTAACATAGCCATTGAAAATGGCCCAGTCGAAATAGTGGATTTACCCAGCTATAAAATGGTGGATCTTTCCATAGTTATGTGACAGTTTACCAGAGGGTATACCAAACCTTATGGTGATATGTTAAAGTATTCTCATATATATATATACATAATGGTGGAATATGGTGAAAACATATTGAGTATTGAGTATATTGGTATACCACACTTTAGCAAACACATAATTTAAATGAGGGACATGATGAACAAAAAAAATATATGAATATGATGATCATCATGGGGATGATGGTGACTATGAAGATGACGACAAAAAGGATGGTCAAAGGAAGTTTGGAGCTTTCGCAATGCCCTCTGCAAATTTCAGTCAAACCTCAAACAAATGCTTCAAAAACGTTCTCCCCGTGGTAATTTGCGCCTTTTCTTTTGGAATTCCCTAGATAAATGTTGCTTTTCTTTTGGCCATAGTTGGACAGATAGACTATATAGACAAAATAGAATAAGCAACTCGAAATAGCTCCAGAAGTTGACTCTTACTAACTTCTGGCTATCTAAGATTAGCCTAATGTATCAGAATGTAAGGCTATAGGCTATATCTCTTAAACTAACCTTATGGCTATGTCTCTTATTAGCATTTATTAGCCTAATATACCTTAACTTTTCACTTGTTTTTTCCCTATCACCGGGCGCCAGGAATCAATGCACCTTGGACTACAGCGGCAAGGGCGCATGGACCTCATGCCCAGCCTCGCAGAAATACTTCTCCGAGGCACATTGCAAATGTGTGACGTGGCTGCACCCAACGGTGTTCGGTTTGGGAGGCTTCCAACTGGATTGGATGTTTAGTACAAATAAACATTTAGCACATAAGATAGTTATATAGATAATATATATATATACTATAATTATGTGTATCTATATAATTATATAGACACATTAATTATGTGTATATATATGTATATATATAAACCAACTGAATTGGATATAGTTCGATATTTCGTATAACTGATTTGTTTGCTATATAAAGTGGACTATTTAGTAATGAAAATTGCAGGGTATCGAGGCTTGGCCAGAGGTACATTGAATCCCTCCGGAAGATGAAATATGGTGGATTGGATGCAATCCTGCACCAGCTAATAGGTGTTAAACATCCCATTGTTTATAGGTTTTCAACCATCCGGTTGGTGATGCGGGATTTCTTCCATCCACCGTAGGTTAGGGGTTACCAGGGTCACCGAAATTCTGAAAAACTCAAATGTGATTGTCCTATCCACAAGTATTTTTCCATTGCTAGATTTTATTTACACGCAGAAAAAACAATGTTGCGCCCAACAAAATGAGAAATCAGACGCATTTGCACGCCAAACACATTTTTTGACCTGTAGTAATATGACTTCATATGGCCATGGAAAATTACGAATTTGTACCCTCTGGTAATTTAACATAGCTATCGAAAATTACAAATTTAGTTCGTTGATTTACCTATGAAAGATTGTGATTTTCCAGTTCGCAAACTGTAAACTGGTTGGTGGTGTGGAACATTTTTTATTTTTCCATATATTGGGAATGTCATCATCCCAAGTGACAAACTCCATCATTTTTCAGAGGGGTTTTGCTCAAAACCACCAACCAGTAAATGTTTACCAGAAGGTAAATGATTTCCCTTGGAAATGGCCATTGAAGCCATGGCAAACTGGCAAGAATCAGCAGTCACATGGAACTCCGGAGGTCCCCGGCGCTGAGGTCAGCAGTTGCTCTGATCCCTCCGGTCATGTGCCGACCTGCAGCAGCCTGACATATCGATGGGATCATGGGGTCATGAGTCATAAGTCATCAGCAATAGGGAGTTTTTATTGTGATCTTTGTTCATATTTTATCATTTTTTTATGGATCTGTTGGAGAATGTACTAATTAATATTGTATTTGGATATGTTTGAAAATGGGATATACTCCCAAATGGCCGATTTTTAGGTGAGAAAATGATGAACCAGCCGATGCCATGTCCAAGGAAACACTCCCTATCTGAACCTGAGGGGTACCCTATCGGACCAAGCCATGCTTGAGCCATCAAATCCCGGAGCTGGATGCAGTTCAATCCATTGATGAAAGGGACCGGTAGACAATAGGGATATTGCTACTGTAGGGCCGTAGTGCCCCTACGCCTTAGGCTGCAGGTCAGGCAGAGATGTTTTTCTTTGATAATTTCCAGCTGTTCAATTTTCCTCTTGGGGGATTGCCATCATTCCCACCGTGGAGGTTACTATGGTAGTACAACCCGGTTTGCTCAACCCGGTTTGCTGAAGGGTACTGGTTCTGTTGCAGTGCTCACTGAGATTTGTGCGAGAACTGCTACACCAAAGCATGCCTGATTGACGGTGGCTCGAACGCAGATGTTAATACATGGTGGGCGTTTGGAGAGTAGTCATGTTCCCAGCATTCGACAGCCGTGTGGCTGATTTCGGTTCATTGATCCGCCCCAATGATTGAGGTTGTTTATTAACCCTTAGAATCGTGGTTCTTGGTGATTCACAATATTAAGGATGTTGAGATGTATTGGTTTACTAGATTATGAACAGTTGTGAACCATTATGAACCCCACATGTGGTCAACCCTCATGGTAGATATTCAGAACCCTTCTTTGTTGGTGGTTAATACTCCCTCATGTTATTCGTTGACCTTTTGGGATACATTTATAATCACACGTACGTGTATATATATAATAGTGTATAATTATATATATATATATATACATATTGCATGTAGTATATGTGTATATGAATATATATATATATGATTATGTATTTGATCATCAATTTTGGATGGTTGATAATTTTGACACCACCATTCTGAAACTTTTTGTTGTCTTGAGAAAACAGCTCACAGAACTAGGTCGCTATTTGCAGTGCGGGTACCTTGGTTGCAACGGAAACGCGGTGCTGGATCCTATCTGGCCTTGAGATTAACGTGCCGAATCTTGACGTGTGCAGTGTATGCCAAAGGTTAGCAGTAAGTAGATGCTGGTCGAGCATATTACTACTACATCACTACATGCTATGTGTTTTTCAGATCAGAGTTACAGAGTAGCAGTTTGTCAACTCCAGGAGATAGATAAAATCAAGCAACTGAGTAGTGGCACACATGCAAAAGTTCAAGGGCCCAGATGACTCGTCCAAGTTCACTATGGGCCCATCAAGGATGAACAATGCAGTAGCATAACAGCCTGGAGAGTTGCACCGGACCAAGGGCGGCTACACCCTACTGGGAGCCAAACAAGAAGCAGCTGAGATGCAGGGTTCATTGTTTTTTGTGTGTTTTTTGCTAAACATAAAATGCTGTTTATATCTTACTGTAAATAGTTTACATTGAAGGTCTGAACTGACGGGTTCTTGCTTGATGGTTCTTGCACATTTCTCTAAAACTACTATTTCCGAAAAGGGTGCGTTCGGTTTGGAAATCGTGGAAAAAGTCGTGAGCATTGACAGCGCACTCAAATTGGGGGATGACATCCATTTCGAATCACCACCGCAGGGAATCAGTCGAACCATGAATGAATGATCATTGGTGAAGATAGATCAAAGCATTCGAAGCAGGATTCATATGTGGAAGAAAGGGAGAGAAATCAGGAAGAAATTAGAAATAAAATCAAAGCGGATCACCCCAAGTGATAATTACTGATTGTTATCTTTCTTTCGGACCAGGTCTTGCTCAACTACTTGGAAGAACATCCCCATTGACCGTCAAAGGGGTTCGAAAGGAGTCTCCCTACACGGGGTCAAATTCTGCTGTGGAATCACTTACTGATTTTCGCTGTGATGCTACTCTCTCAGTGATGAGACAACCAACGTGATGAAGCCCATACCATCCCATACCCATAAGCGTTAGTTTCAAAACAGCTGTTTGTTGAATGTTTAAGTGCTAGTAAATGTGAAATGATTTCAACAACTGAAGTCATCCATAAGGTTAGTTGTGCGTCAAAGGGGCTGTATTTGTCGTTATTCATGTGCCATTTGCTTAAGTTGATGATATTCCCATGTGAAGTGGGTTATAACCCTGGTTACAAGTACAGCAGGCAAAGAGAGGCAATATTTTCAGTTAAAAACGGGTTGAACCAGCCCACTTACTGCAGTGAACCAAGTACGCAAACATCAAACACCTCATCGATACACGTCTAAGGTTCATTTTGTTGTCGTTAAACCCATCAAACAATAACAGTTTCTATTACAAAACACAATGTATTATGATGTGTAATTCCTACAATCATCTCTTATAATAGTCATTGTATTGATTCATCCAATAGTTGTGATATATTATTTATAGTTGTTTTTTTCTCTATTTAGCATATGATAGTTGTGATATTATGTTTAATTGTACGTCAAACTATTGTGATATATTGCAGACATTGACATATTTAGCTAATATGTTAATTATGTTCAACTATCTATTTAGATCTACTAATATAACTATTTAACTATAGTCTTTCTTAAATGCATATTTATCAAACAGAAAGCGCCTGTTTTTTTACCCCTAGGACCTGTGCCAGCTTGTGCCAACCTCCTCCGGGACCTTCGCCGTCGCCGTGCGCCGATCATGTTTGGTGCATTTTTGTGCCTGGGATTGGGGGGGTTGAACATGGTTTAGCCAAAAAACAAATGTAAATATATAATAATATAATATATATATATATATAATATACATATTATAGATTATTATAATAGATTATATAGATTTTATAGATTATATAGATTATACATATTATATAGACTGTATAGATTATACAGGTTATATAGATTATATAGATTGTATAGATTATATAGATTGTATAGATTATATAGATTATATAGATTATATAGGTTATGTGTATGATTATATAGGTTGTGTGTATGATTATACAGGTTGTGTGTATGACTATATAGATTATATTGATTATATTGATTATATTGATTATGTGTATGATTATGCAGGATTATGTAGATTTGATACGCTGTGCGCAGCAATTTGACCACCGGAAATTGGCAGTAAGGCAACAAAGATGGGGATTTGACTTCGAAAGACTGGGAGTTGAACCAACATGCACAAGAACTATAACGTACAAAATCGGAGTTCCTCATGCATATACAAATCTACGAAGGAAAACAGGATTTCACTAACATAAATTCAGGTTCAGCATACTTAACATCGATACATCGGATTTAAGCAGGATTTAATCAACAATGAATAGAATCAGGAGCTTGTAGACCAAGGTTATGGGGATGAAAACCCTCTCCAAAGGGGTTTTATCCCCGATGGATGGATAATATATGGTTAATAATTAATATGTATTAATATGTTATAAGTCAACCATAGATGGCCATGTTCAGTAACAAACTGTTAAGTTAACCAGAGGCTAGTTCTTGTTGGCGGAAGTGAATCGATTCACCCTTCGGGATAAGCTGAGGCGATGTTAGTATCCTGGTTGCGTGGCAAAATGGACCAACATAAGACAGAATAGTTATATAATATTATACTGATAGTATATAATTGGCAAAATCATCTATCAATTGGATATTTGGTTGGTGGTTTAGAACTTTTTTTCCATATAATTATTGGGAATAATCATCCCAACTGACTAATATGTTTCAGAGGGGTAACTTATTATAGGGGGTACCAGTTCCAACAATATATATTTATCGCTATGTTGGGGTGACCCATCGCAATTGGTAGTCAGGGTTGAATACATTAGTCCGGTGATATGAATTACCATGGCCCTAGATACCCATAGGATCCATGTATGCTATATATATGGTAACATGGATCCCATCAATATACCCCAAATGTTAGCATGCATACCAGCACCATGGATCCTATGGGATATACAACAGGTGCATAAAACATCATAAAACTCTAGGTGAACTTCCACGGATCGGAGTTGTTCGACCTTGACTTCACGCAGTTTCGACGCCAGGTACAGCCAGAGGTATCCCACACCCATGCCGAGTCTCGCAGAGATTTGGGACGTTTTGAAGTCACGGTGTTGGGATGTTGGCAGCATTTGTTGATCTTACGAATTGGAGATGCCTCAATATCTATGAAATCATACTATAATTATCTATAAGTATTCAGAACGGCATTCCATTTAAGAACGGCAGTCCATAAAGATTACAGAAACATTACAAAAACATTCATTGACAAGCCATGTTTTTCACGTGAAGGCGCTGGGCTACCAAGGTTTTACTGTACATTGGGGCCGTCTTGATAGAAAAAACCTTTGGTAAATGTTTACAGTTTGCTATTGAAAATCACTTTATGTTTATTACTGGTTGGTGGTTTGGAACAGTTTTTATTTTCCATTTCATATATGGGATGTCATCCTTCCCATTGGCTAATATTTTTCAGAGGGGTAGGTATACCATCAACCACATGAGGTAAATCAACTATAATCAACTTTTCAGGGTGTGCAATCCCGATCTGATTCCCAACATTATCCCAGCACTGCAGTGGTTATTATGTTTCCCAAAGCCTCCCGCGCAATGGGCAGAGCATGTTTGTAGATTCCCATAATTGTTCTACTGACCATTGTGGACTACAATCCCGCGGTAGATTATATTGTAGAATATGATATAGATATATATGTTACATATAATTACACACATAATTGACATACTGGGTTTGTTATATACATACATATACATATACATATATATATATACATAATTAACATACTGGGTTTAAAAACATGTTTGGACGACCACTAACTATCAAAATGTGTGGATTGACAAGAGATTATGTTGATTTTTACCATGTTTGTTGTTGCTAATCCAAAAATGTTGATACTCCAAAATATATGGGGATGGGTCAAAACCTTGTACCCCTAGTGAACCCCAAAATAGTTGGTAAATGGATGTTCATCCCATTAAAAATGGTATGTATAGGTATTGACCCATACCCATATGTTCATGGATTACCCTAGCCTTTTTAGCCTCCCATCTCTTTCTGAATCTCAGGGTGCCTTCGCCCGCCCTGGCCCCGACGCCTTCCCCTACGGCTGTGGCTCCGGCGCCGTCGACTGAAGCCAAGTGCAGCACGGACAGATGGGACGCGGTGGCGCTTCGTGGTGCACAACAAATAGTTGCTGGAACCCAAGGAACAAGGAAATGAACTTCGGCTATGTCATTTAAATATATTGTATATATATATAATATATATTATATATGCATAGAAATACCATATAACTATGTATCAAATGATGTATATAATATATGAAGGACATATAGATATAGTGTAATATATATATTGTATATATATAGTGTGTGTGTGTATATCTATTGTATATATATATATATTGTATATATATATATATATTGTATATATATATATATTGTATATATATATATTGTATATAGATATATTGTATATAGATGTACATAGTATGTATGTAGTGTATATATATATACACTCATTTATATATTATATGCTGTATATGTACGTAGGCAAGGGATCTAGGAGGTGTTTGCTAATGTGACTTGTCTCAGCAGAAATGACGGTAAGGCGAGATCGTCAATGGTTTATATTTTGCCCAGAGGTATGGCAGTGGATAGCAGTGGGGCCAAGCCTAATATTGTTTTGATGGTGAAATAGGTGTGACTCAATACTCGTAGAAAAAGCAATCTCAATATGACAAACATTAAGTTAATATTTAAAGCTGACACCATGGGCTATAGGATTGACCCAGCAACCAAATAGCCGCTAGCCACTGATCCGTGCTATCATAGAGCTCATATCTTCGAATCTGGCTCAAAGCTGGTTTGTATAGACAGAGTCAGTTTGGTCTCCGAAACAATTCATTTGAGCCACGTTCAAAACCCAGTAGTTCATTTTTGGTGAGGGAATGACAATAAGGACCTCGCGTAAGCAAAACCCTGGTCTGCGTCAGCCCGCATAAGCAGCGCACAAGCTGCCGCATAAGCATTCTCTTATCGCCTCCACAAAGACAAGACCTTTTGGCCACGGCTCATTTGTGCAGATTCTTTGTAAGTACATAAGCCCTGACCTGCAGACAAGAATGAGTCTGTCCTATTGTGCTAAAACAGTATGTGTGTATGGATCAGAAAACTAGATTGCCATGTCTCCCTTACGTCTCCCTTTCATGCCAAATTTATCTAGGATGCTGAATGAGTTCAATTCTTTTCAATACACGTACTATAGAACATACCATTTCACATTTCGTTATTGTATATATGCGTATGCGTTGTATGATATTTACATATGTCCAAACCATGCGCATGTAGATTAGCATTTTAGATTTGCATTTCCAAATACGTCCTCAAGAGGGACGACTAACCCCCTGAATCATGCCCCAGTCATGGAAGCGAAGGTACGGCCAAGGATATGTTCGTATATGTAAAGAACGTAGCCATTATACACTCATGAAATGGTATACCATGGTATACCCATATACATGGTAACCCCGAAAAAGAAAGAAAAGGTCAACGTTGTCACTTTTCAAACAGGATTGTACTATAAATACTATCTCAATTTGCGGTTAGACTATATATAGACTATTATAATCTATTATAGTGCGAATAGAGTGTAGGCTACGGATCACTGTATATATGCATAATCATACACTCTAGGATCCATCGTCAAAGGGGCACTCCGACATTGGCCTCTTTGGCTCAAGACATACTGCAGCTACAGGGAAAATGAGAGCCATGCGGAAGCTGCCGCCCTCGTGAGGTCGTCATTGCAACTGCAAACATCAACATCAATTACTGGAATATAATCGGGAAGGCAATCCCCGATTCGCAGGTTATCAGCCGTAGGACTCCTACGGAGCCTACGAGCGGGTAGCCGCGGGCCTTACAGATGACTGAACAGGATAGCAGCGATAATGCATTTTCTTTCTCTGGACATGCCGTTGCACCAGCTGCCGGCACGCAGTCAAATTCTTCACAGAGTATCGACACTGGTGGAAGCGATGCCTCAGAACTGAGAACAAGCCTACCCAGGCGACCTCTGGTTGCTCCTAGAGGGAGACAAATTTCGACAATGCAAGCAATTGAAGATAGGGACAGCACACCTGGAAAGAGAAGATCATCTGCACGACAATTGTCGCCTCCGATGACTCCAAGGACCAAGGCAAAGACTACGTCGTCGAATCCGCCTTCACCGATTCAGGACGCTACTCCATCAGGGACAGGATCTTATCAACAAGTGAACGCCCCATCAAGTGGTAGCGACATCTTCACTGCCTATCAGAGTGAATTAGCTGAGTACAAAACATCACTGGAAAGGGCCACTGAAGAAGAATCCGTACTTCAGGCAAGATTGAGCGAGACGACAGCATATGCCTATCAACAATTTAATTTCCTGGAAAGCACCACTCATCAAGAGATGATGTCGATGACCCAACAACTCCAGATGCTGAACTTCGAGTTACAGGCTGCACAACAAGAAGACGAAGGTGCGACCTACAGGATCGAAGAGTTGGAAAGGTATCAGACTATGTCGAATGAAGCTGCATCTCATTTGGAATTCAAATATTCACGACTACGTTCGGAATTCGATGAACAAATGGGACAAGCAAACGCAATTGTGGTACATGTGGGAACTGACGCGAATGCTCACATTAATCAACTCAGACTGGAACTGGAGAACGCAGAGATGAATGCCAAGCAAGAAGCTCTAGCAGTCGGCTATGCTAATGACCAAACATGTGCTTTGCAGATCGAGATGCTCGAGGTTGCCAATCAGAACCAGACGATGAAGCACACCATGGCCATGAATGTCAGGCGACTGGAAACTGAGTTAGATGCTGCTGACATGAAGAGGGACGAGATCATGAAGGAGTTCCGTAGTAACATAAGATATGAACATGACCGTTATGCAGAATGTGAACATCACTTAGCTTTGGAAGAATCTCAGCTTCGATTACAGGTGATCCACAGTGAGAACTTACAATCTCGACTAGCGATTTCTGAGAACAGGGTTTCTGAAGAATCTCTAGCTGAATCAGGTGGCATGCGGGACATGAGGATCATGGGACTACGTTCTGAACTACACATGAAACAAAGTCTTTTAGATCGAATGCAACAGCAACTGACTGAATCGAAGAATCAGTATCATGAACTTTCCTGTCAACAAGCCAGAAGATCTTCACCAAGCAGATCACCGCATGGAGGACCTCTATACGAGATGTACATGCAAGCCGTGCGTGAACGTGACAGCTTGAAAGAATCCAAGGCCGAAGTTGACAAGTTGTACATGCAGAATAGATCTGAACTCATTGATACTGAGGACCTGCTCAAAGTATTCCAGCGAAACTTTGATGAAACTGGTAAGAAATATCAAGATGCTCTGAACAAGATCGATCACATGAGCAACAATCCGAATGTGACGAGTACCTTGTTTGACAGTTTGCACAATGAACTCAATGACAGGGATACAGCTATTGCTCGCCTTCATACTGAACTTGAAGCTCAAAAGGACTCTCTTGAGCGTGCTCACAGGGATGCAGGTAAGTCCATCAAGATGTTGAACGACAGAAGACTCGTGATCAAAGGTGCGACTGACTATTCCATTCCTGAAAGCCATTTGACCGAGATGCATCAATTGGCCAATGAGCGTTACGCTGAGGTAGAAGAAATGTCGAGCACCATTGCTGCCCTGAAGTTGGAAAACCAAGCTCATTCTTCTTCATCAATGAATAGACCGACTACATTACATGGGTACCCCAGTAATGCCATGCCTCGGAATGAATGTGAAGAGAAGTGTGCCAAACTGAAAGCAGAGTTGGACGAGATGAAGCAAGAGAGGAACGCTGAAGTTCGAAATCTTCAGGATGAGTTGAAGAAGATGGAAGATCGTAAAGATTACTATAAGAACAATTTCTCTCAAGCTGAAGATCGTGCCAATGATGAAGAGCAAGAATACCGAGCAGAAGCTGAAGCCTTCGAGAAGCTCAGGAACGAGTACAACGCAAATGTCAAGGAGTTGGAGAACCTTGAAAGGGATAGATCCAAGTCATCTGTATCTCTAAGAGAAGCCGAAAAGATCAGCC